GCGCCGAACTACATCTGGGAAAATCATCTCGGGGCTTTAGGTCATACGATTATAAAACGGGTTGGCTACATTCCCCAACTGTAGTGAGAAAGCATTGGCAGAGTGGATGTTTCAGTTTGCAGATTTTGAAACAGAGGTACACACGCAAACGTCCCTTCCCCTCTTCATCTAATTTTATATTCCATTTATTTATCCACTCATTAATAAAATGTCCTGGCAGACTTCTGCATTGCTATTGGCAGTTTGTTCTTTGCAGAATAATCACAGTAACGAGAAATCAAGAAAACAGGGCTATAATACGCTAAATCAAAACGCAGAGAAATAAGAAATAAAACTTGTTCCAATGGCAGATTAAAAGGGTCGAAGGTCAAAAAGAAAAAGCTCAACTTATACTTGGGAAGACGAACCATGGCACATATTTTAGCTGGTCATACGACTGCTATTCTTTTTGCATAGAATAACTTCAGTAGCTCAGCAACAATGACGGAGCTACCCTGCTCAACTCTTAAGAGCGCATACAGAAGCCGTTCCTCTCTGCACCTTCCTAGTTGATGCTGGATATTATTCAACAGAATGTTAACACTCGGAAAAAGAAACAACCGTCGATAAGGCACTTCTAACTTTAAAAAAAAAAAAAAAAACGTATCTGAATGTCTCTCCCTCTCTTGTTAACACTTGCAACATTCCTAGGTATGACTATTTTGGCCTTTATTTTCCTAGCCAAAGTAACACAGCATCTTCCCCACATTTGTCCTTTTTATGTATACTATTTTTCAAACTTTTTTTTCATATTTTGTAACTGCAAGTTAAGTATAAAAAGCTAAAATTGCCAAAAATATATGTTTTCTTCTCCAGCACCCTGTAAAAGTATTTAATTTTGTTCTCCTCTGTTTCTTTCATATGCAATGACAGGTAACTACATTTATCTGTGTGTGTGTGTGTGTGTGTGTGTGTGTGTGTGTGTGTGTGTGTGTGTGTGTGTATATATATATATATATATATATATATATACACACAGGTATGTATAAAGCAATTTGAACAGGCAGGCATGGCTTTCACATCCTATTTTAGTTATTGAGAAAGAGTTAAAGAAACGGTCATGGGCTCAGGAGCTGGACTATACCTTTATGGAGACACATTGTGGATGCGCTAATTTGGGGACTTCAAAATGGTATGGTGAGGGTTAAAAATAAATAAATTTACCCCGAAAATAATTTACATTCAAATAGGCTTATTTGCATGAGGGCAAGTATCCCATCCCCCATGATGACTTGATTGGTATCAAATTGAAAAGAGATTAAAAGAAAAACTACGAAAAACACTAGCAGAGAATTGGCCAAACGCTGAAACGCAAAATGAGAATGCACTTTTGCCAGGGGTGTAGATACAACCAAAAACAAAAAGGCAAAATCAAAAAAATTAGAAAAAATGAAATATATATGTACAAAACTTCACTATCAGGGTCCCCCCCCCCGAAAACCCTATTTAGTGTTAATCACCTTTCTCTTCATGGGAAACTAGAGTTTTACCTAAGCAGGCATGAAATCCCACCCTTATAAACGCTAAAATTACAGAGAGCCCTCTGCGGTTAGATACATATCTATAAAGATATAATTCAACTGGAAACCCTTTGGCTAAATATGCACACAATACTATTTTTTGTCTTTTAGATCACAGCTCGCATAATTTCTCTAAATACATCAGGCACTGTATACTTGGACACAGTGTGGAGGGAGCATAGTTAAGTTCAGTAGCTAGTTGACTATATATCCACTCTGCCCTCAACCCATCCTACTTTCATTTTAGTAACAGAAACACCGCTCCTCATCCTAATTCTTCCCCATCCCACCCTGCCCCAGCACCCCTCCTAGCTTCCGCTAACTGCCCATCATAGGCCTGCCACTTCAAAAGTTACCTTTTGAGTTCTTAGAACCTGCTTTGTTTGGCTAGTCCTTCACAACAGAGCTAATTAGAAAGAATGTATTAACGAGAAAACAAAAATTAAGTAAAACCAAAGGAAAACATAACATAAAAACAAATGATAATAAGCTCCATTTGCAGTCAATTTAGCCATGCTTTTAACAGACAGCCGTGGAGGGCCCACCCAGAATGTGTCGGCACATCATTGTCTCAGATGTTCATAATGCAGGACTACATGTGAACATGACAGTTGGTGTGAGTGTACCTTCTCTTTCCTTCTACTTCATTTCCATTCAAACTGCCCACAAGGTGGTGTGGAATGGGGTGGGTGGGGTTAAGGGAACGAGAGACTTGGCATTGCACATTGGGGGGGGGGGGGGGGGCATACAGTTTGGGTTCAGTTCTCGTTTACCATTGTTCAGTGATTATTAGTGAGGTCACCGAATCAGAGCAGGTATGGGGTGGTTGACAGGGAGGCTGGGATCTTTATTGAGATATATATATATATATATATTCAGTGCAGATTCATTAGTAACAATACACACACACATCCACCCAGTTTGTGATTCATGAAGAAAAAGAAAGAGAATGGGAATTCAACTCAATGAACAGAAAAAAAAAGAAAAAAAAAATAACTTGGTTTGATGTGTTTCTAAGAGATAGTTTTTTTTTTGTAATGTTCTTTTAAAATCAAAAACATGTTAGGGTAACTGTACGGGCAGGCACCTCTCTCTCACTGCGTCCGAGAGGCTAGCAAAAGGCAATTACCAGTTAACTGATCAGCAGGCAGGCTTGGGGCGGCTCGTCATTGGGTGAAGAGTTCAGAGGTCAGAAGGTCATGTGTTAGTTGCCGGTGGCGGCTAGGTGGTTAGAAACAAAAAACAAACAAAGAAAAAAAAGATAGAAAGGATATTAGTGTCAGCAAGAAGAGACTGCAATGACATCATTTTAACAATAAAATGAATGCAATCTCTTATTCCCTCTAATTCCCGCCAAGAGACAAACCCAGCTAGCTAATATTGTTATAATCATGAGGTTGTTACATCACGATCTCAACTACTAAGCCCCCAACCTGAATTAAAACGTTGTTTTAACTCAAGAGAGGTCAAACAAAGTACAGAAAAATGAGTATGGTTTAGTTTCTTCGAGGTTGGAATGCAAATTACCAACAGTGTGATTAGTGGTAAGGAGACTTAAAGTAACTAGCTAGTGTTACGCAAGGAATAACAGTACCTCGTGTTATGCAAGGAATAATAGTACCTAGTGTTACGCAAGGAATAACAGTACCTAGTGTTACGCAAGGAATAACAGTACCTAGTGTTACGCAAGGAATAACAGTACCTAGTGTTACGCAAAGAATAACAGTACCTAGTGTTACGCAAAGAATAACAGTACCTAGTGTTACGCAAGGAATAACAGTACCTAGTGTTACGCAATAAATAACAGTACCTAGTGTTACTTAAGGAATAACAGTACCTAGTGTTACTTAAGGAATAACAGTACCTAGTGTTACTTAAGGAATAACAGTACCTAGTGTTACTTAAGGAATAACAGTACCTAGTGTTACTTAAGGAATAACAGTACCTAGTGTTACGCAAGAAATGACAGTACCTAGTGTTACTTAAGGAATAACAGTACCTAGTGTTACGCAAGATATGACAGTACCTAGTGTTACTTAAGGAATAACAGTACCTAGTGTTACTTAAGGAATAACAGTACCTAGTGTTACTTAAGGAATAACAGTACCTAGTGTTACGCAAGAAATGACAGTACCTAGTGTTACTTAAGGAATAACAGTACCTAGTGTTACTTAAGGAATAACAGTACCTAGTGTTACTTAAGGAATAACAGTACCTAGTGTTACTTAAGGAATAACAGTACCTAGTGTTACGCAAGAAATAACAGTACCTAGTGTTACTTAAGGAATAACAGTACCTAGTGTTACTTAAGGAATAACAGTACCTAGTGTTACTTAAGGAATAACAGTACCTAGTGTTACTTAAGGAATAACAGTACCTAGTGTTACTTAAGGAATAACAGTACCTAGTGTTACTTAAGGAATAACAGTACCTAGTGTTACTTAAGGAATAACAGTACCTAGTGTTACTTAAGGAATAACAGTACCTAGTGTTACTTTAGGAATAACAGTACCTAGTGTTACTTAAGGAATAACAGTACCTAGTGTTATGCAAGGAATAGATTACTTTTTCCAGATTCTCTCTCTTTATTACCAGTATATACAGGAGCCATAAATACATTTGTTATAAAATGTTAAAATATAAAATGACAGTAACTCGTGTACAACTGAAATATCATACAAAAATGTTTCCATGTATTTTGACATTTTATTTCGATACTTAAAAACACACCGGAGAGGGAACGTTAACTAGCTTTGATTAGGTATGTCCGTCCTACCTAAAAAATAGACATAAAACAAAAATTCAAGACATAAACCAAGAGGAGAAATGATGCCTGGTGGCTCCTGTAGTGCTGTCTACGTTTTCTAGTTAGCGCTTAGAGTTGCTTTCCACAGATTCCCCATAAGTAAAACAAATGAATGATGTATGGGAACAAGGCTGACCTATTTTAGGATCTAATCTCACATCAGAGGAATATTGAGAAAACTTAGCTTGAACACCACGTGTGCTACCTGTTCTGTCACCAAGGGTCACAGTTCATGTAAACCAAAGCAATTCAGATCGCTTTTGCCTGAGCATTTACATATTACATTTGAGTCATTTAGCAGACGCTCTTATCCAGAGCGACTTACAGTTAGTGAGTGCATACATTTTTCATACTGGCCCCCCGTGGGAATCGAACCCACAACCTTGGCGTTGCAAGCGCCATGCTCTACCAACTGAGCTACAGGAGGCTACACTGAGCATTGAAATATAGTTCTATATTGAGTACTACGAGTACTATTATGTAAACAATGTGCATACCACAGTCAACCATTTAGTTGCTGTGGATGTGTGGTGACAAAATAAAGTATATAAACACAGGAGAAATCCCAACAAAGGCAAATATAAGGCAATGCAAATCAACAGTCAAAGTAAAGTATCTTAGAGACTAAACTAACCTCTGTCTGCGGTCACTGTCCTTTGGTAAGGATGGACCCGCGAGTCATACCGTCTCACTTTGGTAGCCATTGCACCTAGATTGCAACAAGTCCACAAGGTTAGAACCCATTCACTTTAGGAGGGGAAAAACAAGTCTTACAGTAATACATATTCACATTTTACACATATACTGCTTATACATTAGATTATAATATACATAAACATGATACAGACATGTATAAAAATGCATAGAAAAAAAATTACACATTTGCTTTAACTTGATATCTATAAATGTATAACTTAGGTAATACAATTTCACAGTACTCAAGTGTTACATAGAGGATTCGTGGAACCGGTGGGCAGGGGGACAGGGGACTAAGGCTGTCTAGCAAAAAAACATGTTCATCTTCCATTGGGGACGCAGAAGGGGGATAGAGAAAAGAATTGGCTGATTTTAAAAGTTGTGAAAATCCAATGCAGCTCAGATCCTAATTGGATGGCGCTAGACACCACCTGGCTCTCTCACGTCTCTACATCTCTCAGTATCAATCTTCTCACTGGCAGTAGCATTCATTTCTCTCTGAATATTTGTCACAAATGAAGACAGACATTTCAATTACCCTAGTGTGGTTTCTCTTGATTTCATACACGGAAATGGAGTAAAATACCATGTTGGTTGCATAGGAACTGTGACCGTGCATAGAGATAAAGAATTAGTCTATGACCAAAAAAAAGAAATCCCAGATTGAAAAATGTTCAAGGTAAATCCTTAATGCAACGAGTCCGACAATCTAAAAGTTTGTCCAAAAAGCCTAGCTAGAGCTCAGAGCAGTCAGCGAGACACCATTTCAGCACTCAGGGGTCGTATCTCTTGGGCTTCTATGCGGCTATGTCAATATTTCTGATTTAGTGAGCCAGGGAAGGATAGCCTCCCAGATCTCGGGGACAGAGAGATGGCGGAGTGATGCCGTGGAGGCCATATTTCTCTGATCTTCATTACCCAGAGAGCGTTTAAAGAGATTTGTGTCAGAGCCCTTCAATGGCTAAATGGTGGCCGTCCCCACAGAACAGGTCACCGTGACAACCATCTGGGCATCCTGTCATATGGTACACTACTAAACCCTCTTCTCTGCAGTTATCAAGTGAGCACTTCTAAAAGGAGACAACTCAGAATGTTGGCTTGGGTAGGTTTCCATGCTGAAATGGAGAGTTGGTGGAATAAGCCAGTGACGGTTACATCACACTTGGAACGGCCCTGAGACTAATATCTATCTATCCTGGCAGGGCAGGCAGGCAAGCTGTGTGCGATGTTTCACAGTGCTGGTTGATGATCAAACCAGCCCGCCCACATTCCACTCTGCAGCATCAGATGTCCTGAGGTTTCCTCAGAGCTAACGCAGAGTCCTGAGCAGGGCTAGTAGAGCCAAATGCACGCTGTGTTCCGGTGGCGCTCCGTTGCTGAAGGCACCGATCAATACGGCATCCGAGTTAGAGAGAAAAGCCAGTAGGCTCTGTACTACAGAACAGCTCCCAGAGGCACCTCTTTCACACACACAAAGACACGGGTCAGCTAACATGGCACCTGTGTATCCGCTGTCTCATGTCAGGATCAACACCTCAGGCATGTCATTAAAGGCAGTGACACAAACAGGAAAGGCCTCTGTCAAAACTTGACAAGGTATGCAGTGGCACACAGTCATTATTTGGTCGAATTAGAGTGCGATAGCCTCCATAAAAATGTGAGTTATTATCGTCAGTTACGTCTAAATGTTTCTTTGGCAGGATATTGCTTTGTGTGTGAGCGCCGGTGTGCATACACACCCGCACCTACGGAATGTAATTCCCACGGCCGACGTATTGACTGGGGAATGTCGGTGGCTCGTACTAAGTTGAAGTTCAAGAGCGTGAAAACTGAGCCAATGGGAAAAATGAGAACAGTGAATTTAATGAACATCCCCACCGGGACAAAGGGTTTCTACTGGCATCAAGGCCAGAGCTGTAGAGTTAGCTGGGAAAAAAATAATACTAATTTCAAAAGCCGGTGAAATCCGGGGGGATCCACCGTCAGACTGAATCTGCTGTTGGCGAGTGCATAAAAGGGCTAGAGCACAGCAGCATGTCGCTGTCAGAGTGTGTCTTCAGACAAGGCAACTCGCCTTATATTGCATGGGAGTATAATGGCAGCTGCAGAACAGAGAGAAAACGGCAGGTAGCCTAGTGGTTAAGAGTGTTGGGCCAGTAACTGAAAGGTCACTGGTTCGAATCCCAGAGCAGACTAGGTAACAAATCTGTTGATGTGCCCTTGAGCAAGGCATTTAATCCTAATTGCGCCTGAGCGTCTACTAAATGACTAAAATGTCAAACTAAACCTGAGCCAGGAAAAGCATGGTGGGGAGATGAGCTAAAATAAAAAATGTCTACCCCCCAAAAAAATCCCTGTCCCCCTTGCCCTTTGTTAGCGCATTAATCCTGTTCAGCTGTCAGGTCATAAGGTCACACCCATAACAACCCTGTTTGTTTTTTTTCAGCTGGATACGACATATTTACCTTTCAACAAGTCCTGACCGTGGCTCATCGAAGCCGCGTCCAAAAACCCAGGGTAAAACAAGCTGCCCTCCTGTCCGGGGCTAAAGGGGCCGCCGCCCAGGCCCCAGGGTCGCTTACCTAGAACCCCACTGTGGTCGATGGGGTACTCCAGCAGGGAGGTGGGCGCCAGGGCGTACGGGTAGTCGTACGGGGAGGCGTAGAGGATACCGCCTTCCGGCGAGGGAGGCACCAGGGTTGGGGTGCCGTTGGGTAACATGCCCTGCATTTGGGGTTGTCGGATGATGTTCATGATGGGGGGCCCTGCCGGTGTGGGGGGCCTCATTTGCTGATGGGGGGCCATCAACTGCCCCTGAGGGGCCTGCATTAGACGGGGGCCCTGAGCGGCGGCAGCCGCCGCTGCAAGAGAGAACGCAAGGGGGTCTGCCATAAGCAAGAGTGAAAGACAGAGAAAGACAGAGAGAGATACAAGACAAAGGGGTAGAGATGTGGTGGTGCGGTTGACCAAAATCACAGGTGAAGAGAAGCGAGTCGGAAAATACAAAAAGTAGAAAAAGGGGGGAGAAGGAGAGGAGGGCGAAAAAAATGAAAATTAGTCCATGCAATGATTACGGTGAACCAGCAAACAAGAAAATAAAATAAACAAGAAAATAATAAAAGAACCCCATACCAAAAGATAAAGGGAAAATGCTGCAATCACCACCAATGCACAGACAATATTAAGCATACCAATCACCATGACAACTACGAGTTAATGTACTGCGGACGGCACAAGTACACAAGCCAACAGAAATGGAGCCGGTGGCCATGGAGAGGAGAGATGGAGTGCCAGTTTCTGATAAGGACCAATAGGATCACATCAATCCCTAAAACAGACAATCCAGTTTATTGGACGACTCTCTGGGCCTATGAGGCCTTGCTTTGGACCGACTAGTTGAAATCTGCCAGACTATAAATACAGTTCTGATACACTCCACTCCTCTACATGATACACGCCACTCCGTAGACCATTTTGGTTGGCTGACAAACGAAATCGACAAAAGATTTTCTAAATTGTTTTGCATTTACAAATGTTCTGACATAGTGAACATCACTGACAGCGGGGGCGATTGAATCAATGTTTTACATGTGGCTCTTTGGGCCATGACTCCGTGGCTAATTCATGCTAAGTATCGCTGGTCTGGCAACACAGCCGAGAGAACCAGACACTGGTCCAGACATTGGTGTTAGAAACCAATGTCTGCCAAGTCAAATTATTACACGTTTTCCAAATTAGATTTTTACTTCAAAACAAGCCATGACTTTTTGGACTGACCAAATGTGCAAAACATGACTAATATAATTCAGTAACAAATCATGATAATAATGCAAACGAAAATTGTGACAAACTCCAAGCAGCCACCAAAGAAACATGAATTTTGCAATGCATTTATACAAATCACAAGCATGAAAGTGCAGAACTGTGGGAACTCTTGGTGGGATGAATTCCAAAGAAAGTAACACTTTGGTGATTGGAAAACTAAACAGTGTTTGTAACAGATGCGTGAACTACGTCATGCAGAGATGAGCGAGTGATTTCTGCGGTGCGCTGAAGGCATATAGAAGCCACACCGACATTACAGCAAACTGTGATTGCATCCATATGGAAGGAAGGGAAAAGGGGGGGGGGGACTGCTCTACTTGGATACAGGTGGTTTTAGGAGGTAGGTAGACATGAGTCAGACAGCACTTCAGAGAAAAGTGCATAAGTTTATAAAATAAAAATAATGACTACAAACATGAGGCAGAGGCACACAGTTAACTGTATATCATGAGCATTTCTTCACTGTGGTTATTGTGAGGTTCTAGCTGGTTACTGTGAGGTTCTAGCTGGTTATTGTGAGGTTCTAGCTGGTTATTCTGAGGTTCTAGCTGGTTATTCTGAGGTTCTAGCTGGTTATTGTGAGGTTCTAGCTGGTTATTGTGAGGTTCTAGCTGGTTAATACAATAACAGATGGATTAAGATGATTAATGATAAGCTTTGGTGTGTAACATTAGTCAATGTGGATCCAAACAGGACCTTCGTGTAGTGTGTGTGTGTGAGGGCGGCTGGTATGTGTGCGTGTGTGTGGTTGTAAAGCGTACGTGTCTTGATGTTGGTGTCTCGGTACGTCCCGTTGAGAATGGCCAGCTCCATCAGCTGCATCTTCTTCAGATTATCCTCGCCTTCCGCCTGGTACAACAAACAAATCAACAGGTCAGTCAACAAGTCCTTTCAACAAACAACAAGTCATTTCAGTCATGTTAAGACATTTGACTGTGCTGTGTCACTATTGCAAGGGGGGGTACATAGGGACAGACATCCAGAGGCGTAATCATTAGAGGACACCGTAGCAAATAGCTGAAAACAGAAAACCTTTTGAAATGAACACGAGTTTCTATTGGACAAATTCAGGTAGGCCCCTTCCTGTTCCGTTTGGTTCCTAGTGACTACACCCTAGCAATCGCTAGTTCTCCATAAGCACAAGTTGCATGGGGGAGGAAGGCATCGAAATAAGTTACACCACCATTGTCATGTTGCATCATCTCATGTTTTGCTAAATCGCTGACAGGGACATTAGGCAGGGAAAACGCATGCATAAACCACTGTCTTATAAGCAAGATAATTACTGGAAAAATTAAATCCCCCTTGTGCGCAATCAAATGCACGGTATAGGCCCAGCTAATGTCAGTCCTGTCAATTAATGTTTGGATAAATAAATACATAAGTGGTGTCACTGTCATTATCGCCCAAATTAGGCAAGTTAAATTATTCATGGAGCAATTAAGTTAGCACCCATCCCCTTCTCTCCCCGAAGCGACGAAACGCTCCATAACCATGACAACGAAGTAGAAACCCAGTGATTTTCCAGGTAGATCGTAATAAAGAAGGACTGGCGTGATTGCAGCAGACAGAGAGATAAACGAGGCTTCAGACAGACAAGGCTGCTGCAGACTTCTCCTCTATGCTTCAGACAGACCAATGCTTCACGGACAGGGCTCCAGACTAACATGTTCCCCTGGTGGTACTGGTGCCACCAGCCATTTCAGTTGGTGGCACTAGCTCACGAAACTATAGATCATTTTGCTCTTTGATTTTGAATTTTAAGACCCCTTAAAGTATCCCAAATATACATGTTTTTGACCTTACTGCTATTAGCCCATACAAATTGAATTGAATAACAGATTCACTACATGGAACAGATAGTCCCCCCCCAAAACAATCTAAAGGAAGTTGGTTCTGAAGTGTCTATCCTATATATTTTTACATGTATTTAACCCCTCCATACATTCTTCCATCAATGTTTTCGACTGGTACCGGGGGATCTTCAGACGAGTCTCGAGTCCTGTGGGCGTCCTAGAGCAAAACAACCGACATGTACGTGTTCGTGATAGTCACACCTTTACAGAGGGGTCATATTTTTTATTTTATTTTATTTCACCTTTATTTAACAAGGCAAGTCAGTTAAGAACAAATTCTTATTTACAATGACGGCCTACACCGGCCAAACCCGGACGACGCTGGGCCAATTGTGCGCCGCCCTATGGGACTCCCAATCACGGCCGGTTGTGATACAGCCTGGAATCGAACCAGGGGGTCTGTAGTGACGCCTCAAGCACCGAGATGCAGTGTCTTAGACCACTGCACCACTCGGGAGCCCAATTAGTGCGTAGCCCAAACTGTTCGGAAACTACAGACAGAAGTTGGCAGATCAGCTGTACCGACTTCAGACAAGTCCCAATACGCTTGTGGGGGGAGCAAAACTGAGAGAACACCAAATCAAATAAAATTGTATTTGTCACGTGTTTAGCAGATGTTATAGCGGGTGTAGCGAAATGCTTGTGCGTCAAGCTCCAACAGTGCAGTAATATAAAAAACAACAACAACATTGTGTTCGTGAGAGTCATCTTTCCATAGAGGGGACATAACAGTGTAGGCCCAACCGTTCGGACGCTACAGACGATTTTGTGAGAAGACCGATTTTCGGGATGTCTCATGGTCTGACAAATACCGCTCTAGCTCTGTCACCTTTCACCACAGATGCAGAAGTGTTACATAGGCGGATGCAGTGGATTGAGACGTATCATATACAAAAAAAAATATGTTTAGCTTAAACTGACGTAATTTTATGGGGATTTTTTTTACTATGCTGAGAACTGTAGTTGCTTCCAAAGCTATGTATTTCCAGCAATGGCGAAGGAGCATAAAGAAATTCAGATATTACATCTATGTTTTTAGCACTACCTACAAAGTCTTTAATCTACGGTGCCAACATGGTTCAATGTGCCAGTAAATCAGCACAATCTACTTTTTGCGTTTATTCAAATTGCCGCCATCTTGGAGCTAGATTTGGGATAATGTATACTGCGCTAACGCCGAAACCAAAAAAATTGTAACTGAGAGAAATGCACAATATGGCGAACTGAGCAAACGAGGCATCTTTGGTAAGTACACGGGCGCTGCCATCTTCATGCACCTTCACCATTGGATTTGGAAGTGATTTACAATCTTTCTCCCGGACCACACATCAAGTGGCTCGCTCATCACAGCACCAGGCTCTAGCCAAACAGGCCCAGGGGCTGGGCAAACTCATTACAGGAATAATGAGGATAATGCACTTTACTGTTTGACCAAATCAGGGTTTTAGCCACCCCCAAAAATAGGAAGTTATGAAACACTAACCCAGAACATTCAGCAAGGTGAATGAATGTTCAGTTCGCACTGATGCGACCAATTAAAAATTGTAACTTGCACAGCCAAGTCAAAGGGTCTCAAAATGCAACTAAATGGTCGCAGTCTGGAGCCCTGAGAGCAGACTCAAGAGCTCCAGTGGCATGACAAGGTTTTGTTTTTGGCCGAGTTGTTCAGACGCAGCTTTTCTCCCGATTAAAAGGGGAACAAGGCTGTTAACGGCGGAGCAATAAAGACAAGGGACAGACAGATCTCTGTGCTCCATTCAATATCACAGTCTTTTCTTTGAGCAATTCACCGGTTCAAAAGCAGTTTCCTGCTCTATTCAATCAGGCTGGGGTGGGGTGGGGGTAGCAGTGGAGAGCAAGGCACAAAGTTAAGACCTCCGCAGAGACTCCTTTCAAGGGGAAGACGGGAGGGAGGGAGGGAGGAGAGCATCAGTGGCAGTGTCTGGTCTCTGACTCACTACTGAAAGATGTGGCTTCAGACTACACACTAGGCTACGTGCTACAGTCTGCAACAGCTTTTCTTCAACGTCCAAATATACACATTTTTATGGAAGGCGGTCAAAATAAATACAATCACCTTGCATTTTGGTGGATAAATCATTCCCACGACTCTGTACTGTAAACTACTGAAACATAAGAGGGAGTAGCTTGCGCTACCACTACCCCGGAGCATTCGGCTTGCGCTACCACTACCCCGGAGCATTCAGCTAGTGCTACCACTAACCCAGAGCATTAAGCTAGCGCTACCACTAACCCAGAGCATTAAGTTGCGCTACCACTAACCCAGAGCATTAAGTTGCGCTAACACTAACCCAGAGCATTAAGCTAGCGCTACCACTAACCCAGAGCATTAAGCTAGCGCTACCACTAACCCAGAGCATTAAGCTAGCGCTACCACTAACCCAGAGCATACAGCTAGCACTACCACTAACCCAGAGCATTAAGTTGCGCTAACACTAACCCAGAGCATTAAGCTAGCGCTACCACTAACCCAGAGCATTAAGCTAGCGCTACCACTAACCCAGAGCATTAAGCTAGCACTACCACTAACCCAGAGCATTAAGCTAGCGCTACCACTAACCCAGAGCATTAAGCTAGCGCTACCACTAACCCAGAGCATTAAGCTAGCGCTACCACTAACCCAGAGCATTCAGCTAGTGCTACCACTAACCCAGAGCATTAAGCTAGCGCTACCACTAACCCAGAGCATTAAGCTAGCGCTACCACTAACCCAGAGCATTAAGCTAGCGCTACCACTAACCCAGAGCATTAAGCTAGCGCTACCACTAACCCAGAGCATTCAGCTAGTGCTACCACTAACCCAGAACATTCTGGGACAATCTGCATTGAAGGAAAGCACACGACCCACACTGATCCTAGTAGGATCCAGGCCCATTCAGTGCCTATTACAACAACCTCCCCAGCCTCAGAGGTGAGTGAGGCCACTTCACATTCTAAATACCAGGCCTGCTGAGCAGAACGCCTAATTAGCTATGCTCACAGAGAATGGCTAACGCTAACATGGACCCCTCAACCTGAAAATGGGCTTAAATCACTGCTAATTAGCTGTTTAAATGCTCCACACAAAGCCCAGTCAGAGGAGCCAGTTAGGCCTTTTTAGCTTCCTAAACACTTGCCAAACAGAGGTGGTTGCGGTAGAGTGAACATCTTTAGCTGCCCATTCTATTAGATCCTCCGTCGTCTGCCTCCCTTCCCTGTTTACCATCACAAATTAAAATCAGATCGTTACCACGACGACGTTCTAGACAGCTTCTCCCAAGTCGGGTAAGATGATTCTCAGGAAAGAGACAGCTGGTTCTCTTTCTCTCTGCTCACTTTTTGGCCCCAAACTGTGTCAGCCGGTTTGGATCTGAGCCAAGGCTGAAAAGTGACTAAGCCAAAACATAAAAACGGAGACAGTCACGGCGAGGTCGCGCTGAGTGTTCGGTTGCACATATGCAGTTTTCAGTGACAAAAAGGAGTTTCTAAAATAGCCTTTATGAGGAGCCAGACATCTCATGGCAGAGTAGACTCTGACCCTGGCTCAGTGGTTAGAGAACTGAGTCAGTAATGACAGAGAGACCCTCAGTCTTCGCCTGAAGCGTCTGCAAGGTCACCAAGTCTGTGCTCTACCCTCCATCCCAAACATAAAGGCCTACTGTGTGTTTTGCCGGCAACACATTTACAACGCTGTTACAACAAGCCGTTTAATGTGCAAACTGGAGAGCGGCTAGAGGTTGGCGGGTGAGATTGAAGAACCATTGGGTTGTTTCCCTTGCAGCTGACGCGGCTAACCTTTTTAAATACAGGCCCAATAATGAGAGTTGGAAACAGGTTGTTTTCCCTTTAATGGGGAGGAGAGGCCTGGCTGGTTTTCCTAGGTGTGTGTGTTTGTGTTTGTGTGTGTGTGTGTGTGTGTTTGTGTGTGTGTGTGTGTGTGTGTGTGTGTGTGGTGCTTACGAACACTGAGATAGCGCTGTGGATAAGAGGGAGTGGGCGGTCATCGGGCCGGGTCTCAGCAGCGCAATGCATGCTGGGGGATGAGTGCGATTGGTGTGTGTGTGTGTGTGAGAGCGTCGCAGGCAGACAGGAACAGGAAAGGGGGTTGAGGATGATGGATTTGCAGGTTGGAAGAGTTAAAGAGGCTCCTGGTACGTCACTATCAACATCTCTCCGGCTCTGCATAGCAGGGGATGTGCTGCTGTGAGGGGCGTAAAGCAACGTAGAGGGGAGGGTGTCAGATGCTGCTAGGATGGGTGTGTGTGTGTGGCAAAGAGGAAAACAGAAGGTATTGTGTGTTTGTGTGTGTGGCAAAGAGGAAAACAGAAGGTATTGTGTGTGTGTGTGTGTGTGTGTGTGGCAAAGAGGAAAACAGAAGGTATTGTGTGTGTGTGTGTGTGTGTGGCGGAGAGTGGAGGCAAACAGAAAGCAAACTCTGGGCAGGCACACCCCCTCAGGAATCCAGCTGACACAGCTCTTCATAGCATAACTGTTTCTTCATAGCAGGCTGTTATAAAACCTTCCTAATGGCCACATGGAAGCAGGTCAATTTACTCCCCTAGTCACTTCAGAAACAACAAAGCTAGTGCTTCTGTTGTGTACATTACTGAAACCCTATTATAAATATGACTTATTAGTATACTAATGGTTGTATTGAGTGATTTGAGAGCTGGATGGAACAGGGTCACACTAAGGCTACAGACAGTGGGCGTCTACTGTCTGCTACGATCTAGCAGTGGGTGAACTATGACAGGACTGAGAGTTTCCTGAAGACTGAATGCATGTTTCATGTGCCAGGATGAAGGGACTAGATATTTCTTTGATGTCCCTGTGACCATAGAGCAATTAACAAAATCCTGAGTCGGCACACCTCACACACTCCCGGTTTCCTCATTAAACATTCAGGACGGCTGTCAGGATGCCCAGTGTGTGTGTGCGTGTGTGCGCACGGAAGGGGAATCATCTCTGTCTGAGAGGGAATGGGCTCCCCGATTCCCAAGAGAAATGTTGCATGGATTACAAACACTGAGGACAAGGAGTGAAAGTATCCCCTTTTACCATCACACACAGACAGAGACACACACAGTCTAGCAGCGAAAGGCCCAGAATAAACCTGCTCTATTCACAGTAATCAGATTCAATCAATGTGGCCTATGTGTTCAATCTGTGGAGCAGTAGAAGCTATCGTGGAGGATGGGGGATGAGAGGCGTGTTGTCCCTCTGCCTGCCTGACAGCCCAACGGATGAGGTTACCCGAGGCGTCACGAATCCCACTCATGCTCTCACACACAGTCTGACAGAGAGGGAGAGAGAGAACGGGAGGGAGAGAGGGAGAGAGAACGGGAGGGAGGGAGAGAACGGGAGAGTGAAAGGGAGGGAGAGAGAGAAAGGGAGGGAGAGAATGGGAGGGAAGGAGCGAGGAGCCGTAAACACAAACAATGACAAATGGCTCCTGGAACATCATGGGACTGGAAAATTCCACGAAAAAGAAACAAGATTTCAACACGTTCAAATAAACAGTTCACTAGTGGTGATTTGTGTGGACAGCACGGCTGTAGCAACAGATGGGTGTATCATAATGTTTGGAAGGCCACACCCTTGCCTTATCCCTCACCCGCCCTCCCTCAAATAAACAGATCAAGCGCCCTGCCTGCGGTGGGTGTGTTTGCTCACGTCTGGCAGGGGCCTTTCTGACATACAGCGGAGAGGAGGAGACAGAGAGTGGGAAAAGAGAGAAAGACAGGGAATGTAGGGAGAAAACAATCCCTTTTCCCCCAGTGGGCTGACACTGGCTCCTCCATGCTTTTCTTCACTGGTCTATGCTGCCAGTCATAACAAGAGGAGGGGAGTGGCTGGGCACGGGTCTGGTTGCCTTCCAAACTTCTCCAATTACCACAAGAGTAAACAAAGACTGGCAAGCATGGCCTTGAGGCAGGGAGAGAGGGAAAATAAAGTAGAGGAAAGGTAAAGGACGTATCTGGGGATGGGGAGTGCAGTGAGGGACTAATGACTTCACGTTGAGCAACAGGGGGGTGGGGTGCCTGAAAACGGGCAGCTGTTTTTTCTCATCTTCTCCTTCCCCCAATCCCTCCCTCCTCCTCTCCTCCCTTCATTTCCCTCCCAAACTAACATCTGGAGAATAGTAATTACTCTAGTCACCGTGCCATGACAACTTATCAAGAACTCCCCAGGCTATAGAGACCCGACACAGAGAGCGAGACCCGACACAGAGCGAGACCCGACACAGAGAGCGAGAGAGAGACCCGACACAGAGAGCGAGAGAGAGACCTGACACAGAGAGCGAGAGAGAGACCCGACACAGAGAGCGAGAGAGAGACCCGACACAGAGAGCGAGAGAGACCCGACACAGAGAGCGAGAGCGAGACCCGACACAGAGAGCGAGAGAGAGACCCGACACAGAGAGCGAGAGAGAGACCCGACACAGAGAGCGAGAGAGACCCAACAGAGACCGACACACAGATAGAGAGAGAGAGAGAGGAGACCTGGGCCCTGACAGTAAATCTCAGTAAGACAAAAATAATGATGTTCCAAAAAAGGTCCCATTGCCAGGACCACAAATACAAATTCTATCTAGACACCGTTGCCCTAGAGCACACAAAAAACGATACATACCTCGGCCTAAACATCAGCGCCACAGGTAACTTCCACAAAGCTGTGAACGATCTGAGAGACAAGGCATGAAGGGCCTTCTATGCCATCAAAAGGAACATAAAATTCGACATACCAATTAGGATCTGGCTAAAAATACTTGAATCAGTTATAGAACCCATTGCCCTTTATGGTTGTGAGGTCTGGAGTCTGCTCACCAACCAACAATTCACAAAATGGGACAAACACCAAATTGAGACTCTGCATGCAGAATTCTGCAGAAAATATCCTGTGTACAACGAAAAACACCAAATAATGCATGCAAAGCAGAATTAGGCCGATACCCGCTAATTATCAAAATCCAGAAAATATCTGTTAAATTCTATAACCACTTAAAAGGAAGTGATTCCCAAACCTTCCATAACAAAGCCATGACGTACAGAGAGATGAACTTGGAGAAGAGTCCCCTAAGCAAGCTGATCCTGGGGCTCTGTTCACAAACACAAACAGACCCCACAGAGCCCCAGGACATCAACACAATTAGACCCAACCATATCATGAGAAAACAAAGAGAATTACTTGACACATTGGAAAGAATTAACAAAAAAACTGAGCAAACTAGAATGCTATTTGGCCCTAAACAGAGAGTACACAGTGGCAGAATACCTGACCACTGTGACTGACCCAAACTTAAGGAAAGCTTTGACTATGTACAGACGCAGTGAGCATAGCCTTGCTATTGAGAAAGGCCGCTGTAGGCAGACCTGGCTCTCAAGAGAAGACAGGCTATGTGCACACTGCCCACTAAATGAGGTGGAAACGGAGCTGCACTTCCTAACCTCCTGCCAAATGTATGACCATATTAGAGACACATATTTCCCTCAGATTACAGCGATCCACAAAGAATCCGAAAACAAACCCAATTTTGATAAACTCCCTTATCTACTGGGTGAAAAACCACAGTGTGCCATCACAGCAGCAATATTTGTGACCTGTTGCCACAAGAAAAGGGCAACCAGTGAAGAACAAACACCATTGTAAATACAACCTATATATTTATTTTCCCATTTGTACTTTAACTATTTGCACCTTGTTACAACACTGTATATATACACATGACATTTGAAATGTCTTTATTCTTTTGGAACTTCTGAGTGTAATGTTTACTGTTAATATTTATTGTTTATTTCACTTTTGTTTACCATCTACTTCACTTGCTTTGGCAATGTTAACAATGTCAATTGGCTATATTAAAACTGTTTAATTTGATCCTGAGTGTAGGTTATTTCCCTGACATCTGGAATCAAGGACTCATAACCCCAATCTTTAAGAACGGAGACAAATCTGACCCTAACAATTACAGAGGCATTTGCGTGAACAGTAACCTGGGGAAGGTTTTCTGTAGTATTATAAATGTAAGAGTTCTTCCTTAATAAGCACAATGTCTTGAGTAAAAGCCAAATTGGATTTATACCAAAACATTGCAAGACCGATCATATTTACACCCTGATAGATAAACATGTCGACCAAAATAACACCAAAATGTACGCTTGCTTTATCGACTTCCAAAACGCATTTGATTCTATTTGGCATACAGGACTGTTCTACAAAGTTATTGAAAGTGGTGTAGGGGGTAAAATATATCTCATAATTAAATCAACTGGCAATACGTGCAGCATCAAAATTGGCAAGAAAATAACATAATTCTTTAACCAGGGGTGGGGCCTTCGCTAGGGTTACTTTCTGAGCCCTGCACTCTTCAATATTTACATAAACGAATTGGCCACTATTCTAGAAAAATCCTCAGCCCCAGGTGTTAAGTCTCCACAATTCAGAGGTTAAATGCCTGCTCTTCACAGATGACCTATGCCAGCTGTCACCCACAGCACATGGCCTACAGCAGAGCCTGGACCTGCTAGAGCAACCCCAAAAATACTAAAATAATGATTTTCCAGAGAAGATCCAGATCTCAGGGAATTAGACCAAAGTTCTCAATTGGTCCAAAATATATAGAGTACTCCACACACTACAATTACTTAGGTTTAAAAATTAGCTCAACTGGACACCTTAATGATGCAGTGAATGAACTGAGAGAGAAAGCACGCAGGGCATTCTACGCCATTAAAAAACAAATTCAAAATGAAATACCTATTAAAATTTGGCTAAAACTAATTGAATGTGTCATTGAACCAATTGCACTTTATGGCAGTGAGGTGTGGGGTCCACTTGAAACCCTGCATGCAGAGTTCTGTAAAATTCTCCTACACGTCCAGAGGAAAACTAGAAACAATGCATGCAGGGCAGAATTAGGCCAATATCCACTAATAATAAAAATTCAAAAAATAGCAGTGACCTGCTCTCATATCATTACCAAGCCCTGCAATGCCAAGAGCTGAGCAAAGAAAATAGTCCCCTCATCCAGCTGGTCCTGGGGCTGAGTTCACAAACCTGGTCTACTAACACACTGAAGCCTCAGGACCAGAACATCCAATCAAATCAGAATAAACCAAATTACAACACAAAACTACATTGCTTATTGGGAAACACAAGCACAAAGTAAAATGAAGTGCTATCTGGCCCTAAATCAACAGTACACCGTGGCTAACTATTCGACCATGGTTACTGATCAAAACCTTAGAAAAACCTTGACAAAGTACAGGCTCAGTGAGCACAGCCTTGCCATTGAGAAGGATAGACACAGGAAAACCTGGCTCCCTGTAGAGGAAAGTCTGTGCAACCACTGCACCACAGCATTTCCTGACAAAAGGTCAAAAATATAAAACAATTAGTGTCATTTCCCAAAATGTGAAACCGTATTTCAAGATTTCAAAGAGCTCTCTGATGAGAATAGGCTCCCTGTCCTGTTGGGGGAGGATGCAGAGAGCTGTGGTTGGCAGCACACTACATTGCTGCCTGCCATAAGATGAGGGACAGTGTCTGACAGACCAACCAACCTGCACATGTCCTCTATATTTTTTTATTGTTCAATGGATATTTTGACCCTTGGTTATTGTTGTTGCTGTTGTCCCATTTACAATATTGAGTATTATTATTTTAATTGTAAATATCCAAAGTAAGCTTTGGCAATATGTACATTGTTATGTCATGCCAATAAAGCAAATTGAATTGAACTGACAGACCGACAGAGAGAGAGACAGACCAACAGACACACACAGAGACAGAGAGACAGAGAGACAGAGACAGCGACACAGAGAGACACAGAGAGACACAGAGAGACACAGACACAGAGAGCGACAGACAGAGAGAGCGACAGACAGAGAGAGCGACAGACAGAGAGAGCGACAGACAGAGAGAGCGACAGACAGAGAGAGCGACAGACAGAGAGAGCGACAGACAGAGAGAGCGACAGACAGACAGAGAGAGCGACAGACAGAGAGAGCGACAGACAGAGAGAGCGACAGACAGAGAGAGCGACAGACAGAGAGCGCGACAGACAGAGAGCGCGACAGACAGAGAGCGCGACAGGCAGACAGGAGAGCGCGACAGGCAGACAGGAGAGCGCGACAGGCAGACAGGAGAGCGCGACAGGCAGACAGGAGAGCGCGACAGGCAGACAGGAGAGAGCGACAGGCAGACAGGAGAGCGCGACAGGCAGACAGGAGAGCGCGACAGGCAGACAGGAGAGCGCGACAGGCAGACAGGAGAGAGCGACAGGCAGACAGGAGAGAGCGACAGGCAGACAGGAGAGAGCGACAGGCAGACAGACAGGAGAGAGCGACAGGCAGACAGGAGAGCGCGACAGGCAGACAGGAGAGCGCGACAGGCAGACAGGAGAGCGCGACAGGCAGACAGGAGAGCGCGACAGGCAGACAGGAGAGCGCGACAGGCAGACAGGAGAGCGCGACAGGCAGACAGGCGAGAGCGACAGGCAGACAGGAGAGCGACAGGCAGACAGGAGAGCGCGACACAGACAGACAGAGAGAGCGCGACAGACAGACAGACAGAGAGCGCGACAGACAGACAGACAGACAGAGCAAGAGGGACATTTGTTGAATGTTGAAAACACCAAAAAGTAACCAAATCAAGTGGAATAATACAAAGCACGTTCAACCCCTAGGGCTTAAAAACCAAGCTGAAGAATACAAAGCAGAGAAGAAAGGCCTATTAAAGTTTCCACTTCCAATCAACCAACTACTTACAACACACAGACAAGAAACATGAAAAACTCCTGTGATAAAAGTAGCATTTAAGAGAAAAGCGGAGAGAGAAAGTACAGTTTAGTCCCCACTTCAAATCGTGCCACACATTTCAAAGGCAATTTTCCTCCCCTCACCGTTCATCTCCCAGTAGACTTAAGACGCAATCGTCTGCAACACTGCGCTACACTAGGCTGCCCATCTAAACAAAACCCTCCCTTCACTCACAGAAAGCTGCTTCAGCTCCTTCACTTTTAAAAGACACGTCAGTAAGTTAGCCTAGCGCTAACCTCATTAGCAAGGCAAAATCCCCTTGCAGTCATTAGAATCGACCCTAACCAGTTAGTCAGATTAGAAACTCAAACCAGAGGTGTTCCGCCCCTCCGCTGCCAATCCAGACTCCAGAGTACAGTCACTTTTTGGAGGGAAAGTTGTGTGGGGAATTAGCATTAGCATAGCTGTGCGACAATATGGCAGGCCCTGTCACTGTGCAGGCTGGATGTATGGGGCTTATTAGGAGCTTTTATTGGGCCGGAGTGGGCAACCTTGGTTCTCAGCAGCAGCACCATCAATATCCTGTCGCACTCAGGGCTGCCTGACATACACAGTGGCTCGTTACCGAGGAAGAATTTGCGGAGAGAAGATATGTTTTTCCCCCCTTACTCTCCTCCCTACACACTCCAGAGAGCAGTTCTCGCATGGTCTCTGACACTAACACTCCCAATGTGAGAAGCATTAAAGTACACACTGGATAGGAAACTGGAAAGTTTGGCTACATCCTGGTATATAGTCTCGGAAACTATGAGTGTTATGTAACGGGAGGCGTACAATATAAATAAACTACGAAAATATACTGATTTAATACGAGAATTTGAATGTATACATTATGAATGTGTATTTGCCTGTGCCAGCCTCGACAAAGAAGATATTACCAGCTAACAACAGGACTTAGTCAGAGGAAAAATTCTGAAACAAAAACAGAGTGAACATTAAAGCGATCCATGTTTTCCAATGGCAAAACATGCTGTAAACCCGCTTGAGACGGAGCATGATTCTCTCTCTCGCTCTTCCCCCTGCTCCTCTCTCCCCCCTTTCCCTCCCATCCTCCTCTCCTTTGCCAGATGTATTGTTCTGTTCCTGTGATCCTTTAATGTAGTCCAATTGAGCCGGGAATATCTTGAAGGGATTTGGCCATGGATGATTTGCGGAGGTTTAAATACTGCCGGATTTGCATCAGATTCCGAGATTCTGAGTCAAAGCTGATGAGAGCCCTCCCCTAACCCTCAGCCCCACCCCCATGGCAGGCTGCTGCCCTCTGGACTGGGGGAGATTGGGCAAATGACTCTAGAAAGGGGGCGTGGGGGCATTTTGATGGTGGATAGGGGTACAATGTGGTCACATCACATGACGAGGTTGGAAAAGACATCAGCAACTGTCGGGCTGAGCCTGGACCATGAGCTGAGGGGGATCAGCTGGTAGGCTATGGTACAGAAGCGGGGCTGGTTGCCAGGCAAAGTACCCCCATCATTGGACTGACCCAGGGACGAACCGCTGAGGCAGTGATCCCTCAGTAGTCAAGGACACGGGGAAGGTCGTGGGTCAATGTGATGAGCATTACGAGGATCGGCCACTGACTCAGTGGCTGGCTGATGCTAATGCCAACATTGGGGACATAGTAAAATGCTAAGGTGCACTCAGACAAATGAAAGGGTGTAAAACAAGCTGATGAGACAATGGGAAGTGGAAGGCTTGGTTTATTACGGCGCCTGCTCAATGTCCTACGCACAATACCAATTTCAATGAGCAGCGCAACAGGATGCGTTGCCAGGCATTGATGTGAAAGAGAGAAGGGGAGAGAGAGACTGAAGGCAAAGTAAAGCATCACATTTGAGGGGGCCTCCAAATGCTGAGCTGTACACAATCCCATTTTTCCCTGCTTAAAACACACACAGACACAGAGACAGAAAAAGGGAGCGAGCGAGAGATGAAAGGAGTTCGATCTCCCCCTCTCTGTTGAGCCGGGTCCGAGGGCATCACCAGTTGCCTGAGCCGAGCCCTAGCAGTTCCCGGGCCAGAGCCATGTGGATGGATAATTACCCCTCAGGGTCCTGGGGAGGGGTGCATACTGTAGCCGGCAGCAGCAGCACAAACAACAGCTCCACACTGCAGCATCTCCTCTCTCTCCAACTAAAAGGATTAGGGTTAGGGTTAGCGTCTCTCCAGCTGAAAGGATTAGGGGTTAGGGTTACCTTCAAAGAGAGAGCGACAGGGGGGAAAGACAATCCCCCCCCCAAAGGATGTGGGGTGTAATCAGGTTGGTTATAAAGGCTTTACGGTTAAAGTCAGGGGGGGGTTCTTCTCACTAGACCTAAATGCAAAGGCTACAGTCGGTGACTGGTTGACAAATCAGGCGGGTGTTTGTGTGGGTGTGCAAACTTTTGAAAGTCGCATTGGAGGTGACTTTCCACCAGACTAGGGACTGAGCCTGACTGGGGGAACGGAGCCTTCCAGTTGGCACAGCGGTGGGATGGCCTTGTCTAATTGACTGTGCCACGATGCCTTTTCACTGCACTGCCCATCCGTCAGTTTCAGCAGGTTGGTGGAGCTCTCACATGAATGATGCCACACCGCCACGTTATTATTGCGATATGAATCTTTCCCCGACGTTGCATTTTTCTCCCTCCCTCTCTCTCTCTCTCGCCTAGTTCGTGACCAGATTCCCAATGATACGGGGACAGCGGGGAGGGAGGAAATGAAGGCTGTTATGGCTCTTCCATTGCAAAAGTGTCTGTGACTCCCGGCTCATTCATGTAAATACCAGCGTCTCCTCCAACAGCGTCCGTCTGTAGTTCAGAAAAGCTCCAGTCACTGAGTCACTAGATGCTATGTTTATATTACTGGAGCTTTTCTAAACTTTGTTCATAACTGGCACATTAGATCCCATTTCATCAAAGATGAGAAAATAGTAATTCTGTATCGCGCCAAACAATAACACACTGCATTTTCAAATTCGAATAAAATAAAATAAGCTATATAACACACTGCTTTATCTTGAGAAGAAAATACAAGTTTTTCAGCTGCTGGCTAGAACTAGCTCGCTCCGGATACCTCAAGAAGAAGGATTTGGCTGTTAGCTCCAGGTTCCAGAACCTTCTCCAGGGTCCTTCACAGTGTGAGAGGCCAGGGCTGGCAGATTAACGACTGAGTGACAGGCCCTCCACACAGGGAGGGGGATACCAGCCTGTTGCCCCACAGGAAGGCCTCTTCTCAGGGTCACTGCCACCTGTGTGCCCCATGTGAGAGAGCTAATCAGGACGGATGCACATATGGGCCCAGCGCAGGCACGACATGCAAATGTCAGGGTCAACAACATGTTCCTTGCACAGAAGCAAACATGCCTGTTGCATATCGTTGCGTTACACTATCCATGGTAGAAAAAGGTTTTAACCCTAACCGACAAAAAAAGGGTTCCAGCTTTGGTAACCACCAGTTAGTTATACAAGACATCTGCGGCCTCTTGGGTGTGGTATCAAAGATTTAACTGAAAGCTGAAGGCCTCTGGGCCACAGAGACAAGGTACTTTAATGGAGGATACAGTGGTGAAAGGCAGGCTTTCCAAACCCCACCGAGAGCGAGGGAACATTGAGCGAGCAGTCATGTTAAGTGCTAGCAAACCAAAGCAAACATACAACAAAGGAGATGTCTGATGTTATAAATTATGCATCGACAATGTTATCCTGGCACCCGAGCGAATGTGATAAACTGGAATATATATTTCTCTTTATGATCCATGCTCAGCGAGACAATCCAAATTCTGGAAAAAAAACAGGAAAGGAACATATGCAAACTTGGTTTATGCCTACAGAAGGGAGTTCGCTGGTTGCGTGCCCATTTCTGTAGTGATAAACGCTGCACATTCACGCTAAGCAAAGATAATTATCGACTCACACCAGTTTCTCACTCTTCCCTGCCATCTACCAATCCCAGAGCATGGAAGCGGAGGGACAAGACAAAATGTGTGGACAGAAATCCTGGCAAATCTGGGAATGCATTTTCCACTGTCTCTGCTCTGCCTCCATCTCGGTCTGCTGGAGTGAAGAGACGCCAGGCAGGGGTCTTGAGCCGACGTCAATCACGCGTTTGTAGTCCCTGCAAGCACGCAATGGTTTAGCATCTAGTGTAGAGAAAATACATTTTTATTGTTATTTAGTTTGCTTTAGGGCTGTGGTGAGAGAGGTGGGGGTTCCAGATACAGTGGGGGAAAAAAGTAGTTAGTCAGCCACCAATTGTGCAAGTTCTCCCACTTAAAAAGATGAGAGGCCTGTAATTTTCATCATAGGTACACGTCAACTATGACAGACAAATTGAGGAGAAAAAAATCCAGAAAATCACATTGTAGGATTTTTTATGAATTTATTTGCAAATTATGGTGGAAAATAAGTATTTGGTCAATAACAAAAGTTTCTCAATACTTTGTTATATACCCTTTGTTGGCAATGACACAGGTCAAACATTTTCTGTAAGTCTTCACAAGGTTTTCACACACTGTTGCTGGTATTTTGGCCCATTCCTCCATGCAGATCTCCTCTAGAGCAGTGATGTTTTGGGGCTGTCGCTGGGCAACACAGACTTTCAACTCCCTCCAAAGATTTTCTATGGGGTTGAGATCTGGAGACTGGCTAGGCCACTCCAGGACCTTGAAATGCTTCTTACGAAGCCACTCCTTCGTTGCCCGGGCGGTGTGTTTGGGATCATTGTCATGCTGAAAGACCCAGCCACGTTTCATCTTCAATGCCCTTGCTGATGGAAGGAGGTTTTCACTCAAAATCTCACGATACATGGCCCCATTCATTCTTTCCTTTACACGGATCAGTCGTCCTGGTCCCTTTGCAGAAAAACAGCCCCAAAGCATGATGTTTCCACCCCCATGCTTCACAGTAGGTATGGTGTTCTTTGGATGCAACTCAGCATTCTTTGTCCTCCAAACACGACGAGTTGAGTTTTTACCAAAAAGTTATATTTTGGTTTCATCTGACCATATGACATTCTCCCAATCCTCTTCTGGATCATCCAAATGCACTCTAGCAAACTTCAGACGGGCCTGGACATGTACTGGCTTAAGCAGGGGGATACGTCTGGCACTGCAGGATTTGAGTCCCTGGTGTTACTGATGGTAGGCTTTGTTAATTTGGTCCCAGCTCTCTGCAGGTCATTCACTAGGTCCCCCCGTGTGGTTCTGGGATTTTTGCTCACTGTTCTTGTGATCATTTTGACCCCACGGGGTGAGATCTTGCGTAGAGCCCCAGATCGAGGGAGATTATCAGTGGTCTTGTACGTCTTCCATTTCCTAATAATTGCTCCCAGTTGATTTCTTCAAACCAAGCTGCTTACCTATTGCAGATTCAGTCTTCCCAGCCTGGTGCAGGTCTACAATTTTGTTTCTGGTGTCCTTTGACAGCTCTTTGGTCTTGGCCATAGTGGAGTTTGGAGTATGACTGTTTGAGGTTGTGGACAGGTGTCTTTTATACTGATAACAAGTTCAAACAGGTGCCATTAATACAGGTAACGAGTGGAGGACAGAGGAGCCTCTTAAAGAAGAAGTTACAGGTCTGTGAGAGCCAGAAATCTTGCTTGTTTGTAGGTGACCAAATACTTATTTTCCACCATAATTTGCAAATAAATTCATTAAAAATCCTACAATGTGATTTTCTGGATTTTTTTCCCTCAATTTGTCTGTCATAGTTGACGTGTACCTATGATGAAAATTACAGGCCTCTCTCATCTTTTTAAGTGGGAGAACTTGCACAATTGGTGGCTGACTAAATACTTTTTTCCCCCACTTATCTCTAATCTGCTGCTTGGGAGAACTGGCAGATCCCACTGAGGAAGCAAGAGAGGGATTAACATGGGAACAACGGTCTCACCTGATGTGATTGACCACTGTTCACGGTTACTTTTGCACGGTACTTGAGCAACTATCTTATCCGCAGTCATCGATATTGGCAGATTTGTCGAAAGGCGCAAGTGGTTTCCTCAAGTAAAATGGGATGCAATCCATTCATATTACCCTATCAGTTAGAGTTCATTAATGAGGACGTTTCATACTTCAAATGGCCACTTATTGGAATGCGCTTAATCTCAAGATACCAAGTGTGGTGCGGTGAGTGTTTGAGTGGCTAACCAGGTCTATGAGCAGGGCACAAGGGTGAGCGGACAGATAAACCACTAGAACTAGCAGGATGATAATAGGGTCCAGAGGGAGAGGGCAGAGGGCAGGCCCTTCCCCAGGGTAGCCCTTCCCCAGGGTAGCCCTGTCAGTCAGCCACGTTTGAAGCTGCCGCAGTCAGACACAAAGAGACATAGCCTTAGTGTTCTAAAGCAGAGCCTTTGAGTTCTAAAGCAGAGGTCAGCAAAGTAAAAGCAAGCAATTAGCAGTATTAACATCCATGCAGAAATAAAGCAGGTGGAAGGGAAGAGGGGGGTGGAATTGGAGGTCTGTAACCCATCAGGTTTAACTGGTTTCTGTGTCTAACCTCCCAATCCAAACACTTAATTAGCTTGATTATGGTATTAAGAGCCGGGTGGAAAGTATGCCAGGTGGATTTGAAAATCTACTCTGCGATAGAGTTTTAAGCCTCGTTTGAGCCAGCTAGTGTGTCCCTAGATACAAGATGTTTATGTAGTTTCTATGCGCACAGACAGAGGAAATTCATCCGGCTGCTTTCATTGGTCAAGCGAATATCGCGTCATCAGCCAGTACTGAGTGTGTGTGTGTGGGGGGGGGGGGGGGGGGGGGGGTTAGAGGCTCGGGGCCTAGGACGCTCCCGTTTCCCCATGATCCCTTTCTCCAGGTCCCGAGGCAGTTGTTTGAGCCTGAGTCGGAGTGACACGTCTTACTAAAACTGGAATGATATGCAGGTGCAGACCGGTTGTTTTGGTGGGTACGTTACTGGGCATCTACCTTTTCAAATCATTATAGTTCCTAACAGACAAAACCACAACACTAGACTAAACCACTAGACAATGCATACCGCGCGTTCCGCATGAATGCCAGCCATTTCCTTGCGGGCTAAATCCCATGCAAGGAAGATAATTATGTTTCTTCTCTCTAAAAGACAATACTGCAGTCTTATTTGCAAGTAAGGAGAGTAAACATCATTAATTGGAGAGGCACACATGGATGGAAACCGCCAGATGGTGTTTTGTACTCATTTGTCATACCACGGCTGATAGGGGGAGGTGCGAACGATTATGCGCTAGAAGGAAGAAAAGGTGTTTATTGATGGCGGAGAACTGGGCAGCCCGTGATCAAGCGTCCACCAGGCCGACCGGTGCCTCGTGTTCCTGGCCGAGCTGGGCGGACGTGGCACACGATGCCCTGCAGACCACAACGCCTGGTGTGCATTATGGACCATCTGTCTCCAGAACAAGATGCCCCCAATTTTTCCTCAGTGGAAAGAGTGAAGGCTGGATGAGTGAGAGGGAGGTCTCAAACCTGGCACTGCAGTCTGGAGCTGGTGAGATGACAGGAGCGCGAGCTGAACAAAATTGCAATTCTGAGTCTCATACTGAGAGAGAAACTGCAGAAGCGTGTTATCCTTCGAGACATCAACTTGTATGGTGTCTGAAGCTGTACGAGATCGCAGTTGACAATAAGATAAAAGATAGCCTGACTAAAATATATCTGTTAAAAATCTGAATCCAAGGCCGAAATACTGTACAAGGCTGAAAGACCAACAAAAATAAATGTAAAAAAGAGAAGAGGACAGTGTCCCTGCTGTGAAGCAGATTATGTATCAGTCTGGGGGCTGCTCTGCTCAAGCTGCTAATACAGTCACTTTGTTCCCGGCAAGGACGGGTCCATTCAGGGAGAGACGCCGCAAGCTTTGTGGGGGCGCAGTGCATTCTCTTTCTTTCGCTCTCCCTTTTCCCCCCCTCTTCTCTACCCCTCCTTTCCTGGAATTGCATGGTTTTCTGGAAGATTCAGGAGGACAGGGGAGAGAGAGAGAAGCCGGCTGACTATCTCTTTTAAACTTTGTGCCTCAAAGCAGCCGCAGAGCTGAAACAAAACATTACAAAACAATGAAGCTATAACAACGATGGCAGCTAACTGCGCCCACGCAACGGCTTGAACTTCCCTGAGCTCCCAAGTTGCAACTTCAATGAAAACACCGAACCCTCGCGTGCTTTATCTCGACCGCCCGAGGACAAGGGTCCTCACAACAGACAGACAAATAAACTAAAGCGTAAATGAGGATGCTAATTACTGGATCCCAGACGCTTCTTTTTAACCTCAAAGACAAACTGAACAATGCAGTGTAATGTGCTAACACGTGTAGCTTATTTTTTATGTTAATACTGTACAAGTGGTTAGTGCAGTAAGGGTTTAGCCTACAGTAGCACTGGCATTGAGTTATGATTAATAGTAGACAGACATACTAGCAAATGCATTTATTTCCAGGAAAATTATCTTTCGAGTGGTAAGTGTGTCTATAAGGAGACTGGTCATTGCTTGGATGTCAATTTTTCCAAGAAGCCCTTCAAATAGATGCAGCAGTGGCCCGGGGAGCCAATCAGGATTAATTAGACCCATAATGTCCAGCAGACACCTCTGTCAATCACTCACACAGCCACCTCTGCCACACAACAAACAGTGTCACCTTGACTTCCATCACAACTGCCAACCCCTCTTCTCCAGTAAAAGCATATCTGCTATAGATCTAAATGAGCTGCCTGTCCCCCAACACGCTAAACACCACTACTGTCCCCCAACACGCTAAACACCACTACTGTCCCCCAACACGCTAAACACCACTACTGTCCCCCAACACGCTAAACACCACTACTGTCCCCCAACACGCTAAACGTCACTACTGTCCCCAACACGCTAAACACCACTACTGTCCCCCAACACGCTAAACACCACTACTGTCCCCCAACACGCTAAACACCACTACTGTCCCCCAACACGCTAAACACCACTACTGTCCCCCAACACGCTAAACACCACTACTGTCCCCCAACACGCTAAACACCACTACTGTCCCCCAACACGCTAAACACCACTACTGTCCCCCAACACGCTAAACACCACTACTGTCCCCCAACACGCTAAACACCACTACTGTCCCCCAACACGCTAAACACCACTACTGTCCCCCAACACGCTAAACACCACTACTGTCCCCCAACACGCTAAACACCACTACTGTCCCCCAACACGCTAAACACCACTACTGTCCCCCAACACGCTAAACACCACTACTGTCCCCAACACGCTAAACACCACTACTGTCCCCCAACACGCTAAACGCCACTACTGTCCCCCAACACGCTAAACGCCACTACTGTCCCCCAACACGCTAAACGTCACTACTGCTATTTACATGTGGCTAAGAGAGGGAGGTGTGATAGTGATGGGGTGGTGATGGGTGTGATGGGGTGGTAATGGTGGTGGTGGGTGTGATAGTGGTGGTGGTGATGGTGATGGGTGTGATGGTGGCACAGGAAAACAAGACTGCAGGGCTTTCAACCTCCTAAAGAGGAAACCAATTGGTCAGGTTTTTAACAGATTTGAAAAGCTAATTACTGTGGTGGAAGTAATCTGAGAAGCAGCCCATTCTCTCCCTCTGATTCTGAGCTCTGATTCGCCCTCTGGAATATTTAGACATCAGCTCCTGGATTCAATTATCCAGAAGTCGTTTAGATGCATCTCCCTCTGCCATCGTTACTACCGGCGATTAACCAAGCGTGTCGTCAGCGGCACCAAAGTAATCTGACACCGGGTTTGGCCTTTACCGCAGCTTAGACTCCCACAATCTTCCAAAGCCTAGGGAGCATCTTGACAGGGGCGATGGGCATGCTGACAGTCTGGTAGGCCAATTCCGAAGACAAAAAAAAACATGAAAATAACATTATGCTGCTGCTGCCTGTGCCGTGTTAAACGTCGACATGAAGGCCAGCTGAGAAATAACAGCAGAAACTGCTGGATAACGCTAAAATAACCCACTGGAGGTAATAATAATAACAAGAATTTAGTGGGTGCTTATACAGTATTTGTTTTATCCCACACATGTACAAGTGTGTATTAATACGCATGAATTGGAAATGTCTTTTTTTACATATCCCGTTGATAACGGCATATGCAACATTAACTGCTAGGCTACCTGCCGCAAGGTTGTGAAAAGTTCGAGACACCATCAGAGACTGGGGTCACAGCCAGGGTCTGCCATTATCAACGGCGACCCTGAAGAAATTAGGGTTAAGTGCCTTGCTCATGTGCGCATTGACAGATTTTTCACATTGTCGGCTCGGGGATTCGAACTAGCGACCTTTCGGTTACTGGCTCAACACTAACCGCTCCTTGCTGTACCTGAGCAGTAAGAAAATAACCTCAACTAATATCCATACTGTGGAGCTGATTTTCCATGGGAAATTATGTGTGTGGGTCTTACAGTGGGAGGCAGATGGCCAGAGTGATGGGCGACAGAGACATTCATTGATCGTCACGGTTGGGCATCTGAGCTGAAGACTTTGAGAGCGAAGCCTCGTCTTTATGGCAAGGGCACAGCGAGGAGAGGGTAGTAATATCGTTACGGGGGTGAGCACCATCCATCAATTAAGCAAACAAATATAACGGTCAAGTACAACAAACTGATCAAATTAGGGCAATATATAATATATGACAGTTGGCAGCAGCTTGGTGTGAACGTGAATCCCTGCATACTTTTGTAAGTACCGTGGCAAATGTGTTCAGCCTTCCTAGCTTCTCCTTTTCAAGACTAGACCAAGTATCTCAATAGGGTATATTTCTATATGACAGCACTACACAAACCTTGCTGCATTGGATGTTAATGAAATGGTTTCTATAATAGCTAATACAGACACACACACACATATATACACATATACACACACATATATTATATATATATATATTATACATACATACATACATACATACATAAGTGTACACACCTACTCATTCCACGGTTTATCTTTATTTATCCTTGTCCTGTTGAAAAACAAATGATAGTCCCACTAAGCGCAAACCAGATGGGATGGCGTATCGCTGCAGAACGCTGTGGTAGCCATGCTGGTTAAGTGTGCCTTGAAATCTAAATAAATCACTGACAGTGTCACCAGCAAAGCATCCCCACACCATAACACCTCCTCCGCCATGCTTCACGGTGGGAACCACACATGCGGAGATCATCCGTTCACCTACTGTGCATCTCACGGCAGTTGGAACCAAAAATCTCAAATTTGGACTCATCAGACCAAAGGACAGATTTTCACCAGTCTAATGTCCATTGCTCATGTTTCTTGGCCCATACAAGTGTCTTCTTCTAATTGGTGTCCTTTAGTAGTGGTTTCTTTGCAGCAATTCGACCATGAAGGCCTGATTCACGCAGTCTCCTCTGAACAGTTGATGTTGAGATGTGTCTGTTACTTGAACTCTGAAGCATTTATTTGGGCTGAAATTTCTGAGGCTGGTAACTCTAATGAACTTATTCTCTGCAGCAGAGGTAACTCTGGGTCTTCCTTTCCTGTGGCGGTCCTCATGAGAGCCAGTTTCATCTGCACTTGAAGAAACTTTCAAAGTTCTTGAAATGTTCCATATTGACTGAGCTTCATGTTGTTTATTTTTGCTTATTTGAGCTGTTCTTGCCATAATATGGACTTGGTCTTTTACCAAATAGGGCTATATCCCCCCCCCCCCTACCTTGTCACAACACAACTGATTGGCTCAAATGCATTAAGAAGGAAAGAAATTCCACAAATTAACTATTAACAAGGCACACCTGCATTCCTGGTGACTACCTCATTTATTTCACCTTTATTTAACCAGGTAAACCAGCTGAGAACAAGTTCTCATTTACAACTGCGACCTGGCCAAGATAAAGCAAAGCAGTGCGATAAAAACAACAACACAAGTGTTACATATGGGGTAAACAAAACATACAGTCAATAACACAATAGAAAATATATATACAGTGTGCAAATGTAGCAAGTTATGGAGGTAAGGCAATAAATAGGCCATAGTGCAAAATAATTACAATTTAGTATTAACACTGGAATGATAGATGTGCAAGAGATTATGTGCAAATAGAGATACTGGGGTGCAAATTAGCAAAATAAATACAATATGGGGATGAGGTAGTTGGGTGGGCTAATTTCAGATGGGCTGTGTACAGGTGCAGTGATCGGTAAGGTGCTCTGACAACTGATGCTTAAAGTTAGTGAGGGAGATAAGAGTCTCCAGCTTCAGAGATTTTTGCAGTTCGTTCCAGTTATTGGTAGCAGAGAACTGGAAGGAATGGCAGCCAAAGGAGGTGTTGGCTTTGGGGATGACCAGTGAGATATACCTGCTGGAGCGCATACTACGGGTGGGTGTTGCTATGGTGACCAATGAGCTAAGATAAGGCGGGGATTTGCCTAGCAGTGATTTATAGATTACCTGGAGCCAGTGGGTTTGGCGACGAATATGTAGTGAGGGCCAGCCAACAAGAGCGTACAGGTCACAGTGGTGGGTAGTATATGGGGCTTTGGTGACAAAACAGATGGCACTGTGATAGACTACATCCGATTTGCTGAGTAGAGTGTTGGAGGCTATTTTGTAAATGACATCGCCAAAGTCAAGGATCGGTAGGATAGACAGTTTTACGAGGGCATGTTTGGCAGCATGAGTGAAGGAGGCTTTGTTGCGAAATAGGAAGCCGATTCTAGATTTAACTTTGGATTGGAGATGCTTAATGTGAGTCTGGAAGGAGAGTTTACAGTCTAACCAGATACCTAGGTATTTGTAGTTGTCCACATACTCTAGGTCAGACCCGCCGAGAGTAGTGATTCTAGTCGGGTGGGCGGGTGCCAGCAGCGTTCGATTGAAGAGGATGCATTTAGTTTTACTAGTGTTTAAGAGCAGTTGGAGGCTACGGAAAGAGTGTTGTATGGCATTGAAGCTCATTTGGAGGTTTGTTAACACAGTGTCCAATGAAGGGCCAGATGTATACAAAATGGTGTCGTCTGCGCAGAGGTGGATCTGAGAGTCACCAGCAGCAAGAGCGACATCATTGATATACACAGAGAAAAGAGTCGGCCCGAGAATTGAACCCTGTGGCACCCCCATAGACTGCCATAGGTCCAGACAACATGAAGCTGGTTGAGAGAATGCCAAGAGTGCGCAAAGCTGTCATCAAGGCAAAGGGTGGCTACTTTGAAGAATCTCAAATATAAAATATATTTTAATTTGATTAACACTGTATTGGTTACTACATGATTCCATATGTGTTATTTCATAGTTTTGATGTCTTCACTATTATTCTACAAATATAGAAAATAGTAAACATAAAGAAAAACCCTTGAATGAGTAGGTGTGTCCAAACTTTTGACTGGTACTGTACACACACACATTGAGTGTACCCCCCCCCCCCCCTCTCTGATATCACTTTTGGGTGACACTCGGCTGTTTTGATCATCTCCTGCCTGCTTTGAGGTAATCACACTAACCCTAATCCGAGTGCCAATTCATCCATTCCTCTGTCACTGGGAACAGGAGGATCACATAGGCTACCTGGCTCGAATCACTTTGACTAGGATGCCACAGGGGGTTAGTGCAGGTGCTCTGCAGGGTTATCCAGAGTGCAGCAGGGCTATGCTGGAGGCAGTGTTTAGGGTCTTATTACCCAGTAGACATGACATGAGAGCAAGACTCTGTGGCACACACCAGCAGCAAGATGAGGCGGGTGGCAGTGGGGTTGAGGGGAGAGAGGAGGGGGTGTGAAGGGCTGGATCAGTAGTATAAAGCCACACTTGAAAGAGCAGCTCAATCAAACTCCCCCTCCCGTCATTTCTTGTCTCTCATCTCTCCCTCCAGATTGTGGGGAGTTGAAAAGTTCACGGGACCGGGAGCTGTGTGAGGCGGAATAGCTGAACCTTTGCAACTTCCCATCAGCACCCTCTCCTTGCTGTCAGTCAAGCTCCCTGGCTCGTGGGGTGGGAGTGGTCTAGAGAGGGGTGGGACATACGTCACACCACCCACAACGCCTGTTTCAATATCAGCCAACACATAAATCAACTAGCAGAGGCTCCCATTTCAATTTCAAACTGCCATCAGAAATCAGGCTTACTTACTTCAGCACAAGGGTGTCAGTTTTTGTTACAAGACGAGGCTGAAATAGCTATTGCCACAAGGCCAAACAGACAACTATAGTCAGCGTCTCATCCTTCTCTCAAGACAACAACCCCAGCCAGGTCTGACGGGGAGCGTAAAGAATTTCCTTGAAAGTCAAAAAAAACTGTGACCCCATTTGTTTCCCAAGCGATTTAATAAAGACACTTTCACGCTGCCAAATGCAGAGAAGATGCCCTTCATTAAAAAGTGTGTTGCTGGGTAGACATTGCCACAGCTTTAATCCAATTTAGTTTAGCACGTTAAAGGGCATTACTGCCAGCCCGGGCTGCCCACCCACCCACGGTGACAATGACAACACTAGAGAGGAGAGAGAAGAGAGAGAGAGCCCCTGGGGGACTTAATGGGGAGATAAACCCCAATGAGCCTCCATTCTGGGAAGCCACAAAGGACTATCACGAGTAATAGTAGAGATACTCCACTTAGCCAACAACAAACTAGGCAGCTTCACGGCAGCTTCTGAACGGTATTTTTTAGCCCTACATAGAAATGGAAGGGGCTTGTCGCTGTGCTGATACGAACTGGCACAACGCCAGCGAGGGTTGTATAATAGGGAAATTACTTTTGAATTACTAGAACGGATCATTAACTAAACTTTCCTGTGATAAAAGGTAGAGGGAAAACCTCCATTACTGCTCTCCTCACTTGACATCAAAGTGAGCTTACGCATGACAGCATAACGTAAGATATATTTACGGAAGAATTCTATTTCTGGTGACACTCAGCTTGACTATAAGCGTGGCTCTTTGCGGCTGATTACTTCAGAGGGGAAGCGAGGGATGAGCGGTGTACATGCATGTTTATTCATCTCCCGCCCACCCTGGCTGACAGTGACTCATGCTGCGTCATCCACACAGACAGTACAGTCACTCGCCGCCATCGCTGCTTCAACCTCTGGTGTCGTACGCCGTGAGAGGTTGAAATTCTCCCTCGCTCATAAACAGCAACAAAGAGAAATGGGAATGATGGAGGATTGAGGATTCATCTCAAAACAAGGGAGAAAGGAATTGAGCTGAGGCTTTATTCTCTCTGTTGCCAATGGACTGAAACCATTCTAGTGATGCCAGGGCTCTGGGAGAGAGTGTAACCAAACTGTGCCGGGGGTCCCTGCGTGGTGACGTGATGGGCCCCTGATGGCCCCCGTCCATCCCCTGAAATAAACCCGTTTACGAAAGGGTGGCGGCTTGGCCTGCTGAGCCTTGGCCCAGTTTCCGCGGGTCAGCACCCCCTCCACCTCGCTTCCTGACAGGGGATCCGGAGGTGCAGCTGTCCGGCCGGTCTGTTCGCCGCGGGCAACCGGGCACTGCGGCTGCGCAGTCCATGCCTCCTGATGGCCATCTCCGGCATCATGTGAGGAAGTGAACGCAGGGGAAATATGGCGCTCACACTCTCACAGGGCGCATACTGCTGTCTGTTTTTTCCACTGGGTTGAGGATGAAAGTGACATGCCTTGTTCTAGTCCTTTCTACAGGCAAACTGAAATGTTGGCTTATCGTGATAGCCTGCTTGTGTTCATGTTTACAGCTACCCCACTGTAACACAGACTAGGGGAGTGCCTACCTGGCCATACTCATATTTGTAATCATAACCGTAAATTGGCAGTTGATAGTCTGATCGGATGATTCTCAAGATCGGAAAACACAAAAGCGTTTTAATATGCCTAAGTAGATGTTGGCAAAATAGCCCATCTCCCTGCCGGTTTATAGACCAGAAAAGCTGCAGATTAGGAGCAGAGGGTGTATCTGTCTCTTCAACTTGCTGTGGGAAGACAAGTTTGTGGTCACTCAGTCAGAACGCACATCAGCGTTTTCCCCTTTTCCCTTACCCTCGCCCCGCTTGTTAGATACTTTGCTAGCAAACGTCCTCGCCATTTGATTTATCGTAGTAGCAGGCTAACAGGAGACAGCAATCTATATGATCACACTGAAACATGTGAGGAGAAGTGAGCAGGTGAAATTATGAAGCTAAGTGAGTAGAAGGAGAAATACAGCTTCGCTATATCCAATCAGAGCAGCAGGATCAATGTACAGCCCGCCCTTCTCTTTACAGATAGGCTAACTAGCCAGTTGACTTATTTAGACCACACAAAATCTCACTTAATTGAAAGATGCCCGCTGGCACCCAAAAATATATTTTTTCCCTATCACGGAAAATAACAAAATAAATAGGATAAATCAGGACAATTGCCCATTACTAACCCTCATGGCAGTACTACTCACCGCGGGCACCAAACTGACTAACCCTCATGGCAGTACTACTCACCGCGGGCACCAAACTGACTAACCCTCATGGCAGTACTACTCACCGCGGGCACCAAACTGACTAACCCTCATGGCAGTACTACTCACCGCGGGCACCAAACTAAACTGACTAACCCTCATGGCAGTACTACTCATCGCGGGCACCAAACTGACTAACCCTCATGGCAGTACTACTCACTGCGGGCACCAAACTGACTAACCCTCATGGCAGTACTACTCACCGCGGGCACCAAACTGACTAACCCTCATGGCAGTACTACTCACTGCGGGCCTTAAACTGACTAACCCTCATGGCAGTACTACTCACCGCGGGCACCAAACTGACTAACCCTCATGGCAGTACTACTCACTGCGGGCCTTAAACTGACTAACCCTCATGGCAGTACTACTCACTGCGGGCCTTAAACTGACTAACCCTCATGGCAGTACTACTCACTGCGGGCCTTAAACTGACTAACCCTCATGGCAGTACTACTCACTGCGGGCCTTAAACTGACTAACCCTCATGGCAGTACTACTCACCGCAGGCACCAGGAGCTTCTTGACCTCCTCTAAGGCTCTCTTCATCTTCATCTCGGAGCGCGTCTGTGTGTCCTCCACCGTGATCAGGACGTGCAGCTCCTCGTTCAGATGTTCCCAGTTGGGCTTGCCTCTGTTCTGCTCCTCCTGCGAAAGACAAGAAGCGAGAGAATAGAGAGATTTGAGTGGATGGGGGGCAGCAGCGTGACAGGCCAAGGCCCTTTAGAAATCTGGCTTCAACTTTGAAAGGACATACTGCTTTATTAGAGCCCCACATCAAAAGGGTGACAGCTATTCCTATAGCAATTCAAAATCTGAGGAGAATGTATGTACATCAGAGGGCCGCAGGGTTTTAATCTGACCAACCTTTTCAGAGGAGACCTACAGTGCTGTCGACACACTGACATGGTGGGTGGGTGAGACAGGACAATTGGGCCCAGGTAACAATGGGCCCCTGAGAGAGCCGTTTACCTCACTCTGAAAAGGGGGACGCGAAGCACTTCGAGGTGTTAAATTGTGACAGTGGTGCTCCTCAAAAAGGAAGGACAGGCTTTATTCACAAGCTGATGATCAAGCCGCGTGGAAGCTTAAGAGGGCCATTTCAATCTGAACACAATGGGGCCCAGCGTTAGACTCATGGCAGTACTACTCACGGCGGGCCTTAAACTGCGTTAGACTGGCGAGGCTGCGAGTGAGGAAAAGGAATAGGTCAATTCAATATGCAAGTCTTCACACCTAGCTTTAAAACCCCCCACATACCTATCTTTAAAAAAAACCTGCACACTCAATTCTGACACACTCTCCCAATTTACCTGGTTCTTTTGAGACGTTTGCTGACAGCGCTGCGCCGCACAAAGAGCTCTAAAAAGCTTTGGGTCACACCGGTATGGCAGCTTACCATTGTGTGTGTGTGTAGGGGGGTCTTAGCTCACCATTTCCTCTAAGCCTTTGTGACTATGAACGTTTACTAATACGCCGCGCCAAGCCAGAGTGGAGATGGCATGCTGCCGATCGCCCGCCTCCTCTGCTGAGAGCGAGCCGTTGCCATGATACTGCTCTTTGCCACACTCCGCCGTCTCACACGAACACAGTGGGAAAATTAAGTTCATTATTCCTCTCTCGTGTTTACCTTTTCCACATGGGGAGCAGGGCATATTTTTAAACTGGCAGAAGCCAAAATGATTTCACAATGGGCTGTTTGCTTGTGGCCTATTGTCGAGTCATGGTGATGGTGAGTCAACAGTTTGTTGAGGGATGGACACGAGCTAACTGTCATTTTTAGGTGTGTGTGTGTGTGTGTGACTGCGAGAGAGAGGAGATGGGGAGTGAATGAACACTAAACAGAGAGACAGCTGAAACCAGCTGAGAGACAGACTGCCAAGTAATGGAGTTTGCCAAAATATGAACATTATGACAACGTCTATAAAAGGCAATGACTTGCTTGTGTGGCGCCCTGAATCTCCCGTCTAAACTTGAGCTCAATAAATCCTAGACCAAGGTTATGCTCTTAACACTGAAGACGCCAAACATTTGACTCGTCCCTTCTGGTTTGTTTTATTGGAAGAGGAAAGTTCCATAGCCCTCGACAGGGGTAGCTGGTGTGGTCAGCTGGTGACTTATTCACCTGGGCGAGTCTAAAAATACTATTTATATCAACACGGTGTCGGAATGCAAATTTCACAACTAAGCGACTGTTGTAGCCAGCCGTGCCTCTAGCTCGCCCATTCCCCAAGGGTTCCTCAATAGCACCTCTTAGCCACGGGTGATGGGACTTGGGGGCAACAGAGGGCATGACAGGCTAAGTAAGGTAAGGCTAGCTATGCCCGGAACAAAGGAGCTATACTTAAAAGTTTAGAGGTCTCTTAAATACCTGTCAGAAGGAACTAAAAAGGGGGAACTAAAGGTTGAAGGTCTAATAAATATCGCAACAGTCCCAAATGCTCTTGCCATGTCCAAGCGTTTCTGGATTTCACCTCCATCTATTCCAAGAAGAGCACTAGAGGAACTATCTGTAGACATTTCTGCTTTTCTCATTAGTCTAAAAGCTTTTATACAAGCTTCATAAAGCATGAGAAAGCATTGGTTAAATCAAGACATATCACCTCTAAAATGCTGAACGGCAATCCAAGTCCCCTCCTCCTCCCTTCTACAGACCTCTGGAGACCTTCTCCCATTCCTCACTTCCCTCGTCAGCTCATCCCTGACCACTGGCTGTCTCCCCTTTGATTTCAAAATGGCATAAGTTGCTCCCCTCCTCAAGAAGCAAACACTTGACACCGTGAACCATTCAGATCCTCCTCGCCACCCTTTCAGGGCTGGGCATCTCAGGCTCTGCACACTATTGGATTGCATCCTACCTGGCAGGCCGTTCCTACCAGGTGACGTGGAGAGGATCTGTGACTGCACCACATACTCTCCCTACTGGTGTCCACCAGGGCTCTGTTCTAGGCCCTCTCCTCATCTCGGTATACACCAAGTCACTCGGCGCAGTCATTTCACCACATGGTCTGTCCTATCATTGTTATGCGGATGACACTCAACGACTTTTCTCATTCACCCCTTCTGACACCCAGGTGGCTACACGCATCGCTGCGTGCCTGGCAGATATCTCAGCTTGGATGTCGGCTCACCACCTCAAGCACAACAAGACTGAGTATCTCTTCCTCCTTGGGAAGGCCTGCCCGCTCCAAGACCTCTCCATCACGGTTGACAACTCCCAGAGTGCAAAGAACCTTTGGCGTGACTCTGGACAACACCCTGTCGTTCTCTGCCAACATCAAAGCAGTGACTCGCTCCTGCAGGTTCATGCTCTACAACATCCGTAGAGAACGACCCTACCTCACACAAGAAGCGGTGCAGGTCCTAATCCAGGCACTTGTCATCTCCCATCTGGACTACTGCAACTCACTGTTGGTTGAGCTCCCCAATTGTGCCATCAAACCCCAGCAACTTATCCAGAACACTGTAGCCCGCCTGGTGTTCAACCTTCCCAAGTTCTCCCATGTCACCCCGCTCCTCTGCACACGCTTTCAGTCGAAGCTCGCATCCACTACAAGACCATGGTACTTACCTATGGAGCAGCAATGGCGGAACCAGCTACCCCCTGAAGCTAAGACCACAGATTCCCTGGCCATCTTCCAAAAACATCTCAAACCCTACCTCTTCAAATAGTATTTTAAATAATCCCAAAGCAACCCCCCCCCCCCCCCCCCTCACCATTTTGTGAACTAAACATTGGCATTTGAGTGTTGCCCTATATTTATTAATTTTTGATTTTTGGGGGAAAAGGGGGAATGGATCATGACTTAATATTGCAGATAGATGTATCTTCAATCAATGTAATTGTCTGCATCACTTCCAATCTACCAATGTTATTTTAATTTTTCATATAACTCCCTTAATACTTTTCAATGCCAACCAGTCCTTTCCACTACTTGAGCAGTAAATGAGTGAACACAATCCAGGCTCTACTCGGCTACTATTCACCTAGGACAGGTAATTTTAAATTCTATGATATATATAATATACTATGACTGATATGTGTGTCCCACAGCTATCTAGTGATTCACTAACTAAGCGCTTGGAAAGAGCGTCCAATGACTAATGTAAAGTTTTGTGCCAATGTGCAATAACTATCATTGCCAATCCAGTTGATAGCTTGAGCAGTAAATCTAGAGAGCTGAACCAATCCGAGCTGGCACAAGACGTTGAAATTCTGGGCCTTGCACTGACGGTTCATTCAACTTGGAACTCACACTTCACTTGCAGATTCTGTGGTGACTTTGCCCTTTCTGTGATGAGGTGTTGCATTGCAGTGAGCCGCATATGAAGACCTGGTTAGAGGAAACGACAAACTAAGCCCTGAAAACCAATTTTAAAAAATTACACAGAAAGAGCTGCTGTTTTCATAACCACCTTCAAAAGGGAGTTCTTCAGGAGTTGGGCTGTGATCATAGTAGCATGAACACATGGTCTCCAGCCTCTTTTTTCCACATGTATTTGCTGTGGAGTCCCTCCCTGATTTAGGCCTCGTTTGATCAGAGGATGAAGCGTCATTTTACATTTACATTTAAGTAAGGTAGCTTAGTGGTTAAGAGCGTTGTGCCAGTAACCGAAAGCTCGCTGGTTCTAATCCCCGAGCCGACTAGGTGAAAAATCTGTCGATGTGCCCTTGAGCAAGGCACTTAACCCTAATTGCTCCTGTAAGTCGCTCTGGATAAGAGCGTCTGCTAAATGACTAAAATGTAATGTAAAATGTAAATTTAGCAGACGCTCTTATCCAGAGGGACTTACAGTTAGTGAGTGCATACATTATTTTATTTTTCATACTAGCCCGCCGTGGGAATTGGCGTTGCAAACGCCATGCTCTACAAACTGAGCTACATCCCTGCCGGCCATTCCCTCCCCTACCCTGGACGACGCAGGGCCAATTATGCGCCGCCCCATGGGTCTCCCGGTCGCGGCCGGCTACGACAGAGCCTGGATTCGAACCAGGATCTCTAGTGGCACAGCTAGCACTGCGATGCAGGGCCATAGACCACTGCGCCACTCGGGAGGCGTCATCCCAGGGACAAGTTATTATCCTGTGTTTGTCTCCCGTCTGCTCCTATTCTATCTGCTCTGTCACATCAATGATGGTGATGTGGAGGGAACAGAGCGGTGACTTAAGATGACTGACTGTTCACATTATGAGAGGTGCCTCGTTATTGAGAACGGCCATTAAACTTTGCATTGCCTTTTTTTTTTTTTTTAAAGGTACAGGTTATCAAGTGAACAATTACCTAAAATCGGTCCTCTTTCTAACAACGCTCAAGGCCCATGGGGGGAAATGGGGCTGGAGTCAATATGTGCAGCCTCAAACTTCTAATTGACTTGACTGCATTTTTGTGATCTTTTACTTAATAGTTGTTTGAACACCTTTAAATAGACGCTGACCTACAGTGAGGGAAAAAAGTATTTGATCCCCTGCTGATTTTGTACGTTTGCCCACTGACAAAGACATGATCAGTCTATAATTTTAATGGTAGGTTTATTTGAAGAGTGAGAGACAGAATAACAACAACAAAATCCAGAAAAATGCATGTCAAAAATGTTATCAATTGATTTGCATTTTAATGAGGGAAATAAGTATTTGACCCCCTCTCAATCAGAAAGATTTCTGGCTCCCAGGTGTCTTTTATACAGGTAACGAGCTGAGATTAGGAGCACACTCTTAAAGGGAGTGCTCCTAATCTCATCTTGTTACCTGTATAAAAGACACCTGTCCACAGAAGCAATCAATCAATCAGATTCCAAACTCTCCAACATGGCCAAGACCAAAGAGCTCTCCAAGGATGTCAGGGACAAGATTGTAGACCTACACAAGGCTGGAATGGACTACAAGATCTTCGCCAAGCAGCTTGGTGAGAAGGTGACAATAGTTGGTGCGATTATTTGCAAATGGAAGAAACACAAAAGAACTGTCAATCTCCCTCGGCCTGGGGCTCCATGCAAGATCTCACCTCGTGAAGTTGCAATGATCATGAGAACAGTGAGAAATCAGGCCAGAACTACACGGGAGGATCTTGTCAATGATCTTAAGGCAGCTGGGACCATAGTCACCAAGAAAACAATTGGTTAACACACTACGCCGTGAAGGACTGAAATCCTGCAGCGCCCGCAAGGTCCCCCTGCTCAGGAAAGCACATATACAGGGCCGTCTGAAGTTTGCCAATAAACATCTGAATGAAAGTGTTGTGGTCAGATGAGACCAAAATCAAGCTCTTTGGCATCAACTCAACTCGCCGTGTTTGGAGGAGGAGGAATGCTGCCTATGAACCCAAGAACACCATCCCCACCGCCAAACATGGAGGTGGAAACATTATGCTTTGGGGGTGTTTTTCTGCTAAGGGGACAGGACAACTTCACCGCATCAAAGGAACGATGGACGGGGCCATGTGCCGTCAAATCTTGGGTGAGAACCTCCTTCCCTCAGCCAGGGCATTGAAAATGGGTCGTGGATTGGTATTCCAGCATGACAATGACCCAAAACACACAGCCAAGGCAACAAAGGAGTGGCTCAAGAAGAAGCACATTAAGGTCCTGGAGTGGCCTAGCCAGTCTCCAGACCTTAATCCCATAGAAAATCTGTGGAGGGAGCTGAAGGTTCGAGTTGCCAAACGTCAGCCTCGAAACCTTAATGACTTGGAGAAGATCTGCAAAGAGGAGTGGAACAAAATCCCTCCTGAAATGTGTGCAAACCTGGTGGCCAAATACAAGAAACGTCTGACCTCTGTGATTGCCAACAAGGGTTTTGCCACCAAGTACTAAGTCATGTTTTGCAGAGGGGTCAAATACTTATTTCCCTCATTAAAATGCAAATCAATTTATAACATTTTTGACATGCGTTTTTCTGGATTTTTTTGTTGTTATTCTGTCTCTCACTGTTCAAATAAACCTACCATTAAAATTATAGACTGATCATGTCTTTGTCAGTGGGCAAACGTACAAAATCAGCAGGGGATCAAATACTTTTTCCCCCCTCACTGTATGTGTATAGCCAAATAGTCTATGTATGCCATTAGACACCTCCCATTCAAGGTTACACACAGTACATGTGACACAGGCATCCACCAGAACAGAAGTTCCTTGAATAAGCCACAGCTCTATAAGCCACAGAGACCACCTGCCACCAACAGCCCAGCGGCGTCCTTGGGGCTCCCGTCCCCTGCAGCCACGACTCCATTTGTCTCACGTCAAATCCCCAGTCTGCCTAGTTCTCCATACTGGGGAGTCCATTTATCACATACCTCCCACTCTTCCTACTCCCCCTCTCCCTGTCGCTCCACTGCTCCAGCCACTGGCGGGCTGGGCAAGACCCTGGAGGGAGCTGCAAACTGAATTATTGAGAGCCGGAAAACAGTGGCTCCTGAATAAAAAGACTGCATTATACCCCCCCGCCCCGCCCCTCTGTTTCCAGGGAAGTCTGGGAGAACACCAGGAGGTTCAGGGAGGGGAAACGAAAGACTGACTGACCGAGGAGAGGAAGAGAGACAAAGGGATCCCTGGTTATGTGGTAGGAACTCTCTCCTGAGTGGTACTGTTGGCTTCAGTGCTGGGGGTGACAATGAGAGGTGGGGGAGGTTTCATTGATTCATATTTGTTTATTAAGACTTATTTGACCAGGTAAGTTGATTGAGAACCCATTCTTATCTGCAGTAACGCCCCCGCCGCCTTCCACACCTACCCCAGCCCTGGGTGAGCCTGTACATTTCTGCCTCCGAAATTCTCTCTTAAACGAGGCGGCACAATCTATATTTTGAATCTTTTGTTATTCCCCTTTTTATATGACATGCTCTTAAAAGCATCGTCCTCGTCTTTTCCAGACTCATATTTATTAGAAGCAGTTAAAACTGCTGGACCGTTTATAGGCCTGTAATTGCAGCGAGCGTTGGACAGGTCTAAGGGCCATAGAGAGACAAATGAAGGAAAATAAGATACCCTGGGTCATCAAGCCTTAAGATTATAAAAGTAATCAGAGATAAATTAAATGAGCCGAGAGGAGCCATCTTTGGGGCGAGCCATGCTTCTAAATTAGGTGTATGAAACCTAACGCTCACTTAATCGAATTCTAAAAGACAGAACAAGCAAAAAACCTAACCAGTGCTGTGATAATGAACAGACTCCAAAAGGACATGAATAGAAATACAAAAAAAGAAGCCAAGAATGACAGTGGTAGTAAAGAAAGAGAGAAGAGAGAATCCACCCTTAGAGCTATAAACCGGCGCTTCTAGGATTGAGGCTCCAGTGGGAATCTCCACCGTTGTTGCTTTCTGTTGCTGCCTCTCTTCCAGGGAAGCAGCCGCGCCTCCAGGCAGGCAGGGGGTCCCTTGTGGAGGGGATAAAGTACATTTCCCCCACCTTACTTATGCAAATAAACTGGAATGGATATCTGCTGCCTGACATTAACTACACTGAGGGGGGAGAGGAAGAGTGGGGGGAGAACCGCAGGTAGCCTAGCGGTTAAGAGTGTTGGGCCAGTAACAAAAAGGTTGCTGGTTCAAATACCCCAACCTGACTAGGTGGAAAATCTGTTGATCTGCCCTTGAGCAAGGCACCTAACCCTAATTGCTCCTGTAAGTCTCTCTGGATAAGGGCGTCTGCTAAATGACTAAAACGTAAATGAGCACGTTTGGCTTCGAAATAATGTGATGTCGCATTGTCAAAGCAGTGCTTTGAAAGCACCTGCATATGTTTTGAAAGGTGTCTCAGAAATGGCTGGCATTTGCTTTAAAAATATCTCTGAAATATCTATGACTATCTATAATGAGGAAAAGTGAAAAGTGACAGATTCCACTGTGGATAGATCAGCTATATGCTCTCATTGATCAGTCCAATGTTATGTTTGACCCTTCCTCTAGTTGGGTCGCCATCGTACATCCAGGGATTCTGAGATGATGATGCAGGCGGCCATCTTTGACTGCCGCCACCGTGATGTCTGTGCCCTTTCAGAAATCAACACAGCACCGCGGCCAAGCCAAGAAAAGAGCCATCACCTGGCCCGAGCTTACCCCGGCCACTTTCCACTGAGCAGCCTTTCCATAACCTAGAGTCATGCGTTTCTTACACTTTAAGTAGGTTGTTTGTATGTTGCACTGTTATCTGGTAAGGCTATAGTAAAATTTGTAGTTCTCCACACGTAGTAAGAAATCAAAATGGACGTTTTACTACGAGGCGATTAGAAGCGGGTCTTAAAATCGGAGCCTTTTGTTTTGGTGAAAAATTGAGTGAAAAAAGGGGCGGGGTAGAAATATCAAATAAACCAATGAGCTCACCTTCTTTCTGTCTCTCATGGAGCTCTTGCCTCGCACCATGATTTTGCATCCAGTTTCTGCTTCCAGCTGCTTGGCGGTGAGTCCACGAGGCCCCAGGATTCTGCCCACAAAGTTATACTGCAGAGAGATGGAAGAATAGATTATTATACAGGTAGAAAGAGTATTTCACATGCACACCGCAGTGTAGATAATCAGGCCACAATGAAAATGAAACTACAACTACTTGCACACTATGAATCATTGTCCTGTGATAGCCTTCTTATCTTAATCACATGTGATCAGGGCCTAAAAATGAATACCCGCCACCCTCCAAATGCGGATATATTTTGGCATTGGCAGAAAAGATGTCTACGGGGGTTCTGTGTGTCTCAGTTGGTAGAGCATGGCGCTTGCAACGCCAGGGTTGTGGGTTTGATTCCCACGGGGGACTAGTACGAAAATGTACGCACTCACGACGATAAGTCGCTCGTCTGCTAAATAACTAAAATTTAAATATTTCACAAGCCACGTTGGCGGTTGGTCACACAGCATTTGGGAGCAGTTTTTTTTCTTCAATTCCTTAGCCCACATGTAAAGAATATTAAAGAATGCATCAGTCATTTGTATTTCTTGCAACTTTCTGAAGTAACGGCATGGGAATGCCTTTGTCTACCACTTTGTGTAGCCAGTTGGTGCTGCCGAAACAGTCATTTCTAAAGGCTTTCCCATAAAACCTTCTGAATTAAAATGTTAACTGCAAAGTAAGCTTACCTGGCAGAATGAGATCACGGTGATTTGTATTAACCTGTGGTGATTTGTTTTGCAAACTCTACTATCGTGCATGCAGCACAGAAACACCGCTACCCAAAACACCCGTCTCTTGAGGTGCGCAACTGAATTGAATGGGCAACTATACCCTCCAATATATTTTCCCCCCAGAAATAAAAAGTGGTCTCAGCACTTAGAAAAAGCAAACACAATTGAACATTCTGTTAGAAAAGTGGGAGAGGGACCTCCCGAGTGGTGCAGTGGTCTAAGGCACTGCATCGCAATGCTAGCTGTGCCACTAGAGATCCTGGTTAGAGTCCAGGCGCTGTCGCAGCCGGCCGCGACCGGGAGACCCATGGGGCAGCGCACAATTGGCACAGTGTCGTCCAGGTTGGGGGAGGGTTTGGCCGGCAGGGATGTTCTTGTCCCATCGCGCACAAGCGATTCCTGTGGTGGGCCAGGTGCAGTGCACGTTGACGGTCGCCAGGTGTACGGTGCTTCCTCCGACACATTGGTGTGGCTGGCTTCCGGGTTAAGTGGGCACAGTGTCAAGAAGCAGTGCGGCTCGGTTGGGTTGTGTTTCGGAGGACGCACGACTCTTGACCTTCGCCTCTCCTGTGTCCGTACGGTTGCAGCGATGGGACAAGATACAATTGGATACCACGGAATTGGGGAGAAAAAAACGGGGTAAAATACCCAAAATAAAAATTAAATGAATAATAAAAAAAGTGGGAACGGGAAAGCAGAAAAAAAAAAAAACGGGGAAACCCAAAACCTGGAAAAACAAAACCGTGAAAATGTTTGTGGTTTTTGGTGTAATTATGGCGAATAAATGTATTGGCCACTAAAAAATAATAATTATGAGCGGCTGGCAGATTAGCTTGATATTATCTACCTGCCACAGTGGCTGGTGGACCAAAAGGTTAGTTTTAGGCCATGCATGTGATACTTATAATCTGAATAATAGAATGTTCAAACACTTGTTTGATTTTGTTGATCCCTCAGAGCTTTCATTCCATGGGAAACCACAGGGCTCAACGTGATATCGGCTCATTGTTGCCATGACAGCAGATTCCAGACAATAGTTGAACATTGTGAGATTAAGCTGTTTTTATATTAGGCCAGGAAAAATCATAAGGAATTCAAGTGCACAGGTACGAGTCCCTGGCGTTCCCGGCAGTGCACCCTGCTGCCTAGCCAATATTACGGCACCAAACTGAGATCGGGATCACCAGAAAGCAAGCTGAAAAAAAATAATTATTTCTTGAGAGGAAAATAGAAATGAAACTATAGGGAATTATGGGGGATGTTGGGAGTGGTGAAGTATCTACTTGACACTTTTCTTATGGAGGCCCTTTCACTCCTGAGTGGTTTTGTACCAAAGGGAACGTATTTACCGTAATCCTCTCCACTTAAAATTGGCTTCCACGAGGATAAAGGAACAATGTGTCGAAATAATCCCAAATTTTTCGGCAAACTAAAAACAGAATAATTGGTGGTTGAATGGTAAACAGGGCATGTTAACCGTATGTAGAGTGCCGAGCCGAGAAGTAAGAGTTCCATGACTTTTCCAACCTCTGCATAGACAGGCCCTTCCTTCATTTCCCTGTGCATGACATTACGGTTACTATGGAGCTCGGGTAGACAAGAGGGCAGGCTAGGCCAACGTCTGTTTGGTGAACTCTGGTCACTACATTGGTGCGGGGGTGGTGTGATGGCAAGGCATGGGGGGGCACGTGTCCTCCTGTCCTGTCTTTGGTCACCCAGTAGCGCATCTGGCAAGGATCGAAGGCAGAGGAGGAGCAAACTGTCAGTCTGCATCACGGTGGAAGCAGATAAGAAAAGAGGACCCAGCTCCCAGGCACAGTCTCTTCCCACGCTCAGCCATGGGCTTTCCTCCATCAGCCAGCAGTCGGACATCACAAGCACATGCTCAGAGGGCAAGGTCTCTGGGTGAAGCAGAACCTTTACAGCTAGCTAGTGTGCCCAAGCTTACTCACGGTCATAACAGAAGGAAATAGCGCAACTGGCCGGAGCTAATGTCTTTCTGAGATGAGATCATTCTTCACACCGTCTGTCAGCATGGATATATGGCTATAGAAGGTCAGATATGCTCAGTGTTAATCCAACCCTAGCCAGTGGCACAATTAATGCTTATGTGGAATACTATAAATTACCAGCCAATTACCCTGCTATATGTTGATGTCAAGATACAGCCAGAGAAAACCTACACTAGCACCTCTAATCCGCATCTGAGGAGAGTCTTGGTTATGAAAGGACTTCCTATACTGATACGGACATATCATTTTATTATTTATCTCTGTGCAACTGCTCTCAGGCAGATAGGAAGGAGAAGTGAATTCTCCCTGTCCATGAATATGTTGATGCTGATTGTACATGACAGGGCAGGGGCTTGCAGGAAAGTAGGGAAATTGCTCATTTGAATACTGGAACAAGACAGTAATTACTTCCAGAAGGGGCAGGACAGCGGGGGGGGTAGTGGATGCTACTGTTCCTTCTCCCAAAGTTGAGACAGTTTTTCCAATGGCTTTAAATACACTGCCTTTGACATACATGATATGGGTGGTTATAGGAGTGGTTCAAGGACATTGGGTTGTGAAGGGGCTGGGGGGATATATCTATTTTTAAGAGGGTAGTGGGCGGCAGCCATGTTTGGCGATGTCTGGCTGAGCCGTCACCACGCTCTCTACTCCAGGAAAACTCCAGGAGGCTCAAAATGTCAGCCAACGCAGGGCTAAATCAAACGTCTGGGACAGAAATACCAGCCTCAAAGCATTCAACAGAATAGAGGAAAAAGTAACGCTTTGATGAACAGGGGATTTCAAACTGGCAATTCAACAGAAGTAAGAACTGTCCCCATGCGAAGTTGCAACAAACCTTTCTAATCACCCCGTATTGTTCTCTGTGGACCAGATCATCTCTATCCTGCAGAAAACACTAGATCATGTCTTTATCCTGTAGCGGAGGGGCTGATGCCAGTTAAAAGGATAACCACCAATCGTAAGCCATTGGAATGTACAACACAATACAAAGCCAAATATGTTTGAGCTTTCAGAGGAGAGGTGGACCTGCCAGGAACTCGACATATGAAGACCTTGGTAGAAAGAGTCACTTAACTGGAGTAAGTTTGGTGGCATGCAAGGACTCGTTATAAAATCACAGCTTGTCTTGAGTCTGTGTGCATGTCTTTACAATTCTTCCATTTCAATAATCAAACATGGCTGTCAACGGGTAGCTATGGCCACAGGGCAGTACTATAAATATGCACATCTAGTTACAACATGGTGAATATGAGCAGCTTCAACAGCCAGGCTGGCTAACCAACCATATAATCAGCATCAATTCTGATTCACCGGAGAGAAAGTGCTTTAATATAACCAGCACTAACTGTTGAAATTACAAATGCAGGATATGAACCCCTTTCCCGCCACCTCTGTTCAGGATATGAACACCTTTCCCGCCACCTCTGTTCAGGATATGAACACCTTTCCCGCCACCTCTGTTCCGACCCAAACTCATCCGCGTCTCGTTCTTTATCTGTTGAATGAAATGCATGCATAAACAATTTATTTATTTTGCAAACTCGACAAGAACTCTCCGCCGGCTCCCTCTCTCAGCGGAGGCCCGTTCTCTGAGCAGCCAATTCCCGTTCCTCATTTAAGGCATTAGGAGATTAGAGACACTGGGACCTTTCACGGCCAGTTTCTCTCCCCCCAACTTTTATCTCAGTTTACTCAAACCCCTGCGAATTGACACGCACACAGCCGCCCCTTCCACCTCCATCCGCCCTGCCCCTACTTCAGAGGGCCTCACAGGAAGGAGGCTTAGTGACATTAAAGGGGCTTTGTTTACCGCGTTATCGGAACTCGGCAGGCGGAGGGGGCCGGCCGGGGGCACTGAGAGAAACTCCTTGCCGACGCCCTGCTCTTCACTCTGATGTTGACTGACTCCCCTGGGCTCCGAGGCAGGGAGCAGGTTACCGAGGCTTCACCAACAGCTTTAAGGAAGTATACAATGTGCAAATGTTTGTTTGCCTCAACTGCAGCTCTGGATAGGAAAGGAAGCGGAAATTAAATCATGGCGAAGGGTCTCGGAGTGTATTGGGGGGCTTAGCAGGGACAAGCACAAAGAATATGAATCGAGTGTTGGTCACTAGCGGATTGTAAATGAGCAACACTCCCTTTTTAATACAGTAAGAAGGGAGTGCAACAGGAAATGTGTCTACTTCAGACAACGACTGAGTGGTGACATATTTCCCACCAAGCGTTCAGACACCTTGGGTTATTGTGCCACAGCTCACAGTATTGGCTGATATAGCTCACATATTGGCCCGTTCCTCTTTCCAGGGGAGACGAGAGTATGTGGTCTGTTGTAACATATTTACATTGCAGATTGGAGAACATGATTACAACCTATCCCCATGCGTTGTAGACATCTCTCTCAGAGGCATGACTGGCTGACTGGAAAACTCAACCCAGCAGAAATGACCTTCAAACCACACCAGAGGATATCCCCTCTCTTCCTACTTTCTGAATAACACGTCTTGTACATAGGAGCCCTACCAAGCAGAGGTCTTGCAGGTAGACAACACTATTTGGCGCTTATATTAGGCATCGCACCACAAAGGCAGGATTGTATACTTTCGAGTGTTGTCACGGTACCAGAATTTTTGACTTTGATACCGATACCAGGTTTAGTATCACGATTCTCAATACCATCACAACACCAAAACGATACCGCTTCAACAAAAAAGAAGGCATATTAACCAATGTCACAGAATGGAACTTGATCCAGACAGATAAACTCAGATACTGGTCTGTTCAATCGTTGGGTATATTTTGAGTTCAATATCATTGCATTTTTCACATCCAATTTTCAGACAGCCATGTATGCATTAATCAATCAACTATACAATAATACAATCAATTAGACTTTTTACCAATCTAACTACATAACGGTAATCATTTATTTGAATGGTAAATCTCTATTGATAAACTGGGTAAATCAGGATGTAGCTTAGACCTATTCAGATTAATGCATATTCAATAGGAGTGTGCATGCATTGAGTGACAGATGACAATCTGTTTCCCTTCATTTGGGACTTATTTTACTGTACTGATCAACATTTGCACAGAAGTCACTTTTATAAAAGTGTGTGCTGTCTTTAACTAGTAATGACGTCATTCACGAGGCAAGATGAGGGCAGCCGGAGTCAGTTCGCTGAGGTAATAGATAATCTAAGGGAGAGACGTGAGACAGATTACTGAATGAATAAAGTTTTGGAGGCAATCAGCTTTGAAAGCAGCATATTTTCCGTTATGGTTTACCATAGTATCACAAACAAAGCTCCTGCCTTACTACATGCCGTCTCCCAGGTGACAGTTTGGGTATTATCATTCACTCATCTGTAGCTGGAATGTTCCTACTTGCCGGCGTAGCATTCAATTAATCCGTTTTCCTAACCTTTGCTAGGCACATTGCCCCCACAACCCCCAAAAAACAATAATTGACATCCCAATTAGGATCTTGCAAAAAAATACTCCAATCAGTTCTAGAACCCATTGCCTTTTATGGTTGTGAGGTCTGGGATCCACTCACCAACCAAGAATTCACAAAATGGGACAAACACCCAATTAAAACTCTGGAAAACATAGTAAGTGTACAAAGTAAAACACCAAATAATAAGACTGGTTAAATTCTACAACCACCTTAAGGAAAGTGATGCCCCAACCTTCCATAACAAAGCCATTACCTACAGAGATGAACCTAGCCAGCCAGCTGGTTCTGGGGCTCTGTTCACAAACACAAGCAGTCCCTACAGAGGCCCAGGACAGCAACACAATTAGACCCAACCAAATTATGAGAAAAAAAAAATAAGAGAACCATTTGACACACTGGAAAGAATCAACCAAAAAAACAGCTAATTGGAATGCTACCTTTCCCTAAACAGAGTACACAGTGGCAGAATACCTGACCACTGTGACTGACCCAAACTTAAGGAAAGCTTTGACTATGTACAGACTCAGTGAGCATAGCCTTGCTACTGAGAGAGGCCGCCGTAGGCAGACCTGGCTCTCAAGAGAAAACAGGCTATGTGCACACTGCCCACTAAATGAGGTGGAAACTGAGCTGCACTTCCTAACCTCCTGCCAAATGTATGACCATATTAGAGACACATATTTCCCTCAGATTACACAAACCCACAAAGAATACATGTGTGTAATGTTTATTGTTAATGAGAGGGGGTGGGACGGAGACGAGAGGGGGTGGGACGGAGACGAGAGGGGGTGGGACAGAGACGAGAGGGGGTGGGACAGAGACGAGAGGGGGTGGGACAGAGACGAGAGGGGGTGGGATGGAGACGAGAGGGGGTGGGACGGAGACGAGAGGGGGTGGGACGGAGACGAGAGGGGGTGGGACGGAGACGAGAGGGGGTGGGACGGAGACGAGAGTGAAAATGTGACTTAATTCTAGACTTGACATTTTCGCATCAAAGCTCAAGGGAGACTTCAACGCTTCCCTCTAAGCACATCCCAGCATTTAGCACCTAATCTGGTTGCCTTTGATCATTTTGTTTGGGGGGTTTATTTGGGGTTGCAGCGGAGGAAGTGGGCTGACATGCAAAGGTGTTGGTGGGTGGAGGAAAATGGAGGATCGGCGTGGTCCCGAGGGCAGAGTTCATGGACTCTTAATATGCAAAATATGGGGAGAAATCCCAACATGCCACAGAGCAGAGTGTGAACTGCAGACATTACAGCCCTATCCCATCTCAGAGAGGAGGAAAGTCAGATATTCAAATAAGATGTGTCAGTTAGTTGGGGTAATACTCAATTCACAGACCACGCTTGCGGAGCAAAACAAGAACAGAACAAATCAGAATGCTGTCTGTACAAAAAGGCATCTGGGACGGATTTATAACGGTTTTCAGAACACAAAAACTTTTAGTCAATGGAATATTACACTGTACAAGCATGTGGGACTGATAGGACTTTAGTGTGTAGCTTGTTACAGCCAGCCAAGGGTGTATCTGTGAGTGAAGGGTGTGTGTGCATGCGTGAAGAGCAAGTAGACAGGGAGTGTGTGTATACGCTTATTGTGTGTGTGTGTGTGTGTGTGTGTGTGCACCGAGGGTAAGTGAATGATTGTGTGCCTGCTGATGGCCTTCCTTCCATCAGCAGCAATCAGGACGGTGGTTAGGATGAGGAGTGACTCCTGTGTCATGTTCAATCCACGTCTCTGTCGCCCCAGTCTCTCTCTCTATAGGTCTATCACTGTGTCACTGTCGCCCCAGTCTCTCTCTCTATAGGTCTATCACTGTGTCTCTGTCGCCCCAGTCTCTCTCTCTATAGGTCTATCACTGCGTCACTGTCGCCCCAGTCTCTCTCTCTATAGGTCTATCACTGTGTCACTGTCGCCCCAGTCTCTCTCTCTATAGGTCTATCACTGTGTCACTGTCGCCCCAGTCTCTCTCTCTATAGGTCTATCACTGTGTCTCTGTCGCCCCAGTCTCTCTCTCTATAGGTCTATCACTGTGTCTCTGTCGCCCCAGTCTCTCTCTCTATAGGTCTATCACTGCGTCTCTGTCGCCCCAGTCCTCTCTCTATAGGCTATACACTGTGTCTCTGTCGCCGCCCAGTCTCTCTCTCTATATGTCTATCATCCTGTGTCACTGTCGGCCCCAGTCTCTCTCTCTATAGGTCTATCACTGTACTCTGTGTCCCCCAGTCCTCTCTCATTGTCTCCCTCTCATTCAGTCTCCCTCTCCCCCTCTCATTCATTCTCCCTCTCATTCAGTCTCCCTCTCCCCCCTCTCATTCATTTCTCGCCTCTCCTTCATCCTCCCTCTGCGCGGATCGGCACTCTCCCCTCCTCTGCCTTCCTTCCCATCTCCTTCCGTCTCCCTCTCCCCCCTCCAGTCAAGTCTCCCTCTCATCATTCTCCCTCTCCCCCCTCTCATTGTCTCCCTCTCCATTCAGTCTACTCTCATTCATCCTCCCTCTTCATTCCGTCTCCTTCTCCTCCCTTTCCCTTTCCTCCAGTCTCCCTTCTCCTCCAGTCTCCCTCTCCTCCAGTCTCCCTCTCCTCCTCTCCTTCAGTCTCCCTCTCCTTCAGTCTCCCTCTCCTTCAGTCTCCCTCTCCCCCCTCCCATTCTCTTCACCCTGGGTAAAGGATACACACTTGTCGCAGCATTCACTCAGACACACTCACACCACTGAGGTGTGTTGCGGCAGGCTTCTTGTCCACCTGCCAAAAGAGTGTGTCATTAGTGGCCTCTAATTAATCTGCCTAGCAGCACCTCTCACAGAGGTAAATCAGCTCTGTGGAAAACATCCACACACCCAGACACATGGCCTGACGGACAGACATCCACACACCCAGACACAAGCACAATTTAACTGGATATGACACTGGTACTCTATTTTGCATTATTTCACTCAGGCCCACTCAGAGCTTTTCCCTGCAGCCCCCAGTTGATTTATGCTGAACGGGTGGGGTTTTCTATTGAGGCAAATTCATTGCGACACATTTTTTTTTTTTTTTAAGCCAGCTCAGCCTATATTTCAAGACGTGTTTACTGTAAACTGTTGTTACAAGGAGGGGGGCTAGGTGGTAGGTTGTGAGTATCATCTCCACAAATAGAAGATCTAGGGAAAATCAAAACAGACATTAACCATCGTCAATGCTATTTAGTGTCAATTTTCATAAAAAAAAAAAATGCTAAATCTGACATTTGGTGGCAGCAGTCCAAACATGTTCAATGACTCCCAATTGGCCATACATAATAAGAAATCATAAGAAACATCTACAAAAACTGACTAAAGCGAAAGCGACATCCCCAAAATAATCTGAGCAAATGGTCTACCACAGTAAGAGTCATAAAACCTAGTGGTTAAACACGAAAATGATTCCAAATCGGTTTTCCACCATTCATTTTATCCATTGTGAATTTTAGGGGGCTGTGTTTCGTGTAGGCTTAACCTGGCGTGACATTTTGATAACAGTGTATATCTCTCTCGGACAAGGTAATGTTTATCAATATATTTGCCTGTATTTACCCCCCAAAAATGAAATGCTTAATTAGTTGCTAATGTGGCTATTATACAGCACTGCAAATGCCTGTCTCAAGCTTCACGTCACTCACCAGGTCCATGACGATTACATTTACGTCATTTCGCAGACGCTCTTATCCAGAGTGACTTACATCTGGATGAGACTGCCGAATTGAGGCAAAGGTAAGAATCTCTATGTAATGTTAGCAAAATTTAGTAATTCATAAATTGGCTAAAGTTCTTTAAATTGACAATTCTGTGAACTGTCTGGGCAAGTTTTAAATTGAAAATGTCTTATGTAGCTGGCTAGCTCATGGTTAGCAACATTAGCCTGGCTAGATGGCAACATTAGCCGTCTACTTGTCTAGCCATTTAAATGCTTGACAAATTCATAGAAACTAGAGTCTAGGTTGCTAGGTGGTTAGATGGTGAAGCTAGGGCTATGCGTTCTTGATAATGCTTGTGTCTGTGGGTGGGGTGGGTCGCCTACTTCAAGTACTACTTGACTTGTAGCTACCCTAGCTAGCTGTATTATTTTACTCTGGCTTTTTGAGAGGTTTGAGAGATTAGCATCCTCTCGAGTCAGTGTGCTTACTTTACTGCGGGAAGACATTGATCCGTTTGCTGTTACCCTCTGGACAGCAGATCATTAGTATAGCTAGTAGGGAAGGTTATGTAACCTTATTTAGTCATACCTGCTATGGTGGACTTTAAATTAATTGGTATTCACACGCTTGTTTTTGGAGGTAGAATTAATGTCATGTTATTGACGTATTTGCACCTTCTCTATTCCAGAACCAATGGGTGTGCCGGAGTCTCATCATCTCTTAACTAGGTAAGTCGTTTCAACCTGGAACACTATTCTCCTGCTTTGGTCTGTTTCAGTCATTGCAGAAAGTCCTGAAGAGCAGGAGTGTGTGAAGGGTTTTGTCCAAGCCCAGCTCTAAACACCTGACTTATAATAATCAACATACCGAATCACGGCAACAGGCTATGATTTGTAAATCAGGTATGGGCTGGAACAAAAGCTTATACACACTCCTGCCGTTCAGACCTGGAGCTGTACAATCATTTAAGTCAGTGGTTCCCAACCTTTTTTCCTTGGAGCCCCGCCTACTTGTATCTAAGAAAAGCTGAGGCTCCCCACCACCATCACCACACACCAAAAATAATGTGATTCAGTTAATGAGTGCATAAATGTTTTCATACTGGCCCCCCGTGTGAATCGAACCCACAACCCTGGCGTTGCAAATGCCATGCTCTACCAACTGAGCTACACAGGACCTAATTCACTGAAACGGGGCAGTTTGTTGCATACACACATGCACATAATGTGAACACTGGTTTTGACACAGCTATAATGTATGTGTTATAAAAATAACAATAACAAAACAGTAAGATACAATTCAATAACTTTTTCCTTCCTTAAAAACAACTAAATGGCCACCTTGGGCCTGCATACCTCTGACCAGGGATGAGATGTCAGTTGTGATGCTAGTGACAGCCAACCTAAAGTCCTGGTGGACATAGAGCCTGTTACGGGCTTTTGTTTTTATTGTTCCAAGCGCGCTGAAGGCCGTCTCAGACAGGTACGTAGTGCTGAATGGTAGAATAACCCTTGTAGCTGCGTGTTTGGCCAGTCTGGGTGCAACAGCGTGTCCTTTGACAATCCAAAACTTTTTGTATCCGTTCTCCTGGAAATATTTATTTGACAGAGAATCGGCTTGAAGGTCAGCAAGCTCATCTTCACAGCCGAGGTATTCCACGTCCTCGAGACTGCAAATGTAAGGGTCCATCACCCACGATTCCTTTGATAAGTATTTGTCATGTTCATGTGCCGGGTAAACTCAGTGCGTAAAGACGCAGGCACAGTGTCACCAGACTGTTTCATCAGCAGTGGAAATTCAGTTCTCCAGTTTCCGCACAAAAGCGTCGAGAGCGTCTTTGCAGTGCATGCCGTTTGATTCAGGACCCTGCATCCGCATGTTTGTCTCATTGTAGAGAGTGAATGTATCCGCTATGTATGCCGTTTTGATCCAAAACGCATCAGTCAGCTGTCCGCACAGTGGTCGATTGTGATCTTGCAAGAATTCCTTTATTTTTTCCTGCAGTTCCATAAAACGCACAAGCACTTGTCCACGTGACAACCAGCGTACCTTTGTGTGTAACAGCAGTGTTTGATGTGCTTCATCCTCACACAGCTGGGCAAACAGTCTCGTTAGAAGGGCGAGCCTTAATGAATGACCTGTTGTTGTTGTTGTGGCTAGATTGGTAGACGTAAGAATGTCTTGTTTCAAGTCATCACCGTCAATTTATTGCACATAAACGATGAGCACGGATTCGTCTGACACTGTTGTTGTTTCATCCAACTGAATGGCAAAGGGAACATTCCTAAGCTTCTCATGCAGCTGGTTCTGACAATCTCCAGCCATTCGATCAATTCTGTCTTTGACAGTGTTGTCAGAGTGGGACGGTTCTCACTTTATCCACCACCTGTGGGCCACACAGCCTCTCTACAATTTTCAGGCTGGCGGGTTTGATTAGCTGATCTCCAATTTTGTGCCGGCTTTTTAGCCTTCGCAAATAATAGTGAACACTCAAATGACGCCTCCGTGGCTCTGTGTAAATCACTGCCTGCTCTTTCAAATGCTTTTCTGATGTCTGTGGATCTTTTTGATAGTGCCAACTGCTTCTTCCGCTCAAAGAAATCCTGACCTTCACCAATAGTCTCCTGATGTTGTTTCCTGGTGTCGTTGCATTTTGCTTGGCTTCATGCTTCCATTAGCTAGCTTCTCGCCACAAATGACACATTCTGGCCGAGTCCTGTCCTTCAATAAAACCGAAGTTAAGAACTTTTGAGATATAGCCTTACTTTCTTTTTTGATGATGAGTCATCAGCACTTTTATGTTTCTTAGACATGTTTTATTCATAAAATAGTGATCCTCTGACTGCAGGAAAAATGAGCTGCTAGCTGAAACTGATTGAGCGCAGGTCATTGACGTGCACACCTTTTCCCGGGGAATTACCGCTTTTACGTTTCTCTGACATGATTCTTATTTTTTTGATTGGCCTTGGCATTATAAGCATATGATCTTTAATAACATTTTAAAATGTATTAATTTTAAAATTAAATTATAGTGGAACATTTTATGCATGTTTGACCTCAAATGAGATCTCGCCCCCCCCTGTGAACTCTGGCAGCCCCCCTAAGGGGGGCACGGACCCTGGGTTGGGAACCACTGATTTAAGTCAATATGACCAATTGGGGGGTTGGGGGTAATCGTTATCTAACGCATGCTCCACTCTCAAGTTGAAGCTGAACTTGTTGACTGATGCCATGGCAGCACTGGTCCACACCTGCCCCATTTGTAGGGTGAGTAGTATTGGTTGGTACTGTTTGAGGCGTTAGGTTCCTCTCCATCTGTAGGCTATTGTACTGGCCTGTGTGGTACAGCCATATGTGTAGTAGTTTGTTGCATCTTATTGCTTAGTTTATCATTTGTTAAACTTTGAATTAAATCGAAGGCACAGATTGTTAACTTCCTGCATTTTGTACTTGACCTTTATAGATGCAGACCCGAAGACATTCAAGCAAACATCCCAAGTCTCCAATGGTCCCAGTACTGGTTGATGTTCAGGCACCCCAAGTCTCCAATGGTCCCAGTACTGGTTGATGTGCAGGCATCCCTAGTCTCCAATGGTCCCAGTACTGGTTGATGTGAAGGCCTAAGTGACCACACACACTCAAATGGACCTACAGCTGGGTTAAGATTCCTCCATCATTCACACACAGTAGACATAGTGTAAACCACCATGTTGTCAACAAAATGTGATTACTCACTGTCTTTAAAAGTGGTGATTCACAGACACACGATGACCACGATTTGAACGCTGCAACTGAGACGGAATGACGTCGAGGGACACAAGCTGAGACCCGGAGTATGACTGGGCTTGGACAACGACCTAAATAGGGGTGCAGAAGCACACCAGCGCCCCATTTGATGTTTATTCCATGGCCAACCATCCTTCTAGTTACCCCTTATTCCACACTATGCCTTTTATGCCCCATGGTCCCTCAACTTCGGAACTCTCCATTTTATAAACCCACCCTACCTTCACCCATTTTCCCCATGCTTCTTCCTTCACATCTCCTGATTGGATGACGCGGTAACACCTTTAAAAAAGTGTTGTGGTTTACTGTTTTTGCTACCTTTTATTCACCTGTGTAATGCTGTCCTCCTCCAGCTTATTCTGGGGTTCAGACTGAATAAGGTGGTAAATATGAGGGATATGACAAATGGACAATTTTGCTTAACGTTTAAAAACGGCCTTTAAAAAAAAATCATAAAAAGAATCATAAAATTCCACGTCAATTTACAATACAGAATAATGGCCCCATTACGTATGTATGGCCACTAGGACCAGGCAATACAGTTATATCTACCTCAACCCTTTACAGACATGCAACAAAGCTACAGTAACATGTCCATAGCAACAATTGATCACTTTTCAGACAAAAAAAGAAATGCAGCATCAGGTCTGTGCCTTTTCAGGCAGAATTCTGCTCCGGCGTAAAATGTTTTGTATTGTTTCCCTGACAACAATAAACGTTGCTGATTGATGTGCTGCTGTGTTGTATTTTATGGTATGGAAGCTAGATGTGTTTTATTTCTACTAAACGTCTTGGTAAGTCACCATATTTAACAAACTTTAAAATATTTTTTTAGGAGAGTGTGGTCTGCGTTCAGGCAGCAGGCATGCAGGCTGCGCGCAGCAGCTCGAGATTATTTTATTGACAGTTCTGGTTGCCTAGTGATGGACTTTGGTGATATGAATGGACATTTGCACTAGAGAAGGTTTTTGTCGGCATTGAAAGAAACGTAGCGTAGCCTACCCTAACAGACAGACAAACATGCTGTAGCGAAGGCGCTTTCAAGGGGCCACATTCGATTATGTCTGAAAAGCATAATCATTTTACATTTACATTTTAGTCATTTAGCAGACGCTCTTATCCAGAGCGACTTACAGTTAGTGAATACATTTTATTATTATTATTATTTTTAATTTTTTTTATACTGGCCCCCCGTGGGAATCGAACCCACAACCCTGGCGTTGCAAACGCCATGCTCTATCAACTGAGCTATAATCGATACCGGTAGCCTACTGTAATTTCAAATGAGGCAAAAACAAAGAGTAGAAAAGCCTGTTCTGGCAAAACTCAGTGCCATGAACAAGCTAGGATATTCTATCCGCAACAGATTGAAGACTGAACACACACTTGCATCATTAGCAATGAGACGAGCAGGAAGGTCATTGCGAGAGAGAGAGAGAGAGAGAGAGAGAGACACAGAAGAGTGTTATTATGTTTTGGTAATCTACATCTCGCAATGTCTCGTCTTGCAAATTAACCAAGTAGCCTAACGTTCACCTCTTCCGCTCTGGTTTTATTTGAATTACTATCGGCTATAAACACAGAAAATAATGGTTTTGTGATAACTGAACTGTGATTTTATGTGGGGGGAAAACAGTTTTAATTAGCATTTTTAAATCAGAGTAAATCGAGCCGAATACATTGATATAAGTCACCTTGTCTACACGGTTATCAAAATGTCACGCCAGGGTAAGCCTACACAAAACACAGGCCTTATTTGAAGTGTTTCTGAAATCCACAATGGATAAAATGAATGGTGGAAAAACTATTGGAACAAAAGCTTATACACACACTCCTGCCATTCAGACATGGAGCTGTACAGACGTTTAAATCATTATTCTGAGGGGGTATTGTTATGTAAGTGGAGCAGGCGTGTTTGACCACTAGGTTTTAAGGTTATTATGATGCGTCCACCGTGGGGCTCAACAGGGAGTAAATAGTGTTTTCTGCTTTCGAACACATAAACAAGAGCCCACGGCGATTGTTGACATATCATCATTTGAGACGCTCAATTGGGAGTCATTTAGCTTGAAAAGCCCTGTTAATAACCTGCAAATGAAGACTGGGAGAGAACGCTCGCTCTGCACGCCGATCAAACAGCTGTTTCCTTGCCGACCGGCTCCGGTTGCTGCCACCGCAGACAGAGGCCTAATAAAATTAGTATTTTTTTTCACTACGGTAAACATCACCAATACCATGACAACAACAGTAGCCCTAGTAGACAACAGTAAAGCTGGGGACGGTCACACCAGACAGACAGCACGTTGTAGTGGGGTAGGGGAGGCAACCGCTAGGCTTAATCTAAGACAATAATAAACATTTCTGAGCCATCGTAGAATGACATTGTGCTGGCAGGTATAGGAGAACAGTCTTGTATTGAATCATTCAATCCCAACAACAACTGATGCTGGATGGAATAAAGGCCTAGTCATTCAATTCATTAATATCAACAAATGCTTCTATGCATCAATAAACACACATCCAAAGCATGCTTAGGCAACACACATCACACACTGTGCTGGACATCATGGCAGCCAGAGGACCTATAGGGGAGGCAAATGGCTCCTTCAAAAGAGCCCTTTCCAGTTCGCCCTGTTTTCCAGACCAGTTGCTCAACGGCTTACGTCCAACAGGGTGTCCCATTTCATACGCTCAACAGGCAGGCAGCCAGGAGCAGGTGGGGTGGGGTGGGGTGGGGGGGGGGGTTAGGTTAGACCACCTCAGCCTAGTCAGACTCCCACAACCCCCTACTCTACACAACCCATTTGGGCTATCCATGGGTGTGGGGGCATCAAATGGTGTTAGTAAACAAACAAGGAATGGAAGTAACTGTGTTTGAAGGTCAGAGAAAGAGATGACAGGGTGAGGCGTCTGCATCCCATCAAAGGCTGCAGCCGGGGCTTAATTGAAGGTGGGGAGTTATCAGATGGACCGTCACCCACCCTGTCCTCACCTGCAGTCGCCTCTGTGAGTGACATGATGCCGCACTTCTGAAGTCTCAGCAAACGACTCCCTCTCCACACACACACACACACTCGATCAAGCTCTCACACCTCAGCGTGCATGTCCTATGGTAAGGGAATTAGAACACGGCCGTCTTGGCAGGACAAGTTATTTTGGTAAAATTGACATGCTGCACTGCAGCAAAGGACCAAGACAATCTAATTACTCGGTATTGGGAGGAGGACATTTTCTGAGAGGGGGGGGGGGGGGAGCGGTGAGCGAGAGAGAGGAGAGAGAAAGAGATGCAGAGTATGTACCCTGCCTTGAGTCCTCGACACATGTCGGGGAAAAATCTGGGAAATCAGCCGGAAAGGTGAACGGGAAGAGAAAATTCCCTCTGCTAATAATGATCATTACAGTATCCTATACAGCTGGCATTTCTCAATGGTGACTGATTCTTTTATCTCGCTCTCTCAAGTAAAGAAAATATTTAGTCAGAAGAGAGAGAGCTCGTCTGGCCTAAAATAGAAATTAGACCCCCTTTGCATCACAGAACACAACCCATCCCACTTACATTTTAGTAATTTAGCAGACACTCTTATCCAGAGCGACTTACAGTTAGTGAGTGCATACATTTTTTTTTTTTTCATACTGGCCCCCGTGGGAATCGAACCCACAACCCTGGCGTTGCAAACACCATGCTCTACCAACTGAGCTACAACACACTTCTCTTCTCTCTAAACTAATAGCTAGGCTACGTTAAATAAATAAAAAACTATGAATACCTAGCAACAGGAAAGCTAAGTGGTTTCCATAACACATAATAGCGGCTATACGCATTAGGCTTACACAATATTTATGTGCTCTTCTGTTGACTACCATCGGTTTAGTTTTCCAGATGTACAACCCAACACAGCAACTCCATTACAGCAGAGATGAATCTCATGTCAGCCTTCCCCTTGTTTCAAATCAGGTTTTCTATAAATAGCCTTAATGATTTAGCATTTTTATTCTATTACGTTACTGTCTTAATGACCTGACTGGTGTTGCATATAAGAGAGAGAGAACGAAGGAGCAGAGCGCGCGAGAGAGAACGAAGGAGCAGAGCGCGCGAGAGAGAACGAAGGAGCAGAGCGCGCGAGAGAGAACGAAGGAGCAGAGCGCGCGAGAGAGAACGAAGGAGCAGAGCGCGCGAGAGAGAACGAAGGAGCAGAGCGCGCGAGAGAGAACGAAGGAGCAGAGCGCGCGAGAGAGAACGAAGGAGCAGAGCGCGCGAGAGAGAACGAAGGAGCAGAGCGCGCGAGAGAGAACGAAGGAGCAGAGCGCGCGAGAGAGAACGAAGGAGCAGAGCGCGCGAGAGAGAACGAAGGAGCAGAGCGCGCGAGAGAGAACGAAGGAGCAGAGCGCGCGAGAGAGAACGAAGGAGCAGAGCGCGCGAGAGAGAACGAAGGAGCAGAGCGCGCGAGAGAGAACGAAGGAGCAGAGCGCGCGAGAGAGAACGAAGGAGCAGAGCGCGCGAGAGAGAACGAAGGAGCAGAGCGCGCGAGAGAGAACGAAGGAGCAGAGCGCGCGAGAGAGAACGAAGGAGCAGAGCGCGCGAGAGAGAACGAAGGAGCAGAGCGCGCGAGAGAGAACGAAGGAGCAGAGCGCGCGAGAGAGAACGAAGGAGCAGAGCGCGCGAGAGAGAACGAAGGAGCAGAGCGCGCGAGAGAGAACGAAGGAGCAGAGCGCGCGAGAGAGAACGAAGGAGCAGAGCGCGCGAGAGAGAACGAAGGAGCAGAGCGCGCGAGAGAGAACGAAGGAGCAGAGCGCGCGAGAGAGAACGAAGGAGCAGAGCGCGCGAGAGAGAACGAAGGAGCAGAGCGCGCGAGAGAGAACGAAGGAGCAGAGCGCGCGAGAGAGAACGAAGGAGCAGAGCGCGCGAGAGAGAACGAAGGAGCAGAGCGCGAGAGAGAGAACGAAGGAGCAGAGCGCGAGAGAGAACGAAGGAGCAGAGCGCGAGAGAGAACGAAGGAGCAGAGCGCGCGAGAGAGAACGAAGGAGCAGAGCGCGCGAGAGAGAACGAAGGAGCAGAGCGCGCGAGAGAGAACGAAGGAGCAGAGCGCGCGAGAGAGAACGAAGGAGCAGAGCGCGCGAGAGAGAACGAAGGAGCAGAGCGCGCGAGAGAGAACGAAGGAGCAGAGCGCGCGAGAGAGAAAGAAGGAGCAGAGCGCGCGAGAGAGAAAGAAGGAGCAGAGCGCGCGAGAGAGAACGAAGGAGCAGAGCGCGCGAGAGAGAACGAAGGAGCAGAGCGCGCGAGAGAGAACGAAGGAGCAGAGCGCGCGAGAGAGAACGAAGGAGCAGAGCGCGCGAGAGAGAACGAAGGAGCAGAGCGCACGAGAGAGAACGAAGGAGCAGAGAGCGCGAGAGAGAACGAAGGAGCAGAGCGCGCGAGAGAGAACGAAGGAGCAGAGCGCGCGAGAGAGAACGAAGGAGCAGAGCGCGCGAGAGAGAACGAAGGAGCAGAGCGCGCGAGAGAGAACGAAGGAGCAGAGCGCGCGAGAGAGAACGAAGGAGCAGAGCGCGCGAGAGAGAAAGAAGGAGCAGAGCGCGCGAGAGAGAAAGAGAGAGTGAGAAAACATGGGGACTTTAGAGGTCAGCTGAGGATGCCAGTACGTGTGTTTAAAGCACGTCCCACCATTCCAGACAGGTCTCCAGTGCCAAAGGCAGAGCTGCCATTCAGCCTTTGGGGTTATAGGGGGTGCCCTTCGTACACACACCCACACCCAGCTTTGTGTCACAACCCAGGGTCATGTACTGCTCAACCCAGGGATCATGTACCTCTCAACCCAGGGTGAACAAGTACATCTGGTGAATGTAAGTCTGGATCATGGCTGAGGTTGAGTTGGACTGGCTGGACCGGGCTAGGGATGGGCAGACCTGGGGTTGGGGTCCCTGGTGCCCTTTATCAGCTCTGTCAGGGGGAAATATAATGAATGCCTGGCTGGGTCCTTCTGCTGCACTTCCCACCTACCCGGCAAAACTCCCCACTCACCAACCTCCTCACGCACTGTGTACACACACACACACACTTCTCCTTCATCTTTACCATGGCCCCAACCCCCAAAGCAAACACTCAAACCCATCACCTCCCATGACCTCTACAGCTTGAAATGACTGCGCCAGTCTGTGCTCCTACCCATGCCTCTCTGTGACCTTGCAGTGTGCTTTCTCTGTACAGCTAAAACCCTCTCCGTCCAGTCTCAACTCTGGACGCTTCCAAGGGCCATTCAGGGAGTCGAGTGGTGAGCCTTCTATTTCCTACCTCCGGTGTATTTTTGGAAAGGTTGTTTTCAACACCATCCCTCTCCTGCCCCCCCCCCCTCCTCTCCCTTCCCTACCCACCTGCTCCTTTGCCCATTTGGGTAACTAAATCGAAAACAACTGGAACCATCTTGTTTTCCTTGTGGAGGAAACTCATTTAGCTGGGCGGCCACAGAGTAGAATTCCCCTTTAATGATACTACCACTGGTGGAGCAAATATGTAGCGTTCAAGTAGCTTCCAATGCTATTATGTGTGGTAAAGCAGGTTTCAATGCTATTCTGTGTGCTAAAGCAGGTTCCAATGCTATTATGTGTGGTAAAGCAGGTTCCAATGCTATTATGTGTGGTAAAGCAGGTTCCAATGCTATTCTGTGCGGTAAAGCAGGTTCCAATGCTATTCTGTGCGGTAAAGCAGGTTCCAATGCTATTCTGTGTGCTAAAGCAGGTTCCAATGCTGTTCTGTGTGGTAAAGCAGGTTCCAATGCTATTCTGTGCGGTAAAGCAGGTTCCAATGCTATTATGTGCGGTAAAGCAGGTTCCAATGCTATTCTGTGCGGTAAAGCAGGTTCCAATGCTATTCTGTGCGGTAAAGCAGGTTCCAATGCTATTCTGTGTAGTAAAGCAGGTTCCAATGCTGTTCTGTGTGGTAAGGAGTGACGGTAGGGAGAAAATAGGGACCGAGGGAGAGAGTGTGTGGTCTCCTTTGGCCTTCAGTGACAACGTAAGTCTATAAACTACCATTACAACCCCCCCCCCCGTCATCCCCCCCTCTGCATGTGGAAGAGGGAGAGAGTCACCAGAGAAAGGGGTCCAAGGATAGCTCTCTATAGCTCCTGATTTACTAGGTACATTAGGGGCTATTTGTTTGAGCAGGACCATCAAGCCACTGACACCTTGTCATCACAGGCAAGGGCAAGGTGAACTTAGAGTTGGTAGTAGAGACAACTGATGGGGCTAAATTTGAATGTGTGTCTCCAACGTGTGTGTGTGTGTGTGTGTGTGTGTGTGTGTAGTATATAAATGTCTACGCAGATATGTAGTGTGTGTGTGAGAGAGACATCGCTTACGTCAGGGTATTCTTTTAGAGGCACAAAGAGCTTCTCCTGCAGATGAATGATTGGCCCCAGGGCCTCGGGTAATTCCAGAGGGTGTTTGTCTCCGGGGCCGTTCGCTGTGTCGTTGTACATGTCCTTCCTTACTCTGTTGATCTCTGAAACACACAAGCACAGACAACAAACGGTTAGAGGAGTGTCTGCAGAATGACCCACACAAAAACAAACACTTGAAAGGCTATGAAAAGACAACAGCACTAGGACTGTGGTCATCTGTAGCTCAGCTGGTAGAGCACGGCGCCTGTAACGCCAAGGTAGTGGGTTCGATCCCCGGGACCACCCATACACAAAAAAAAAAATGTATGCACGCATGACTGTAAGTCGCTTTGGATAAAAGCGTCTGCTAAATGGCATATTATTATTATTATTTAGACCAGAACTAAGCGAAACCGTACGAAGCGGAGTGAAAATGGGGAAGTTGGGTACATAAACATAATCAGAACTGGCACGCAGATCGGTAGGATAAATTGTAAGCTTCCCCAAACTTGAAACTCACGAGCTGCCTATGGTCTTTATTAAAAACTGGGTGGTTCGAGCCCTGAATGCTGATTGGCTGACAGCCTTGGTATTTCAGACCGTATCCACAGGTATGACAAAACATTTATTTTTAATGCTCTAATTATGTGGGTAACCAGTTTATAATAGCAATAAGGCACCTCAGGGGTTTATGGTATATTGCCAATATACCATGGCTAAGGGCTGTATCCAGGCACTCCACGTTGTGTTGTACATAAGAACAGCCCTTAGCCGTGGTATATTGGCCATATACCAAACACCCCATCATGCCGTATGGCTTAATTATAACACCCAATAACAAAATTCCTAAGTATGCACACAGGAGGTCCGTGAAAGAAACGGGAAATCAAATTCCCTTCCAACTGATTAGTTCTGGCGCCAGCCGTGCGTTGAAAAGACGGTGAAGTACATATTTTTGGTTGAAAATATGTTAAAATGGGATGTATAGGGAGGGGTGTGGTGTGTGAGGGGTTAAAGCCACCCCCCAGACAGTGTCAGGTGGTCCGTGGAGGCTGGTCTAGTTAAATAGTGTGTTTTGGGGGGATAATAGGAGAGTGGGATCGAGCCAATCCTTCAAGGGGAGATATGCCTTCAGCTCAGATCAGCCGGTCAGATAAAACCAAAGGCAGGGGCTGACAGACACAGATACAGACACACAGCTGAGGCAATGCAGTCAGTTGATCTCTCGTGGGCCTGTTGAGACAAGGCATTCATTCATGAACTTTAGTTGGGCCAGATGAGGCGAGGCAGGGATGCACAGTGTTCTGTAGCCTAAAACACACATTAAGTACAGGATAGACAACTAAAGCCCGACCGATTTATCGGTTGACCCAAAACATTTAAAATGATATTTGCCTTTTTACGGATGCATTTGTACCAGCATTTAATCCACCAAAAAAGGGCCGATATAAGATCCGATATAATGATTTGTTCTGAAGAGGGCGCTCTATACATGGCTATAAGCCTATCCTGCCTTGGCACTACAGCAAGACTGGACACTATCCCCCAGCGCAACTACACCAGTCGGAGAGGACAGTGAACTACTGTGAACTAACCGTTACTGCTTCTACGGTGAGTACGGAGTAGATGGAAGCTTGCCAGCTCAATAGTGCCAAAAATGCGCACTGGCCACATACTGTTATGTGAAGTGTCATGGTAGGGTGTCAGGTGTCATGCCAAACAATGGATGCTATGCCCAAATGTAAAGCAAGTACCGTGCAAAGAACGTTAAACTCTGTGGTAACGCTAACGTTACAGGCCTTTAGTGAAGCCAGCGAAATCTGGTGTGTTATATTTGCCTTTGTGAAGGGTATTCTTCAAGCACTGTCATTCAATTGTTTTCAGAGACACTAAAAATAGCAAGTTACAAAGTAGCGCTATTAGCTATGTTTTGATGTATGGGTTCATTGTCACTTGTCAGGGATTGGTCCAAATTCAAGTTTCGCCAGACCTATTTCCATGACAAGTGCTAGCTAGCTTGCTAGCTCGTACTTGACGCCATTCACGGAGGGTCAGTGCTATCCGGGATCCTTGGGATGTCCCTAAGCTAAACCTTTACTGTATCCATTTTAAGTGTCAACTTCAACTAGGTAGGGACACAATGACTGTTCACTGAGGCAACGCTTGGGGCGAGAGGCAGCGCTGTGCCAGCAGAACATTTTGTGATTGATGTTTTTCCTTTCAAGTGGCAACTACCAGAATTCAGTGGCTAATGCCCCTACAAATCAATGAAAACATTGCTAAATACCAATTCATTGAAAATGTGTCCTACGACGTTGTTTTCCAGCTGGCAGCTCAGTCTTCAGAGGCAAAAAAAACATCTGGAATAAGAGCAGTTTATCCTCTTTTCACTAGAGTAAACCGTTTTTCCATAAAGAATGTAGTCTTTCTGGTGGTCCTAAATGCTATGTGGCGTTTACATTAATACTCTTTACCCATATTTAAAGAAATCAGCTTTGACTATCTTTGAAGGGATGTTTTAAGCACAATCCATTCAGAAAAAGCTTTATTTTTTAAAATTCCAGCTATAATAAAAATAATAGGCAGATATATCGGTTATTTGTGAATATTTCCATTCTAAAATCAGATCCAAAAATCCCATATCGGTCAGGCTCTATGGACAACCATTGGTCACACTGCTTCCCACTCTCCCACTCTCCCCACGTCCGGCCCTGACTGACACACACCTCTCCACTAGACCCCCTAAAAGTGACAATTGATTTTATCCCTTAACCACCCTTCCTTATCGCCCCAATAAAATGTTGAAGTAAATTCCAAAACAGCACCTTGGTAGGAGGTTTAGCCGAACTGCGGATCGGAGAGAGTTCATTTCAGACCAATGGAGGTGAGGGAGAGACATGAGATCACAACAACTGCTTGGCTGAGGGAACAGGGGCCATCTGTGGGAGATGGGTGGAGGGTAACCTATCTGGGGTGGGCCTCAAAAGGCAGGGCTTCTATTTAAGCCTCTGCATCAGAATCCTATATGTCAATACCTGACCCCGAATGACAGGGGAGGGAAATCACCTCTACTGCCTACCTAACTCCTAATGCTAACCCTGAATGCTAACACCAAATACCACAGACTCAAGTGCTTTAACACCAACTTGTGTTTTTTCAATTTTTGTTATCCCCTGACGAGGGATTGACAGGTTGTAATCGATTAGGTTTAACACACATTCTTACACACACACACACACACACACACAATTGAATGTGGTTAGGCACATCTGGCATACAGCTGGGTAGAATCTCTATAGTAGGAAGCATCTGTGGGACGCACAGGAAGAGGCACACACACATACGTCTCTAACCCTAACCCAACCTTTCATTACAACATAAACGTAATTCCTCCATGGGTCACAGAGCATGCAGGCCCAGGTCAGACTGCTGAGATGACATCACTCCTCCCCATTAGTATGACTTCATGAAAAATCTATTAATCTGTCAATGTATTAATGGGGGGGGGGGACTGCTAAGTGTGTAGATCCCTCCCTGGGCAAGGGCTGATTTCAAGGTTTTACTGTTAACCTATAAAGCGTTACATGGGCTTGCTCCTACCTATCTTTCCGAGTTGGTCCTGCCGTACATACCAATACGTACGCTACGGTCACAAGACGCAGGCCTCCTAATTGTCCCTAGAATTTCTAAGCAAACAGCGGGAGGCAGGGCTTTCTCCTATAGATCTCCATTTTTATGGAACAGTCTGCCTACCCATGTGAGAGACGCAGACTCAGTCTCAACCTTTAAGTCTTTACTGAAGACTTATCTCTTCAGTAGGTCATATGATTGAGTGTAGTCTGGCCCAGGAGTGTGAAGGTGAACGGAAAGGCTGGAGCAACGAACAGCCCTTGCCGTCTCTGCCAGGCCGGTTCCCCTCTCCACTGGGGTTCTCTGCCTCTAACCCTGTTGCAGGGGCTGAGTCACTGGCTTGCTGGTGCTCTTTCATGCCGTCCCTGGGAGGGGTGCGTCACTTGAGTGGGTTGAGTTACTGACGTGATCTTCCTGTCTGGGTTGGCGCCCCCCCCTTGGTTTGTGCTGTGGTGGAGACCTCTGTGGGCTATACTCGGCCTTGTCTCAGGATTGTAAGTTGGTGGTTGGGGATATCCCTCTAGTGGTGCGGGGGCTGTGCTTTGGCGGAGTGGGTGGGGTTATATCCTTCCTGTTTGGCCCTGTCCGGGGGTTTCTTCGGATGGGGCCACAGTGTCTCCGGACCGCTCCTGTCTCAGCCTCCAGTATTTATGCTGCAGTAGTTTATGTGTCGGGGGGCTGGGGTTAGTTGGTTATACCTGGAGTACTTCTCCTGTCTTATCCAGTGTCCTGTGTGAATTTAAGTATGCTCTCTCTAATTCTCTCGTTCTCTCTTTCTCTCTGAGAACCTGAGCCCTAGGACCATACGTCGGGACTACCGGCCGTGGTGACTCCTTGCTGTCCCCAGTCCGCCTGGCCTTGCTGCTATTCCAGTTTAAACTGTTCTGCCTGCGGTTATGGAACCCCTACCTGTCCCAGACCTGCTGTTTTCAAACTCTTAATGATCGGCTATGAAAAGCCAACTGAGATTTATTCCTGATTATTATTTGACCATGCTTGTCACTTATGAACATTTTTGAACATCTTGGCATGGTTCTGTTATAATCTCCACCCGGCACAGCCAGAAGAGGACTGGCCACCCCTCATAGCCTGGTTCCTCTCTAGGTTTCTTCCTAGGTTTTCGCCTTTCTAGGGAGTTTTTCCTAGCCACTGTGCTTCTACACCTGCATTACTAGCTGTTTGGGGTTTTAGGCTGGGTTTCTGTACAGCACTTCGAGATATTAGCTGATGTAAGAAGGGCTATATAAAATAAAATTGATTGATTGATTGATTGGATGAAGGACACCGTTTCTTAGGTCAGGCCAAATGAAATCAGTAGTTCAACGTTGAACAATTAATCTTTGGCCTGGCCTTAGTTGAACTGTCCAGATTTGTTGAGGAGTGAGGAGGGGATTCAGTAGGTATTTATACAGTGCCAGTCAAACGTTTGAACACAATTACTCATTCAAGGGTTTTTCTTTATTTTTACATTGTAGAATAATAGTGAAGACATCATAACTATGAAATAACACATGGAATCATGTAGTAACCAAAAAAAGTGTTAAACAAATCAATATATTTTATATTTGAGATTCTTCAAATAGCCACCCTTTGCCTTGATGACAGCATTGCACACTTGGCATGCTCTCAACCAGCTTCATGAGGTAGTCACCTGGAATGCATTTCAATTAACAGGTGTGCCTTGTTAAAAGTTAATTTGGATAATTTATTTCCTTCTTAATGCGTTTGAGCCAATCAGTTGTGTTGTGACAAGGTAGGGGGGTATACAGAAGATAGCCCTATAGATCCATCAATACGGAACATTAAGAACTTTGAACGTTTCTTCAAGTGCAGTCGCAAAAACCATCAAGCTCTATGATGAAACTGGCTCTCATGAGGACCGCCACAGGAATGGAAGACCCAGAGTTACCTCTGCTGCAGAGGATAAGTTCATCAGAGTTACCAGCCTCAGAAATTGCAACACAAGTAACAGACACATCTCAACATCAACTGTTCAGAGGGGACTGTGTGAATCAGCCCTTCATGGTCGAATTGCTGCAAAGAAAACGCTACTAAAAGGACACCAATAAGAAGAAGAGACCTGCTTGGGCCAAGAAACACAACCAATGGATATTAGACCGGTGGAAATGTGTCCTTTTGTCTGGAGTCCAAATTCGAGATTTTTGGTTCATGGAAGTGGTGTTGTTATGGTGTGGGGGTGCTTTGCTGGTGACACTGTCAGTGATTTATTTAGAATTCAAGGCATACTTAACCAGCATGGTTACGACAGCATTCTGTAGTGATACGCCATCCCATCTGGTTTGGGCTTAGTGGGACTATCATTTGTTTTTCAACAGGACAATGACCCAACACACCTCCAGGCTGTGTAAGGGCTATTTTACCAAGAAGGAGAGTGATGGAGTGCTGCATCAGATGACCTGGCCTCCACAATCCCCTGACCTCAACCCAATTGAGATGGTTTGGGATGAGTCGGACGGCAGAGTGAAGGAAAAGCAGCCAACAAGTGCTCAGCATATGTGGGAACTCCTTCAAGACTGTTGGAAAAGCATTCCAGGTGAAGCTGGTTGAGAGAATGCCAAGAGTGTGCAAAGCTGTCATCAAGGCATATTTTGATTTGTTTAACACTTTTTTGGTTACTACATGATTCCATGTGTTATTTCATCGTTTTGATGTCTTCACTATTATTCTACAATAAAAAAAAGAAAAATAAAGAAAAACCCTGAGTAGGTGTGTCCAAACTTGATAGTGTAATGTATTTGGCGCCCATAGATCAGATGGGTCATGTTCACTTGGAAGCAAACCTGACAATCAAGGAGGGGCTTATCTGAATTTATCCAATAAGAAACCCTGAATTGTATTTTTTTTCTGTCGCAAACCATTTTGCTATGGTGTGACCTATTGAACATGGCTCAGCCTGGACCATGGGGATGATCTTGGGTTGGTCCCAGGGCTCAGAGTGGTGGTGAAGTGCTAAAAGGTAAGGGATTCGTAGGAGGCCAGGCAACAGGTTTCAAAGTCTTAACAATTGGCAACCCGCCAAACACAAATTGTAACATTCCTCCCTCTACTCTTATATTTTACCTTTATTTAACTAGGCAAGTCAGTTAAGAACAAATTCTCATTTCCAATGACGGCCTTTGAACGTTCCCTTTTCATTTCCTGCTAAAATGCCACATTAAAATAAAGAGGCCGGTCCGGGCCTCCAGCCCAAGACGTGCGCCATTTGACAACATCCAATTTCGTCATCGCCAAAATCCTCGCCCCAAATCTTTCCTCAAACGCTGGGCTCATCTAAAAATTACCTCCTGCCTGGGCGCTGCCGATTAAATTATTTGTCTTTGTCCACCGCGGAGACGTGTGGCTAGTCAAAATGGCAGAGGAGATTGTGTGAGGACCATTCAGTCGGAGAAAGGAAAGAAAAGAAGCTGGAAACTGTGGCAGTAACAGAGGTTAGCACTCAAGAACTGTGATGGAGCAATTCTCTAGAAGTTTCTCCAGTGCTGTTTAAAGCCCACACACAGAGGAACACCCACACTAGCTAGCACGGTGCCATCAGAAACGACTGTGTGTATGTAAGGTTAAATATTAATATAAATGAGGTAGTAAGTCTCCCCCCCCCCCCCACCCACAGTCTCTCCCTTCACCCCCCCACTCAGTTTTTAGTGCATCACAAAGGGCCAGAGTCTACCTACCCTGCCCACCACGGCCTGCCTATCCCCCTCCCAGGTATGCCTAGTGCCTAACACAGTAGGGGATAATCAGCGGTCTGCTCTCGACTCCTGATATGACAGAAACGAAATAAAACTGTGGTGGGAGGAAGCCAGTCACAGTGAATGAGAGAGAACACACACAGACAAACACACACACACAGGAGACTCCTGACAGCGTTTGACGTGAGACACTCTTCACTGCTTCCAAAACACCCTAGGCCTCCACTCTCCCTCCGCACTGTTCTTCTCTCGTTCACAGTTCCAAGAAAATGTCACACTCCCGGGTCTCAGAGCAGACTGCCCTCCTTGAGCTACAATAGAGGCTAGATAGTTTATTCATTTTAACAGTAGACATGTAATGTTAAAGGTTTAAGACCAAACCAGTGAGAAAGAGGAGAGGTTCAACGGCATTAGGATAAGGGAGGGCTAGTTAGAATGACAGGATACAGACTAATATCCTGCTTGACCATCAGTACTGTGACAACATCAATAAATTAGGCCTACATAACCTCCTAACCTTGTTTTCAAACACTTTCCCTGAGTACGGCAACACAGAATTGGTCAACCAAAAGCTAAAATCCAGAAGGACTAGAATTAGGCCTAAATCAAGTCCTTGGAAGTATTTTGTCGGTGCTTATCAATTACAGGAAATGTAATAAGCCCAGGTTCAGACAAGGACAGTCTGTCTCTGTCTAGGTCTGGCTGCCTTCCTTTCAAATGTTACATTGAGCCTGAATGGAGCTACCTCGAAAGGAAGATGAAGAAACTATACTGGAGGGGGCTGTGCAGAACATCAGCTGTTGGACTCTGATCAGTCTATGAGGCAGCATGGACCACATAGGCCTATAGAGAAAGGGTCTAGGGGCAGCAGTAGTGCTATAGTACTAACCCATGTACTAGACGTCTAGCGTGCCACACTGTCAACATTCTGCTTTAGTCCTCCTAAAATCCCCTCCTCTTTCTCCCTCAATCCCGCCCCCTCTCAATGAGCCAGCCCAGCGCTTTCTCCCCCTGCTGTCGTTCATTCCTAGCAGGCCAATTCCTCACATCACTCAGCAGTAAGATATCAAATTCTCACCCACACATGAACCTAAACCACCCCAGGGGTGCGCACAGTCAGGAAAAGTAGGCTCCAACTAAAAGGGAAAAAAATTGAATGTGCTTTAAAATGTGAGCACTGAGCAGACCGCATCAAGTGGAGTTTCTCTTTATTTACCCAGTGAAAACACAATCAAGTCTAGTAGTAGTGGTGTAAAAGGGTAGGTGAGACTGAGTGCAGAAGGAGAGGGAGGATTCAGTCATGGAGAGCTTATAAAGGAGGGAGGGAAGGAAACATTTTATTTGTCAGATGATGACATAGGACAGCATTAAAAACACACTATTTTACAACTGCAGAGCGGCATGGGGTTCTCTAATTCAGTGTTCCAAAAATGTGGGGCGCAGGGGACGGAGTTCCCGCCCCCAAAATAAATAAAGAATCATTTATTTTTAGGAACTCAGTCAGGCTTTCGACTTACTCTTGAAAGTTGTAATATTAGATTGCACAAGGTGCAATCTCGAAATTGGTTAGTGCATCAGTTTTCCTCATCGTGTCAGTCATTAAAGACCTTAGAGAGCTAGTTAAAACTGGTCAGTAGGCTTGGGCGGTATCCAGATTTTCTTATCCCGGGTTTTACGGTAATACCGGCATAGGACAAGGGAGCACTAAAAAACGCAAAGAAAGCCCATTGGGCTTCAATTACCAGAATGCTAACAAAATTAGCACAAACCAATAGCGAAATCACAGACACTGTCAGCTAAATGCTAACGAGCAAAAATGAACATAAACTAATTGCAAAGAGAAGCAAATCCAGCTCATAAAAGTTATACAAGCATAGCTAGTAGCTACCGAATTACAAGCAAAAAGTGAACGAGAGAAATTGTGCAAATGAACTAGTACTTTTCTGAAGGAAGACGGAGCAGAGGGAGAACAAAAGGAGAAAAGGAAAACGGAAGCAGGAAGCACAGGTGAAGAAACGGCAGCTGTAGAGACAACTCACCCAGAGCTCTTTGACTTCTGGCAGAAAGCCATTAAAAGCCGGAAAACATTTAGTAGTGAATTGCATACAAGTGTAACTTCATCACCTCATGTGCACAGCACAACAGACTCGCTATGGGGGCCTCCAGAGTGGCTCAGTGGTCTAAGGCGCTGCATCGCAATGCTAGCTGTGCCACTAGAGATCCTGGTTCGAGTCCAGGCTCTGTCGCAGCCGGGAGACCCATTGGCGGCGACAACTGGCCCAGCGTCATCCAGGTGAGGGGAGGGTCTCTCAACCTTCGCCTCTCTCGAGTCCGTACGGGAGTTGCAATTGGATACCACAAACAAAAAAAAATAAGATATAGGACACTATGGACTAACAGTCTCCTGTCGTGCTATTTACAAACAAACACATGACTGGCTCAACTGAGGACCTACGATAATCTTCATAATGTAAAATAATGTGACAGGTGAAATGAATAACGCAATCTGCTTTATCTCCTAACATATTACACAAGTTGCCTGCAAGTATTAACTAAAAAAAGTAGCTTCAAAATGTCTTGGAAAAACGTCAAATAAAAAATATCCCATGGCTTTTTCCAAATACCCCGGTATACCGCCCAATGTCCAGATCATCTAGCCTGTGTCAGCTAAATGTTTTTGTAGCTAGGTTGATTTTGTTGTAGTGTTTGAGTCATGGCAAAGACGTGTAGAATTGCAGGAAATTACCTTTAAAATAGCACCTAAAAAAATATGGTTGGGATGTTTTAATTGCTTCATCCTGCTGCAGCATTCTGGAAGCTGCTGTCCTCCTTACCTCCCTGACCTCTCAAATCAGGTGTGTGTGTGTGTGTGTCCCTCACACTAGACAACAGGAGAAATGTATTGGTGATAGGGTTGGGCGATATTTGGGGAGACCTCTATGATACGCTACTCCAAATATTGCAATATCCGACATAATCATTTTACGCAGTATCCTTAAGAGTTTGACGCATTTAAGTAACATTAAAAATTCCCCATCAAGGTCTGTCAGTTTAAGGTAGAGATACACTATATAGATACTTTTGTGTATGTGGACACCTATTCAAATTAGTGGATTCGGATATTTCAGCCACACCTGTTGCTGACAGGTGTATAAAATCGAGCACCCAGTCATGCAATCTCCATACACAAACATTGGCAGTAGAATGGCCTTCCTGACGAGCTCAGTGACTTTCAACGTGGCACCGTCATAGGATGCCACCTTTCCAACAAGTCAGTTCATCAAATTTCTGCCTTTGTGAAGTGGAAACGTCTAGGTGCAACAACGGCCTAAAATGTCAAATCAAATAGCTAAATGATGATGGTATGATCATCTTAAAACAATTCCATATGTTCGCTTAGTAGACCCTCCCCAGCTTAGACTTTCAGAGGCTAATGACAAACTTATTCTAGACTGTGCAATTGTAATTATTTACAATATTATAGTCACATTCTCATTAAATAATCTGTGTGTGGCTTAGTTAATTTCAACATATTGATACAGCCGAAGTGATAAAACTGCACACTTCTGATTTGTAAAGTTCACAGAGTATTGTCTTGCACATCACGATGTGATATTTGACATCGACGATATATCGTGATATTTGACATTGACGATATATCGTCGATGTCAAATATCACAATATTCGATTTAATTATATAAAATTGGCCCAAGCATAATGGTTGAATCTGTGTGGTATTTCCATGCGGTATGGTATGATAAGCTTCTCTGGCTAAAGCAGATTTTAAAAAACTAATTACAGGCCCTAATGTCCGGCACCTGAGAACGCAGGATCCCAACGCCAATTAAACCTGAGCCTCTGACACAGGCAGTCTTCTCTGCAGCCCTTTCACTAGGCTTCACCTAATCTACTCTGAAATTAAAGTACTGCGATAGAACTGAGATAGGTTCCAGGGAGACGGAGATAGATCATGTCTCCCGCTGCAAACAGGAGCAACGAGAGCAGATGAGGGAAAGAGGCAAGGACGGCACATGACTGCTACTAAAATACACACCCGCGGTGGTGGCTGAGACGAGCCTTCGCTGAGGTACAAGTTTTTCCACTTTGAAGTGGCGCACTTTAGCTATCACAAAGCACAGCAGTGAACGGATTTGGCCTTTAACGCAATCCCTTCCCTTTATTCAGTCCACAGACTACTTTAACCAAAGCGACACTAGACTTCAACAGTGAAGGCATTGCAGCGGAAGGCATGAGAAAGGTTCTTAAAGAAGCTGAACATAAATATAGTACGTGGGCGATTGAGCCATGAAAACGTATGTCTTATCGAGGACCCACAGCTGTCTCGTCGATTAAAACCTTTAGTGCTATTTTTCCCTCTATGATCTGACTTAACGGCCTATATGCAGATGGTTCCGTTTTTAAGGGATGAACTTTCCGTGCTGTGCTCTTCACGTGAACGTTCGAAACGCCCAATACTGTACAAGTCACATTTTCATGCCAGACATTTTCAACATCAACAGGGAGGAAGTATAGATCAAATACAAAAACCACAATTTTGTTAAAATCAGGGCGCTCGCAATAAATTGTGCAAGATGTGAGACGGATGATGACGATGGCAAATGCTAGGCAGGCCTCAACATTCTCAGACCCACACTTTAATACACACTCCGGGACCAGCCTATCCCAATCCCTTAGTCAGGGTCCGAAGTAATTGCTGGCCTAAAATGACATGAAAGCAATAAACGGCAAATGAAATGAATGACACTGCAGTTTCCCGGGCCAGCAGGGAGAGATCTACGTTTGCAGGATTCTCCTAAGCAGTCAGAGTAAAAACCTCCGGCGTCAGGTCTTTGAGCAGATAGGATACTCAATAAATGACTGGAGTAACAAGGCCTCTCAATCCTCCTCCCTCCGCCTTCTCTCCTGGGCCCGGAGTGAGCCAATCCTCCTCCCTCCGCCTTCTCTCCTGGGCCCGGAGTGAGCCAATCCTCCTCACTCCGCCTTCTCTCCTGGGCCCGAAGTGAGCCAATCCCCCCCTCCATCCGCCTTCTCTCCTGGGCCCGGAGTGAGCCAATCCTCCTCCCTCCGCCTTCTCTCCTGGGCCCGGAGTGAGCCAATCCTCCTCCCTCCGCCTTCTCTCCTGGGCCCGGAGTGAGCCAAAAATACGAAATACACAACCGCATAAATTGGGTTTGATTGTTCAACGATTTCCACCAGTTCCAAACACACAGAAATGGGGCTGGGACAAAGCCCACCTGGAGTAGAGAACAGACGCAGCATGCGTTCTATGATTGCCAATAATGAGTGGGTGCTGAGCTGCTTCTGTAATGGCAGAGAATGCACAACGAATCCAGGACTGTTCGGTGCACTGTGCAGGTCCTATGTGCATCATTTCCACCGCCTGCCCAAACCACACACATAGACAGAAAACAAACAGAACTGGTGAAAAAAACTAAAACTAAATGAGGCTTCTGTGTTTGCAGCCACGGCTCTCCAGAAAAGCAGAACACACAGAAATAACACTGGAGAAGAGGGGTGAATCGCCTCGGAGCAGAAACAGTACAAATAACACCAGGAAATAGTCAATCGTTTCCAAGTATCTAGCCATTTAGACAAACTGTTGACTGTTTTGGAGATGCTAGTCTTTCCCATTAAAAAAATAATTTAAAAAACGTTAAATCTCCATTCCTCCTTCTCTCCACCCCCTCCTTCCATTTGAAGCATTCTGACAGTAAGCCAGTGGTTTGTGGCGGCTGGGATTGGGTAGGTGCAGTGTGTTGGTGTTGTGACGGAAGCTAACACAATTACCAGACAGAGCAATTCCTTATTAATATCGCAGTGCTTCTGAGGTTGCCGGCGCTAGCGGCAGAAATTCTGCCAAACATGATGTGGCTTAATGTGACTCTTGGCATCGGCGACGGGTTGCGGCAGCATGACGATTTCAACAGGATGTGTCATAGCCAGTTACCATGTCGATTAGACAACGAAAACAGACAGACACACGGGAGGACTGGAGAAATACACTGCCACGCATTTGGTGAATCTCTGGGCCCATGTGAAGTTCCACAGACTAAAGCAGCCTGCTGCTGTCATTATTTCCTATATCCTGTTGGCAAAAAAAACAATGGGCAGTGAGATTAACTTTGGCGTGTCTGGGGAAGTCTGACTGGACAGCCAGTGAGTAGGAGAGGGTAGGCTAATAGGCCCGAGACCATTGACTAAAGGAGAACTGAAGAGCTAATTTAGCAATTCTGCTAAATTCTCAGCCAACAGTCATTGCAAGGGAGGAGCTTTGGCCAGATCTCCAATTCTTGATAAACAAAAAGGTCCAAACCTGAACATTTCTGTGAGTGTTCCTAAAGACGAGCTCTCCTCCCAGTACCAAGCCCATTACCAGATCTGAAAACTAAAGAGGGAACAGTCAGTCTCTGGATCTCTGCAGAGCCATTAAGGCCTGCGACTAACATTAGAACAGAACAGGGGACCACATGATGTGGAACTGCTTTATGGGGTTGGGTGCCGGTAGGGGGCACGGTATCAGCTCAATGAGGCATGGGAGTGCCCGTTTCCCGCACGGAGAGGGGTCTGCAGTTGGAGCGCCTTGTACTCACAAGGAGGGCCGGCTCAATGCATAATAGGCTCATTCTTAATGGCCGCCACGGGGGCAGGTGTTCATTACTCTCTGCGTGGAGGTAATTTAGGAAGACACCCTGGGGTGATCACTTGCTATGAAGCCCAGTATCCCTCCGTGTTACAAGCCGGCATTACTGGGTCATGGAAAATAGGCCTAAGAAACGCACAAAACACATAGACGCTGCCCTTGACATCACTATTGGGTCCATCCCATAGGCAACCACATGGCAACATTCACATAGAATAACAGTAATACAAGGAGAGAGGTAGAGCTTCATGCCAATGGTCCACTCAGCAAGTTCTGCAAATGATGTAATTCACCAGCTCAGCGGAACTAGTCAGTCATTCTAAGACACCTAAATGCAAACACATCTTAAAAGACTAAACAAAGACAGCACTTTTATTGCTGCTTTGCTCCCATCGAAAAGGGTAGGATATGTAGCATTAGATTGGAAAGTGTTGTAGAGGTCATTTAACAGAGCAGCTTTAAGGGCAGAGATGTCTTAAACGGTTTCCACTCATCTGTTGGGATAATTTTTGGGAAAACCCCAACCTTTAAGCAGAATAACAAAATAACCAACACAGGCAGCCACTGTCGAGAACAAACTTGTAAAAGGGTGCAGACACGTGACACAGACTGACTCAACCTGGGGTATTAATCTCACAAACACACTCACTGTTTATTGTCTAGGGAACTCATTTAACCTGCCACTGAATTTGTGCGCAAACAAACAAATGTGAGACTTGGCACCAGAGGAGATGGCTGCCGTTTTATGGACTCTTAACCAACCGTGCTATTTTGTGTGTTTTTTTCCACATTGTTTGTAACCTATTTTGTACATAATGTTGCTTCTACCGTCTCTTATGACCGAAAAGAGCTTCTGGACATTTATATTTGTTACGGATCCCCATTAACGGTTGCCAAGGCAGCAGCTACTCTTCCAGCAGCTACATCAGAACAGCGATTACTCACCTTGAACTGGACTAATAATTTTTCTTTAATGAGTCGGATGAGCGGGATTTGCTCCAGACACCCGACAGGGCCCTCATCCCTGTCATTGGCTGTAGAAAGAAAAGGAGATATTGCAGAAGGAGATCGGGGTGCCTGGTAACGAGCCGGCGACGAGTGGCTAATCTGCCTTTGCCATCGATACTATTGGCCAACTTACAATCGCTTGATAATAAAGTGGACGAACTACAAGCACGTATATCCTACCAACGGGACATTACAAACGGTAATATCTTATGTTTCACCGAGTCATGGCTGAACAAAGACATGAATAACATACAGCTGGAGAGTTATACACTGTATCGGCAGGATAGAACAGCAGCCTCTGGTAAGACAAGGGGTGGCGATCTATGTATATTTGTAAACTACAGCTGGTGAACGATATCAAAGGAAGTCTCGAGGTTTTGCTCGCCTGAGGAAGAGTATCGCATGATAATCTGTAGACCACACCATCTACCAAGAGAGTTTTCATCTATATTCTTCGTAGCTGTCTATTTACCACCACAAACCGATGCTGGCACTAAGACCGCACTCAATGAGCTGTATACAGCCATAAGTAAACAGGAAAACACTCATCCAGAGGCGGCGCTCCTAGTGGCAGGGACTTTAATGCAGGGAAACTTAAATCAGTTTTACCTAATTTCTACCAGCATGTTAAATGTGCAACCAGAGGGAAAGAAAACTATAGACCACCTTCACTCCACACAAAGACGCGTACAAAGCTCTCCCTCGCCCTCCATTTGGCAAATCTGACCATAATTCTATCCTTCTGATTCCTGCTTACCAGCAACAACTAAAGCAGGAGGCACCAGTGACTCGGTCAATAAAAAAAAAAAGTAGTCAGATGAAGCAGATGCTAAGCTACAGGACTGTTTTGCTAGCACAGACGGGAATATGTTTCGGGATTCTTCTGATGGCATTGAGGAGTACACCACATCAGTCACTGGCTTCATCAATAAGTGCATCGATGACATCGTCCCCACAGTGACTGTACGTACATACCACAACCAGAAGCCATGGGTTACAGGCAACATCTGCATCGAGCTAAAGGCTAGAGCTGCCGCTTTCAAGGAGCGGGACTCTAACCCAGAAGCTTATAAGAAATCCCGCTATGCCCTCCGACGAACCATCAAACAGGCAAGGCGTCAATACAGGACTAAGATCGAATCGTACTACACCAGCTCCGACGCTCGTCAGATATGGCAGGGATTGCAAACTATTACAGACTACAAAGGGAAGCACAGCCGCGAGCTGACCAGTGACACGAGCCTACCAGCCGAGCTAAATTACTTCTATGCTCGCTTCGAGGCAAGTAACACTAAAACATGCATGAGAGCATCAGCTGTTCTGGACGACTGTGTGATCACGCTCTCCATAGCCGATGTGAGTAAGATCTTTAAACAGGTCAACATTCACAAGGCCGCAGGGCCAGACTAATTACCAGGACGTGTACTCCGAGCATGCGCTGACCAACTGGCAAGTGTCTTCACTGACATTTTCAACCTCTCCCTGTCTGAGTCACCAACATGTTTCAAGCAGACCACCATAGTCCCTGTGCCCAAGAACACTAAGGTAACCTTCCTAAATGACTACCGACCCGAAGCGCTCACGTCTGTAGCCATTAGGTGCTTTGAAAGGCTGGTCATGGCTCACATCAACACCATTATCCCAGAAACCCTAGACCCACACCAATTTGCATACCGCCCCAACAGATCCACAGATGACGCAATCTCTATTCTGCCCTTTCACACCTGGACAAAAGGAACACCTATGTGAGAATGCTATTCATTGACTACAGCTGAGCGTTCAACACCATACTGTCTTCAAAGCTCATCACTAAGCTAAGGACCCTGGGACTAAACACCTCCCTCTGCAACTGGACTTCCTGACGGGCTGCCCCCAGGTGCAAAGGTGGGTAACAACACATCCGCCACGCTGATCTTCAACACGGGGGCCCCTCAGGGGTGCATGCTCAGTCCCCTCCTGTACTCCCTGTTCACTCATGACTGCATGGCCAGGCACGACTCCAACACCATCATTACGTTTGCCGGTGACAACAGTGGTGGGCCTGATCACTGACAACGACGAGACAGCCTATAGGCAGGAGGTCAGAGACCTGGCCGTGTGGTGCCAGGACAACAACCTCTCCCTCAACGTGATCAAGACAAAGGAGATGATTGTGGACTACAGGAAAAAGATGAGGACCGAGCACGCCCCCATTCTCATCGACGGGGCTGTAGTGGAGCAGGTTGAGATCTCAAGTTCCTTGGTGTCCACATCACCAATAAACTAACATGGTCCAAGCACACCAAGACAGTTGTGAAGAGGGCACGACAAAACCTATTTCCCCTCAGGAGACAAAAGATTTGGCATGGGTCCTCAGATCCACAAAAGGTTCTACAGCTGCACCATCGAGAGCATACTGACTGGTTGCATTACTGACTGGTTGCATCACTGCCTGGTATGGCAACTGCTCGGACTCCAACCGCAAGGCACTACAGAGGGTAGTCCATACGGCCCAGTAAATCACTGGGGCCAAGCTTGCTGCCATCCAGGACCTCTATACCAGGCGATGTAAATGACTCCAGCCACCCTAGTCAGAATTTCCTCTCTGCTACCGCACGGCAAGCGGTACCGGAGCACCAAGTCTAGGTCCAAGAGGCTTCTAAACAGCTTCTACCCTCAAGCCATAAGACTCCTGAACAGCTAATCAAATGGCTACCCGGATTATTTGCATTGCCCCACCCCCCTTACGCTGCTGCTACTCTCTGTTTATTATCTATGTATAGTCACTTTAATAACTCTACCTACATGTACATATTACCTCAACTAACAGGTGGCTCCGCACATTGACTCTGTACCGGTACCCCCTGTATATAGCCTCGCTATTGTTATTTTTACTGCTGCTCTTTAATTATTTCTTACTTTTATTTCGTATTATTTTATATTGTATTTGTGTGTGTGATTTTTTTTGGTATTCTTTCTTAAAACTGCATTGTTGGTTAAGGGCTTGTAAGTAAGCATTTCACTGTAAGGTCTACACCTGTTGTATTCGGCGCATGTGACAAATAAAATTTGATTTGATCTGCACTGCGCACTCCACTCTCCAGACACACTCCCTTGGTTTATGTTAACCCACTTCACCACGTTCAGTGTGTCGGCTGATCCAGCAGGACAAGCGTGCAGCACAAACACATAATCTCCCCCTCACCTCAGTCGGTCTGGCCTCAGGCACACAACACACACCAAAACATCAGTGTGACTGCTTTAGAGGAGAATACAGGATATCTGCTGTAAGATTGCTAAGATATGAGATAGCGAGAACAGGAAAAATGGACCAGGATGTTGGGCTGATTGTGTGTCTGTTGAGGGGAATAGAAAGGCAGACAGAAGCCTTGGCCCAGTTGTTTTCACTGGAAGGCCTGTAACCATCGACTCAGTCTGGGGAAGCTTTTCCTCTCAGTGCTGGCCAGGACAGAGTAGCAAGGATGTGGGGGAGGGGGTGACACTTCCTGTCAACTTGTACAACCAGACTCCTGCAAGCCTCAAGGGTCAGCCCCGGGTCAAGACCTCAGAGAAGGGTCATCTATGTTATGACTTCGACTGGAAAGCCAGGTGGACTGCAAGCTTTTTGTGCCTCTATTGCTTTGCGTTCCTCACTTGTGACAAGCTGAAAACAAACTCGGGGTAACAGTCTCTCTCACACCAAACCAGGAAGCCAGCATAACCCCCTCCACCACGCAACAATGACAGGAAAGGTAAAGCTGTCAGAAGAGGAAGGAAGGTCCCTCTCAATGTGTCAAGAACAGATAACCAATGCCCTGCTTCCTCCCCGAGCCTGAACCGCCCTCACGTCATCCTACCATCTCCACCACCAACAGTCAATGGGGGGGGGGGGGGGGTCATTACGGCGTCTAACTATTCCCGGCCCAGAAAAGAACGAGACCTCCCTTAACCTGTCCTTCATTCTCACCCTCGATGGAAGGACGCTTGCAACCTGCAGTCTTACATACGGCCTCCACAAAGGCGGCTAATGGGGAGTATCACTCAAAAGGGCGGAGCAGGGCAAGTATTGTCAGTGTCGATATATATTCTTTTTATAGAGCCGGACAGTGGCGTTCTTATCTGTGCCTTTGCAATGGGCTGTCGTTTGTCCAGCGGTCAGAAAGCAGGCCTTGTGACTGTGGTGGTGAGGGGGAGACTAACTGCCCTTGTGCCATTTAATGGTCGCCATTCATATGTGATGATGCCTCGGGCATGGAGTGCCTAGACAACAACTGAGGACTCTGTTCGTAAGGAGAATATTCAACACATGAAGTCACATGCAATTTAATGTTCACTTCACACACACAGAATAACATGCTGCGTGCTAGAAGGTGACATCACTGTGCAACACTGGTAGAACCGGTCATTGCCAAAACTTGTTGCTCAACAGTGGCTGTATAAAACCACAGGCTGTGATAAGGGAAATTCAGCCTCAGGTCTTTGTCTGGTCTTCCCCAGTCAGCCTAGTAAGCAAAACTACCAGTCGGTGTCTGCTGAGAACAGACAGACAGTGTTTCGATCTGTTTGTTTGCTAGGGTGGTCCGAAAGGTATAGGCAGAAACACGAAGCGCACAGGTTTGGCAGAAGTAGGTCAGGATGTCATAGCAACAGGCAAACATAATTTCCACCCTGATCCGACAGCAGTGAGTCAGGAAAGCAATCATGGAGTTCCTGAGCCTACTTAAGTGTTTAGGCATTGATCGTCTTCAGAGTGCTGGGTGAGCAAGGGAGGAGGGAGAGGAGACCCAGTCCGGTCTGTCTGGGCCGTGGGGAGACCCAGTCCGGTCTGTCTGGGCCGTGGGGAGACCCAGTCCGGTCTGTCTGGGCCGTGGAGACCCAGAGCTGCGGAGGCTGGTCTGTCTGGGTGGTGGAGAGAGCCAGAACAGCAGAGGCTGGTCAGCAGAATGGGTAACCCAGGGTTAATGCAAACAGACAGGTCCCGTTACAGGCCTTTAATGTCAGCACTGGTCTTCAGATGAAAGATGAAATGTAGCCCTCTGGCTGAATTACTGCCATCCGAGAGGAGAGAGAGAGGAGAAAACAGAGCGATAGAGTAGTAGAAAGAGGAGAGAGGAGAGGGAGGAGAAAACAGAGCGATAGAGTAGTAGAAAGAGGAGAGAGGAGAGGGAGGAGAAAACAGAGCGATAGAGTAGTAGAAAGAGGAGAGGAGAGGGAGGAGAGAACAGAGCGATAGAGTAGTAGAAAGAGGAGAGAGGAGAGGGAGGAGAGAACAGAGCGATAGAGTAGTAGAAAGAGGAGAGAGGAGAGAGAGGAGAAAAGAGAGCGATAGAGTAGTAGAAAGAGGAAGAGGAGATGGGAAAGCAGAGCGATAGGTAGCAGAAGAGGCGAGAGGAGAGGGAGAGAAACAGACGAAGAGTAGTAGAAAGAAAGGAGTCGAGACAGAGCGATAGAGTAGTAGAGCAAGAGGAGAGAGGAGAGAAACAGAGCGATAGAGTAGTAGAAAGAGGAGAGGGAGGGAGGAGAACAGGCGATAGGTGTGGAAAGAGGGAGGAGGACGTCTGTGGTGAGAGAGCAGAGGGGGGAGAAAAACAGAGCGTAGAGTAAAAGGAGAGAGGAGAGCAGAGGAGAAACAGACATAGCAGATAAGCATAGAGAGCAGAGAGAGGAGGAGAAACAGAGCGATAGAGTAGTAGAAGAGAGAGAGGGAGGGAGGAGGAAACAGAGCGATAGAGAAGTAGAAGAGGAGAGAGGGAGGAGGAAAACAGAGCGATAGAGTAGTAGAAAGAGGAGGAGAGGGAGGAGAACAGAGCGATTAGAGAGTAGAAAGAGTAGAAGAGGAGAGAGGAGGAAACAGAGCGATAGAGTAGTAGAAAAGGGAGGAGAAACAGAGCGTAGAGAGTAGAGAGGAGGAAGAGGAAACAGAGCGATAGAGTAGTAGAAGAGAGAGAGGAGAGGAGGAGAAAACAGAGCGATAGAGTATAGAAAGAGGAGAGAGGAAACAGAGCGATAGAGTAGTAGAAAGAGGAGAGAGGAGAAAACAGAGGGAGAGGGAAGAGAGAGAGAGAAACAGAGCGATAGAGTAGTAGAAAGAGGAGAGAGGGAGGAGAAAACAGAGCGATAGAGTAGTGAGAAGGAGAGGAGAGGGAGGAGAAAACAGAGCGATAGAGTAGTAGAAAGAGGAAGAGGAGAGGAGAGAAAACAGAGCGATAGAGTAGTAGAAAGAGAGAGGAGGATAGAGAGAGGAGGGAAAAAACAGAGCGATAGAGTAGTAGGAAGAGGAAGAGGAGAGGAAAAAGAGGATAGAGTAGTAGAGAAGAGGAGAAACAGAGCGATAGAGTAGTAGAAAGAGGAGAGAGGAGAGGGAGGAGGAAACAGAGCGATAGAGTAGTAGAAAGAGGAGAGAGAGGGAGGAGAAAACAGAGCGATAGAGTAGTAGAAAGGAAAGGAGGAAGGAGGAAAACAGAGCGATAGAGTAGTAGAAGAGGAGAGAGGAGAGGAGGAGGAAACAGAGCGATAGAGTAGTAGAAGAGAGGAGAGGGAGGAGAAAACAGAGCGATAGAGTAGTAGAAAGAGGAGAGAGGCAGGAGTAGGAAAAGAGGGAGAGAAAACAGAGCGATAGAGTAGGAGAAGAGGGAAGGAGAAAACAGAGCGATAGAGTAGTAGAAAGAGGAGGAGAGGAGGGAAACAGAGCGATAGAGTAGTAGAAGAGAGAGGAGGAGAAAACAGAGCGATAGAGTAGTGAAAGGAGGGGGGAGAGGAGGAGAAAACAGAGCGATAGAGTAGTAGAAGAGGAGAGAGAGAGGAGAGAAAACAGAGCGATAGAGTAGTAGAAAGAGGAAGAGAGGAGAGAGGAGGGAGGAGAAAACAGAGCGATAGAGTAGTGGAGAGAGGAGAGAGGAGGAGGAGGAAACAGAGCGATAGAGTAGTAGAAAGAGGAGAGAGGGAGGAGAAAACAGAGCGATAGAGTAGTAGAAATAGGGAGAGGAGAAAACAGAGCGATAGAGTAGTAGAAAGAGGAGAGAGGAGAGGGAGGAGGAAACAGAGCGATAGAGTAGTGGAGAGAGGAGAGGGAGGAGAAAACAGAGCGATAGAGTAGTGGAAGAGAGGAGAGAGGAGAAAACAGAGCGATAGAGTAGTGGAGAGAGGAGAGGGAGGAGAAAACAGAGCGATAGAGTAGTAGAAAGAGGAGAGAGGAGAGGGAGGAGAAAACAGAGCGATAGAGTAGTAGAAAGAGGAGAGAGGAGAGGGAGGAGGAAACAGAGCGATAGAGTAGTAGAAAGAGGAGAGAGGAGAGGGAGGAGAAAACAGAGCGATAGAGTAGTAGAAAGAGGAGAGCGTGCGCTAGCCATTAAGCATGCTGGACATGGGCAGACCGGAGAAGGCAGGCATGTTATGGACTCCCCCCGTGCCAACCTAAATGGGTTAAGACAGAGCCAAGGACATGGAGTCATTCACAATTCCCATGGGAAACTAGACACTGTTGTTAGTGTGTTTTGCACAGGAAGAAATCAGTTTAGCATTATGTTTAGCAAACATTCACACTACGCTTCTTTGGGGAGAGCAAATCATTTGCTGCATCATTTACCAGATCACAAAGGAACAAAATAAAAAGTAGGAGGAGAGTGAGGCACGTGGTGAGGGAAGGGGAGGAGCCTTACATTGAGTGTGTCAGACGATCATAAAAAAAAGGTTTGAGGAAAAGTTAGCGCCACCGACAGCTTCAACCGGTGTCAAGCACAATCCATGGTTTTTTGTTGTTGTCATTTAGCAGACGCTCTTATCCAGAGCGACTTACAGTTATTGAGTGCATACATTTCATACCTTCACCCCCGAGGAGAAAATGAAGGTGGAGGGAGAAAAACAGGATGGATAAATGGATAGACTGAGCATCCGGAGGCTTCCAGGAGACCTGGAACAGCACAGTGAGTGGTCCACAGCTGCAGATTAGGGCCGCAGGACAATACCTCACCTGAATGTGACAGAACAGCTGGCGCCTCCGTACCTAGCCAGATGCCCAGACCGCTCTCACACTGAGAGGACACGGACACCTGCCTGCCACACACAGCGAGCGCATCGTATAGGCCGTCCCACTGTAATCTAATCCAACAACAGCAAAACGACACTTCGTAATCTTTACGGAGGGCCACTGCTTCGATCAGTCCCTACTTAGAGTGGATGCCGATGGTAGTGATATTGGTTTCAGCAGTGGGTTGTTAGCTCTACAAAACAAGGGGTCATTGAGTGGGACTGAGGACCACTGACCTTCCCCTCAGCCTGGGAGATGACTTAATTCAGAGAACATTTTCTCTTTATTGCCACCCATCTGGACCTTGCTCCCATTTCCTTTCAGTGCACACAATCAATTCTCTATGCCTAGAAACACACTTTCATAGAGCTTAGGTCTGGGCGGTATACCGTATTTCACTATATACCGGTATTGATGCATGGATCAGTTTTGGTTTTTACTTCACTAACGTTATTTCAGTGTTTGGTTATTTAAATGTGATACTTAACTCCGGCGCGTTTAATGTCCGTTTTTGTAGTTTACTCTGTTGAGTCGTCTTTCAGCCTCCTCCTGCTGCATGCCGCTTCCCACACCAAGCCCTGCCCCCCGTCACTCAAGGAGAGCGCAGTTGGTTCCTACCCTGTCAATAATTCCTCCCTGGCTTATTCATTCGTTGTCATGTCAAACAATATATTCAAGGTGCTGCCCACTACATTCCAACTATAGAATTAGAATAATAATTCTATTTTCCATGGTTTCAACAGTTCACCAATTAACTAGACCTAGATTTTTTGACCATTTCATGCAGCCCTGTATGGCACAGTTGGAAATGAAAGTGCAGGAAATGCTGAATTTATTTTTAAAAATGCAGAATTTTGTTTGAAGATGGATTGAACAGTATTAAACAATCAGAATGGAAAAAGACCAATTGAAATGACGTATAATTTATGTGTTGCCACCCTAGGGTCATGCACTACTCAAAGCATATTTAGAACTTTGATTATTCAAAAACATAAATACCATCAAATACAATCACAAATGTGAAAGATATTGTGATATGATATTTTGGCCATATTTCCCGGCCCTAATAGAGACAGACTTCCCATTCTTTTCCCACTGGGAATGTTTATGCTTTCATTTTTGTGCAATGTGTTAAAGGCTCTTTTCTTTCCCCAATTAAAACAAAATCGCACAAAACAACCATTGTGTTTGCTTGTAATCTATTCATAAACCGCAAACTGATAACACAGTCGGGCTAATCCTTCAGGCAAACAGACTAGTAGCAAAATAGCTGAACAAATACAGTCATTCAAACAACATCCATTTTTACTGATTACTTCGCTACTTGAGTAATCTCTCTCAGCTCCCTCTATATGCTGCTTTCCACACAGACCTAGTCCCGCCCCGTCACTCAAGGAGCGCATTTGTTGTTCCTCAACCACGAAACACTTCAGTCTGCATGGTCAATGCAGCACATGCTACAATTTTGATGACAACAATGCTGTTTTCACTTTGCTTCTTATTAATATAAATCCACTGGTGTTCTATAATTACACTATTAGTTTGTGTTTCTTACATCTGCAAACAGCTAGTTTGTCTTTTCTTAGGAAGTTGGGCCTAAATTTGTTAGCTGCTAATGCTAATCGCTAGCTAATAAATGTACTGAGTCAGAGCAAATGTAATTAGCTATACAGCCTGATAATATCAGTGGTGGAAACCTAAATCAGCATGTTTGTGCAACAGTATCAAAGAGGAACACGCGAAGCAAGAATATGTTAACTACATGAAGTAGCTAAGAACAAGCCTTCAATGTAGCCAAAGATTATAGGGTCCCCAAGGAAACACTTATCAACCCTTTTTGTTCCTACCCTGGTCACAATAACTCCTCCCTGGCATTTTCATTCGTTGTCATGTCAAACACTGTATTCAGTGCCAACTATTATACTCTAACTACAGAATAATCATTCTATATCCCAAAAATATATACAAAATGCATTTTATAAAATATTGAATTTGTCCTTTCCTACTATCGCCCATAGAAACGCATTGAATAACACATTTATAAATGTCAAGTCAAAAAATAAATCATACCGAATAAGGTTTTGAAGTGTCTGTCCTTTTCATGATAAGACCAATTTTTGGGATGTCTCCTGGTCTGATGAACAGCGCTGTAGCTCTGCCACTTTCCAGTGCAGATGCGGAACGCCGACATAGGCGGATTGAGATGCAGCCCATGCAAAAAAACAGATAACTTTAACTTCAACTGACAAATTTAGATGGGGATTTTTATGTTGCATTAATAGAGTTAAGGATTAAAAACCCCTTTCATCTGAGCGCAGGTCTGCACTCACTGTCAGGGTGAAACAACTAGGCAGAGGCTTACGGATTGAGAGAGCTATGCCGCAGTCGCACTCAACCGCCAAGGTGAAATCAGTCATTGTTTAAAAGTCGACACACTTCCTCAGATAGACCAATAGAACAGAGGATGTTAACATGTAGCCGTGTGGCAAAGAGCATCCTTTGCAGGGGGAAATGGATGAAACAGGCTGAGCCTTGGGGTCTGAATGGCAGTCTGTCACGAGAATTTCTCTCTCTAATCATTACTCAAGCTTTTTATAATTCCCAGAGGGTGTAAGGCTCTGGTTTAATAATGAATTAAAACAAATTCTCCAGTCTGCAAGACATCTTCAGCATTTTTATTAATGAGAGCTCTGGCGCTAAAAACACACACCCATTTTAAATGCCTTCACACAAAGGAACTTTGCTCCGCCCACCTTTAAGCAGCCTGTGACTTTCCACAGTATGGAATGGTTAAGTTTGACAGTTTCTAGGTTTCCTTTCTCCTGGAATGTTTGTCTCAGCAGTTTCTAACCCCCTTCCCTGTTAGTGGGTTTATTGTGGGCTCTGCAGGATTTCAGTCCTTCACGGCGTAGTGTGTTACCAATTGTTTTCTTGGTGACTACGGTCCCAGCTGCCTTGTGATCAATGACAAGATCCTCCTGTGTAGTTCTGGGCTGATTCCTCACCGTTCTCATGATCATTGCAACTCCACGAGGTGAGGTCTTGCATGGAGCCCCAGGCCAAGGTAGATTGACAGTTCTTTTGTGTTTCTTCCATTTGCGAATAATCGCACCAACTGTTGTCACCTTCTCACCAAGCTGCTTGGCGATGGTCTTGTAGCCCATTCCAGCCTTGTGTAGGTCTACAATCTTGTCCCTGACATCCTTGGAGAGCTCTTTGGTCTTGGCCATGGTGGAGAGTTTGGAATCTGATTGATTGATTGATTTATTTATTGCTTCTGTGGACAGGTGTCTTTTATACAGGTAACAAGCTGAGCTGATTGAGAGGGGGTCAAATACTTATTTCCCTCATTAAAATGCAAATCGATTTATAACATTTTTGACATGCGTTTTTCTATATTTTTTGTTGTTGTTATTCTGTCTCACACTGTTCAAATAAACCTACCATTAAAATGATAGACTGATCATTTCTTTGTCAGTGGGCAAACATACAAAATCAGCAGGGGATCAAATACTTTTTCCCCTCACTGTATACAGGCCCATCTGAAGTTTACCAATGAACATCTGAATGATTCAGAGGAGAACTGGGTGAAAGTGTTGTGGTCAGATGAGACCAAAATCGAGCTCTTTGGCATCAACACAACTCGCCATGTTTGGAGGAGGAGGAATGCTGCCTATGACCCCAAGAACACCATCCCCACCGTCAAACATGGAGGTGGAAACATTATGCTTTGGGGGTGTTTTTCTGCTAAGGGGACAGGACAACTTCACCGCATCAAAGGGACGATGGACGGGGCCATGTATCGTCAAATCTTGGGCGAGAACCTCCTTCCCTCAGCCAGGGCATTGAAAATGGGTCGTGGATGGGTATTCCAGCATGACAATGACCCTGAGGGTATTCTAGTACTAACTGTTCCAAAAATATCAAGTTCCTCCTGCATGATATTCACAAGCCAGATCTGACTCGCCGCCAGTTAATAGAACAGATCGAGTTCAAATTCAAAAAGAGTAGGTATGTGGGGGGGGGGGGGGGGAACACTGTTAGAGGTTAAGCGCACGCCAAGTTAGCCTAAATTCCTCAGCTAGCCACTAGCCTTTGCTATTCCTCTCAGAAGAGAGGAAAGCATGCAGGCAGAGAGAACCAGCATTCAGCTCGTTGTGGAAAACAAAGACGAACATGGGAAACGCTGACAAATAATGCAGTGACTCCCATGGAGTCTAATTGTTCCGCCCCATCTGCAGTGACAGCCAGCCCTGAGACTCAAATGACTCGCACTACAGAGAGCAAAAACAACTGAGACAGAGAGAGAGAATAGAATAAAGGGAAACTGTTGGAAGGAGGAGGGGGGGGGGGGGGGGGCTATTCGAAACAGTCAATTGCAAGGGGGTGAGGCCTAATCCTCATTGCTGTGGAATGTGTGTGTGGAGGGCGAATCAAATAAACAGGCATCTAGTCTCAGGTGGCCTCTTACAACTCACATTCAAATTAGTCACAGGAAACGGGAGAAGAGAGACAGACGCACCTCGCTGAGAAACAACAAATTACACAGCAAAAGGGACACAAAGGAGCAGAGCTTTTGGGCTTTGTTTTTCAGCCATTTTATAAAGCTTATGAAACAGGCTGGTGTCCTCGTCTTTCCCACAGTCTAAACCAAACAACTTCGGCAGCCCTTTCCTGCCTGAAATGGGTGTTACTTCCTTTGGTTAGGCATGTTTCTCACATCCCAAAAATGGAGGGGGAGAAAAGGGGTAGGTCGAAGTATAGGGAGGATGAGGTTCCCAAGCCAAAAAATCCCAAAGATAAACAAAAGAGCCAATAGAGCTGTTGTGACAGAACTATTACAAGATCGCCAAACTTTGTCATATCCTGTCACGCCATGCATCATTTATTCTCCAGACTCTCGAGAGAACGACTAAACTGAACAACAGTGCGCAAAACCATTGTGCAGCATACATTTTGTAGCTTATCGAAATTAAAAAGTAGAAGGGGAAAAAGGGAGTTTGTAACCAGCCAAACGCAGAGGGGTGGCAAGCAAAATCAGACAACTGGGGCAGAGGTTGTGCCCAGCACTCGCGGGATTGTGGCCCGAGATAACGGTGCAGGCAGGGCCTGTCAGAGGATGACTTTATCAGCTGCACCAGGCCGTGGGCCAGAAGCCTGGCTGATCTCAAAGACACCAGCATGCAGGCATCAGATAGAGTCAGAGAGCGAGAGAAAGAGAGAGCATCCGAGCCTGGGACATCCTCTGGCCGCCCAATTTATTACCCACAGAGAGCACAGGGAGGGAGAGAGTCAGGCCCAGGGAGGGAGAGACTGAGGAGAGAGTCAGGCCCCGGGAGGGAGAGACTGAGGAGTGAGTCAGACCCGCAACTCAGCTTTAAAACTGGCTCAGTAAAGCAGGTCTTGTTAATTAAATTCCAGCTTATAAATAGTGCCTTGGGAGGGAAGCAGAGGCAGGGGTGTGGAGGGGAGGGGGACAGAGAGACGCATAACAGCTTTCAGCCTGCACAACAACCATGCCCTGAGCCCCCTCCCCTCTCTCTCTCCTCCTATAGTCTCTCCATTCGAGAGCTCAGGTCTTTCAAAGCCCCAGGCGCCATCTTACTTTGCGAGCAGCACTCAATCTTGTTAGATGGCAAATTGATTGTGTGTCAAAGGTTAGTGCAGGTCTCTGCCCTGCGGGGCGCTCGTGAAGGGTCACCCTACGGCGGCGCTCGCAAAAGGTCACCCTACGGCAGGAAATTAACTAGTAACAGGCAGAGTTGAGACCGATGGAGAGAGAGCTATGGAGAGAGAACTTTAGACTTTTCTTCTGTAATCTTTATTAAAAGACCAACTCTAAACCCTGACGCTCTCCCAGGGGCTTGGCACAGATTCCCTTCTCTAAACAGTGACAAATCGCAAGGAAGCGTCCGATTAAACCTAACACCGGCAACAAACAGTAAACAAAAAAAACCTATCCATTACGAGGAATCGGTGCCATGCACAACCTGCAGCACTCTGCTCTAACACGTTTGTGGTGTTGACTTAAGTAACAAACAAAACAGGGCTAAAATGGAAATTGTAAGGAGAGGGCTTTTGAACAAAACAGATCAGGATTAACAGAGTAAAAAGTCAGGGTGTTGACATCCAAAGAGGACTCTATATACAGTGGGGGGAAAAAAGTATTTAGTCAGCCACCAATTGTGCAAGTTCTCCCACTTAAGAAGATGAGAGAGGCCTGTAATTTTCATCATAGGTACACGTCAACTATGACAGACAAATTGAGAATTTATTTCCCAGAAAATCACATTGTAGGATTTATGAATTTATTTGCAAATTATGGTGGAAAATAAGTATTTGGTCAATAACAAAAGTTTCTCAATACTTTGTTATATACCGTTTGTTGGCAATGACACAGGTCAAACGTTTTCTGTAAGTCTTCACAAGGTTTTCACACACTGTTGCTGGTATTTTGGCCCATTCCTCCATGCAGATCTCCTCTAGAGCAGTGATGTTTTGGGGCTGTCGCTGGGCAACACGGACTTTCAACTCCCTCCAAAGATTTTCTATGGGGTTGAGATCTGGAGACTGGCCAGGCCACTCCAGGACCTTGAAATGCTTCTTACGAAGCCACTCCTTCGTTGCCCGGGCGGTGTGTTTGGGATCATTGTCATGCTGAAAGACCCAGCCACGTTTCATCTTCAATGCCCTTGCTGATGGAAGGAGGTTTTCACTCAAAATCTCATGATACATGGCCCCATTCATTCTTTCCTTTACACGGATCAGTCGTCCTGGTCCCTTTGCAGAAAAACAGCCCCAAAGCATGAAGTTTCCACCCCCATGCTTCACAGCAGGTATGGTGTTCTTTGGATGCAACTCAGCATTCTTTGTCCTCCAAACACGACGAGTTGAGTTTTTACCAAAAAGTTATATTTTGGTTTCATCTGACCATATGACATTCTCCCAATCCTCTTCTGGATCATCCAAATGCACTCTAGCAAACTTCAGACGGGCCTGTACATGTACTGGCTTAAGCAGGGGGACACGTCTGGCACTGCAGGATTTGAATCCCTGGCGGCGTAGTGTGTTACTGATGGTAGGCTTTGTTACTTTGGTCCCAGCTCTCTGCAGGTCATTCACTAGGTCCCCCCGTGTGGTTCTGGGATTTTTGCTCACCGTTCTTGTGATCATTTTGACCCCACGGGGTGAGATCTTGCGTGGAGCCCCAGATCGAGGGAGATTATCAGTGGTCTTGTATGTCTTCCATTTCCTAATAATTGCTCCCACAGTTGATTTCTTCAAACCAAGCTGCTTACCTATTGCAGATTCAGTCTTCCCAGCCTGGTGCAGGTCTACAATTTTGTTTCTGGTGTCCTTTGACAGCTCTTTGGTCTTGGCCATAGTGGAGTTTGGAGTGTGACTGTTTGAGGTTGTGGACAGGTGTCTTTTATACTGATAACAAGTTCAAACAGGTGCCATTAATACAGGTAACGAGTGGAGGACAGAGGAGCCTCTTAAAGAAGAAGTTACAGGTCTGTGAGAGCCAGAAATCTTGCTTGTTTGTAGGTGACCAAATACTTATTTTCCACCATAATTTGCAAATAAATTCATTAAAAATCCTACAATGTGATTTTCTGGATTTTTTTTCCTCAATTTGTCTCTCATAGTTGACGTGTACCTATGATGAAAATTACAGGCCTCTCTCATCTTTTTAAGTGGGAGAACTTGCACAATTGGTGGCTGACTAAATACTTTTTTCTCCACACTGTACATAGTCTGATACTAGTCCATACTGATTTACAGCTCTTACTCTCTCTCTAAATCAATTGCCTGTACTTCAACAGCCTTCTAAAATGTTATAACATCTCCTGCCAACAGAAAATATAGCAGTTTGCTTGTTGGCATGTCAACGGCCAATTGAGAGAGAGAAAAAAAACACACGGCCGTCACCTCGGAAAGATGAACAACTGCTGCGCATGGGATTTTCAAAAGCGCCTGCCCACCAAAGTGACCTTGAGAGGCTCAACACTCACCAGCAATATAATAACCTAGGCTACACGCATGCATCTCGGTACCGAGCTAAGCCAGGGAACTGGGAGCAGTTGTTTCACTCGGGGTCACAGGGGTTAATGCTCATGGTGTTGGCTTTCCCCTCAACATTTAAACAGCTGCGCACACACCAAGTTGAAGGCGAGGGAACACGTGTGTGTTAGCGATGCGCGGGTTGATCCATTACCCGCAGTCCTGGCGGAGTGGGGCAGGCGGGTTTAGGGTCATGAAATATTGTGGGTTGAACAAAGAGAAAAAAATTACTTTAAAAAAATCCATAAATGTATAACTCTTGTGCAATTTATATCTATAGGCTACGTTTAGGTTTTTCTTTCATTCTTTTAGGCTATCTGACATTAATGTGTAGGCCTAAGCTTTAGGGCCTAACTGTACGCACGCCAAATAGCCTACAGTACATGTCAACCGCCAAATGCTTTTGAGAAAGGGCAGAAAAACTTAACTTTGATCCACGGAGGCAAACAGGACAATGTCAGAGTTTAATTCAATAAGAGAGAAGCTGCGAAATGGAGAGTTTAAAATAAAGAGAAAGGAGGGCCAGAAAAGTAATGTTTGGGAAAGATTTGTCGAAATGGTAAACGAGGATGATAGCCGTACCTGCTATGTTATGTGTGATGATTGTGAGGCGCTATATAAATTTGACAGTCACAAGACGGGACTTCAAACAGGCCTATGGCACATCAAGGGAACTGTAGCCTAATGTTCAGATGGGTTAAATGGAAACTGAAATCTGGACACTGACTGTAGGTATATAACCTCCCACACAGCCTTAATATTAACTCATGCAGAATTAAGCATTTCTTGCAGTAAAATTATACACCAAATGTAGGCCACATTTTTTCTCGGAAAGAGGAGAAATAGGATTTATTTATTTCAGCATCTTGAGAGAATGCGAATGCGCAGTTAAATACTGTCTGTAGAGGTGCTGTCTTTATCAGCATCATAAAAGCTGATAGTATTTCAACCACATAAAATATGCATCCAAGCCGAACTGAAATCTTATCAGAAACATGTTGGGTCATTTTCAGAGCTTTCTATTTCCTACAACCGGTCAAACTGAGGAAACGTGGAATTTTGCACAGAAAATATATTTCCCCTTTTTTTGCTATTGCATTTTCTCCCCGGTCCCTAAACATCTTTGCTCCACAAAAGCAGCAGAGATGACAGAACTTCACGGATGTCAACTAGATTGAAGCATTCAAAGATTCTTTGACAGGAGGCACAGGAATCTTTTTGCCTGATTTATATACACGTCTCTGCTCATAATTTCCCAAATTTTTGTAATGTTATTTGTAAGTCAACTTGTCTATAATTCAGTACATGCAGTTTCACTTCTGTCATACGATTTCCTAGAAGACTAAATAAACCTGTGCCCATGTTCTATATTAGCAGGTTAGGGTCGGGTGTGGGCCTCAGATTTTCACATATAGTCGGGCGGTTGCGGCTGGGTTATTAGCAATTGCGGGCGTGGGTGAAAAAACGGCTGACCCTTGCACCACTAGTGTGTTGTGCAGGGAATGTGTGTCCTATTCATGCAGTACAGCTGTTGGCAGGGCTCTGAAGGAGAGACAACCGGGAGAGAATCTTGACTTCCTTTCCCCTCCCCTCTCGACTTTGCTTCAGCTGCCCGTTTAGACAGAGGAGAGGGCATATTGCGGTGTGGTCAAGGTACATTTCTCTCTGTACAACACCTGTGAGTAAATGAGGATTCTCACTATGAGCACCTTAACATGTGCTTCTATCTACACGCTGAGTATTTCTCCCCAAAGAGTCTTGAGTAAAACAATGCTGCTGAAATATTGATAATAAAAAGTATCATTGTTTTTGTTTAAGGGTATTTCCTTCTCTTCCTTGGCCAAGTCTGGTTGTCATTCAGTCACTAATCAGTAGGCACCAGGGTCACCTTTACTAACTATAGACAGGTTGGATTCCTATGGTGCCACTTACTATGCAACCAAACTAGAATTTTGAGTTGTAAGCTACTTCCTGGATAAATCTCCTAATGCTTCGATGGAACCAAAAATGATTGACACGGCAACGCTAGAGGTTAAATAAACAAAATCACTGCAGTTTGCAAGCTTTTGTCCCCGACAGAAGTCACAACGAGCTGCAATGTTTACCCTCGCTGCCGACTGAAACCGCAGTCGACATTTGCATAACCTGAAAGGCACACAAATATACCTCACAACTAGCTTCCCGCTGTGATTAATGCTTCTCACTGCACTTAGGTGAGGTTTGCACTCAATTTCAGGAATGCACATTTACAGGGTGTGCTTTGATGGGGGTGGGCACATACCGGCAAGCTCAAGTCCAAAAGAGTATGCAAACGGCTTTAGCCAAGAGCCTCTTGCACTGGGGGGGGGTTGTTTTCCTCACACACAGACACCCACTAAACATTTGGCAGAGGGGTCAAGTTTGGGCGACTGCTGTAGTAACCCCAGTAAACAGTGGAGCTGTGTGGCTGGAGAGAGCAGAAGGCAGCATGTGAATTGTGAAACCTCATGTGCAGCCAGGGAAGAGGGGCCCAGGATCTGGCCCAGACATGGTCTCTTAAAAACACCCCCACACTGAGTAACAAGCACAGGATGGTGCAACCACATCGGGCTGCCAGCTGAGTGTGCACCATGGCCAGGCTTCCAAAGCTGCCTGGGTAAACAGATTCAGTGTGAGAGAGAGAGGCACACTGTGGAGCCTGATCCATTCTCCTCTTTGTCTGGGGGGCAGGTAGGCAGGATGAAGACAGGGGAGGGTGGGGGGAAAGCCCATCGTTTCCTGTGTCTCCCCGGAAGGAAAGGGTTGTGTAGAGCTTGTTGCAGGGTAATCATTTTAGGAATGTTTAACTGGATAGGTAGAGGTTGAGAGTTTATCTAAACTAGCCTTTATGGGAGACTGGAGCAAACAAAACTTGTTTTACAAGAGGTGACACAGTACTCCTTTGTTTTCACTGGTTAGCAAAAATGTGCCCACAGTGAGACATCAGATAAGCATTTGACTTGGTGACACTGTTGGTTCTATATTTGGCATGAAACTCAGGGTCACAGATGCAATATTTTTCCCGTCCTTTTTGCATGAATTAGAATACACGAAATATACAGCTAAAAGTCTTTAATTCCAGAAAAGTGACTGAATGTCAGCTGCCCACATCAGAGCTAAGGACAGGACAGTGAGGGGGAAGTGGCGCTCTCTAGTGTTACCTAATCAATTACATAAACCACACTACCGTTATGAATTCTACATTGTGTATAATAGAGTTATATAAACTATAAATCTTAAGTGGCATTCTAGAAAACGATCCTGCGACAACAACGACGCTGAGACTGGCCCCGGCACAGACTGCATAGGTAGACAAAAACGCGACTACATCAAATGAAGACAAAGCTACACAATTCCTGCATAATCATCCGCGATATTTCTTCCGCGCTTAATGTATGTTTTAGAACGTAATTTATCTGCAAAAAACGTTGGCGCTGGACATCTTTGCAAGGCAAACAACTCCACTGCCCCATTGTTTCAAAATCCGAAAGGCAACAGCCGGGGCACATTCCGATGTTGTGAAATTCCATCAGATTCTGATAAGCCAATACTGTACGTTATGGAAACGAGCTGCTCAGGAGTGAATACAGCCAGATAACTATATTACAGCCAGATATATTGTTGTGTTTGTTAGGAAGCTTCATGTTTGATTACATGGTTATACTAGTTTGCTACCAATCCTATTCAGTTGAATTCGTGGAACCTGGAAACAATACATCCTCTTTAGAACATAAACTCTCACATTCACTTATATCATACTTGACAGGCTAAAGCCAAAACTACAATTTAATTGTACAAGTCTGGCTATTAACCAGTTTCTTCCTGCAACTGGGATTAATAGTAGCTAGATAAGAAAATGTATAGTTTATCGGTCCTGGCTAGCTAGTTAGCAGGCAAAAAAAAAAACTTTTCACTTCGTCAAGTCAGAGAACAAAAGGACATGCAAACTACAAAGAAATCCTTGCGGTTTGGTGGTGGGAAATAAATATCCTTGTTGAATGGTGCAATGGTTTAATTTCCTCGCAGTTCTCACTTTGTAAAGTTAAAAGAAGAAGTTGTGTTGCGCTTTGTGATAATGTAGCTCGCTAGCAAGCTAGCTATGTTAGCTAGGTAGCTACCATGCATGCGCTCCTCTATGCAGCAAGCATGCCCACCGAGCCCTAGGGAGAGTGCCGTAGTCACTCCTTCCCTCCCAACTACCCCATTTCTCCAGACGGCGTTTTACCTTCATCGAGAAGCCGCTCAAGGTGTGTAAAGATACCGCACAGATTTGGCAAACTGGTCATCAGCTTCTTTTCATTTAACAATTGCATCAAATAGTCGGGACTCGGCCTCGGTCTCTCCTTCACTTCGATCTCTCCGACCATCATCTTTGCGTCTAGAGTGCGAGCGAGCCTCCAACAGAATCCTTTTTTATGAAAAGAAAACAAATCTTAAAGAAAAACTTGCAGATCAAATCCTTCGTTCCTCCCACGTTTCGATTGCTGTAGTTAGACGACCCTCTGAACAAAATCAAATTTTATTTGTTGTTAGAGCGGAGAGGAAAAAATAAGCACTATCTCCTCCCAAAGAGTTGATCACCGTGTACTCTCCTCTACTCCGCGCTCAGGGACGTTCCGCTCCACCACTGTTAAAGCCAGCGAGTATTCGCCCAAAGCTTTTGTCCCCTCTTCGCCTATTGGTCAGAAGCCCTTTCAAGGGACTGGTGATATCACCAATAAGCACAAGGTATTGCACCATGAGGGCGCTGAAGTGCCAATAGGTGATCTACAGAGATTAGAACCAATTGTGGACAGTACAGTGAAAGTGTATTTACAGATTTCATACACAGGTTGTATTGGGCTTTAAAAATGATATTTCAGTCGTTGCGGAGAAATCAAAAGCATAGAGGACTTTGGAAACATTGCAAACAGCATGAACAACTAGTTTATGGCTAACTAGTTTATGGCATATGAAGACCAGTAGGAGGTAAAGGAACATGGGGAAATTCTCCCTGTCATCACTTAGGTAATGACTCAATTTTAAATTTGATGGAGATAATTATATTCAATATTATGGTGTACCCCCCGCACCTCTCCTTGCATCTTACATTTACATTTTAGTAATTTAGCAGACACTCTTATCCAGAGCGACTTACAGTTTAGTGAATGAATACATTTTTCATACTGGCCCCCCGTGGGAAACGAACCCACAACCCTGGCGTTGCAAGCGCCATGCTCTACCAACTGAGTGATATGATATAAATATGATATAAATAGGATCGTAAATATTGGACAACCAATAGTTGAGTTATTAGTTGTGTGACCAAAATAGACAAACATCATTAAGTTTAATTCTCATACAGCATGTTAAAATAACTCTGTTTCCGCTTTGGATTAATTGATCAACGTGACAATAATCAGTACAGGCCTAGGCTATTTTAACAAGCCTTTCCATATCCATTGAGGATTAACTCAATTCAGATTATCAATAGTCCACACAATGGAGCCACCCACCTGGGTCGTTCCTTAATTGAAATGAAACCTTGTCATGTTCTAAATTTGGCAGCTGTTGTCGACTGGTGTGGGGCCGCCTAAATCTGAGAATTTGACCTTGGCCCCTATTCAATTGGTTCCCTAGTCTCTCTGCCTTTGTGGAAAATAGTCCCTCTGCTTCGGCATATGAATACTAACCAGCTGCACTGTGACCTCTGCATTAGCCGTCATGTGTCAGCCCTCAGTGATGCACTTCAGGACTTCACTGGTGTGACTCAAACAGGAGATTGGCTACAGCACACATTCTTTAAGATAACAACAAGGAACAACATACCTGATGCCAGGATCGTTCAAAGCAGGAAGGGAGATGTGCTATGGTTGCCCATAGAAATAGAATTACATTATATTATTCATATAATTCTATTTCTATGTCGTTGCCTTACAAACCCGGCAAAACACTATTTGGTTGTAATAGCTGTCCCTCACACTAAGCTACTACATTTAGCCATCTCGAGCTGCGGTACGTCAAACAAGACAACAGAGTATAAATATCATTAACACAGACATATCAGATCTCAATACATTTCTCCACATGGTTTTGTTGTCACCCGTCAGAGAAAAAAGCCTTCAACATGCAATTTACGCCTGGGGGTATGTTATGTGTAGGTAGCTTAGTGGTTAAGAGCGTTATACCAGTAACTGAAAGGTTGCAGGTTCTAATCCCCGAGCCGACTAGGTGAAAAATCTGTCGATGTGCTCTTGAGCAAGGCACTTAACCCTAATTGCTCCTGTAAGTCGCTCTGGATAAGAGCGTCTACTAAAATGTAATGTGTGCCCCCTCACTTCCAATTACTAAAGCACTGGTGTGAATGTATGAAACACTCGCAGTGAAAACACATCACAAATGTCTGGATTTTTCCTTTTGAAGGATTGATAACTGAATCAGGTTCATTTTAGTTCAAGGAGAGAGAACCCACTGGGCAGAGTAGAAGGAATAAATGAGGAAGAGGGAAAAAATAAACCGTTATTTTACGTGGCTCAGAGATAGCTAAATTGTTGATGGTGTTTGATTTATATTTCCCATATTCACCCCTCCCTTCTTTGAATAGCTAAATTGTTCATGGTGTTTGCTTTATGTTTCCCATATTCACTCCAATTAGTATGATATGTTATGTTTCGTATGGTATGTATTAATTTGTGGATGTCCATCATCCATTTCGTATGATATGTTACGAATTCCAATTCCAATTTTATGTTACGAATTGCAATTTGTACAATATGTTATGAATTTTCAAAACGTATGATATGTTACGAATTCCCATTTGTTGGTGCTAACGTTAGCTAGGTGACTAGGCGGTTAACACTAAAGTTAGCTAAATGACTAATGTTAGCTAGGCTAGGGGTTAGGGTTAGGATTAGTAATTATGTTAAAGGGTTAGGTTAGGGTTAGAATAAGAGTTAGCTAACATGCTAAGTAGTTGCAAAGTAGCAACAAAAATTGTAAGTAGTTGCTAATTAGCTAAAATGCTAAAGTTGTCCATGATGAGATTCGTACACGCAACCTTTGGGTTGCTAGACGTTCGTGTTATACATTAAACATCGTTTTTGCATGAAATAACCTTTGTCTTATGTAACCACACCAAATGTAATATATCATTCTAATTTGGAGCGCCATATTTACATTTACTATGTTTTGTCTAGTCTATGAGACACGGCTGAATGATGTTCTGAACAGTTCTGGCATCAAAAAGATCTGGCATCTATTTCAAGCTTTGGAAATGGGTTTAGTTCTTATCTCCATCAGCGCGCATGGTAATTTGTACCTTGCGCCTGGCTTTGTTTCTGAGTTGGGTCACGTGGTCGTGGTGTGTGTGTGTGTGTGAGAGAGTGAAAGAGAGTGTGTGTCTTGACAGCACCTCCAACCCCTGTGTTTTTTTAATAACACAGACTCCATTCAACAATTAATCCAATTAAGAGTGTTCCAGATTATTTTGTGAACATGCGTTTAGCCCCTTTTGAAGAGGGCGTCTTAACGGCAGTGCTATGAGAGACCCCTGAGATCCTAACAGGAAACTAGAGACAAAGGGCAACTGTTCCTGGCCTCACGGGCCACAGGCTAGTCAGGGAAATTATTATATTATAAATAGGTTGAGATAACATTGTTGTAACGTTCTCTATCACAGCAGTAGTGATGTTGGAGTCCAAAGACCCTTATAACACACATAGCACAAAAGGCATGAAACAAAACCCAGTTTCCCAGCTATACTACCGTGTAACTACCGGCAAACATGCTGTCTGAATCTGGGTCAATTACAGAC